GCAATTGCTACAAGCATGGCGTGTCCACCATTATCGACTGTTGCCCACCCACCACCACAACCATTATTGATTTCAAGTTGTTCGACCCGGGCCCATTATGCACAATGCTTGCTACCCAAGATGTTGATAAGGACCCTCTCTACTTGGCTAAATACAAAAACATCATGACACTCATGCAAGTCATATTCGATGACTATCCGCGAAGCCTAGCCCAACAAGACAAAGTCCACTGCTCCTACTACGATGGTGAGTACCAACAAGTCGAGTTAGATATGGAGATCCAAGTCCACTCATGCTCGATCTTCTATCTTGAGGTGTTAAAAGGGTCGTGCCGACTTGACCCATTTAAATTTGTGTCACTAAGTTATTCATCTCATGTGGGCCGACCCATATAATTAATCGAGTCGTGCTGTGTTAGGCTATTTATTAAAACAATTGATCACAGCCCCACCCAAATTCCAAATCCACATTGAAACGGGGATGTGCTCAAGCTCGTGCCTGAGCCTAAGCACTAGCCCATTTAACCTTGAGTTTTTTTACTTAAATTTTTTTGTTTCAACTTATGTTAAGCATATTTAACTAACATTAGAAGATACGCAATTACAATGAGGTGAAGGACGTAATTAGTGCAAATATGTAAGGATGCCATGTTCGGGCTCAAGGGCGGAGCTAGAATTGTAAAGTTAGGGGGGCGAAGTAGAAAATACAAGTATATAAAACACCTAAGTATTCAATAATTACCTGTTTAGAGCTAAATATTTATAATTTAATCATGTCTAATTTGTTTTAGAGGGAACTATAACTTATATTATAAATTGTTTATTACAAATTCTATATGTTATATATAATATAACATAAGAGAGATAAAAATATCGGGAGGGGCCAGGGCTAGGCCTAGGAGTGGCTCCACCACTGCTCAATGTTGAAAAGCATGATATGTCCACCATTATCGACTATTGCCCACCCACCACCAAAACCATCATTGATTTCAAGTTGCTTGACCTGGGCCCACTATGCACAAGGTTCACGACCCAATATGTTGCTAAGGACCCTGTCTACTTAGGTAAATACAAAAACGTCACCACACTCATGGGGGTTATACCTGATGACGATCCGCGAAGCCTGGCCCAACAAGCCAAAGTCCACTCCTTCTACTGCAATGGCGAGTACCAACAACTCGGGTTGGATATGGAGATCCAAGTCCACTCATGATGGATGTTCTACCTTGAGGTGTTAAAAGGATCATGTCTACCCGACACATTTAAATTTGTGCCACTAAGTTATTCATGTCGTGTTGGTTGGCCAATATAATTAATCGCCCATGCCATGTTGCAGGGGCGGCCCTGGGGTGGTGCAAGTGGTGCCACCGCACAAGGCCCCGAATTCTTGAGGGCCCCCGAAAAAAAATATTTATATTTTATATATATTAATATTATATGAATTGTATATATATTATATTGTGCTAGACATTTACACAAGAGTGCATATGGTGGAGTTGGCTCTAATGCGTATTCACTTAACAAAACCGCCTGAGTTTGATTCTCATCGAAGTCCATCTATTTTCCTTTTTTTATATATACTATTTTTGCATTATAACAACAAATTTTACATAATTATAAATAAATAAAAACAAAAAGCCTTTTAAAAAAGGAAACATCGAAGCTTAGCTAACCACAAAATCAGTATACGCATCCCCCAAACACTTTCTACTCCCCTTTTTTTCTTTAAAATAAAAAAAAAGTTTTCTCCACCAAGAAAAGTACTCTCTTCATTCAAAACAAACAAAAAACATTTCATAGTTTCTTCTGATTCTCTAGTAAGTAATCATCATCATTCATCAATCTCTCTTTGGTTTTTTTTTCAATCCTTTGACAATTTTTGTTATTCTTTCAATTTTAGGAATTTCAACACCAACAAAAGAAAACCCTAATTCCTAAATTCATAAAGACCACTCAAAATCAAATAGTTAGTTTAAAATCTCAATTCAAATTCAAGTATGTATCTAAATTTCAATCTATTCTATATATTACATGACTTATGTTATTAAATTATTATCATGTTGGTGATTGGTTATATGAGAATATAGTTTTTAGAAATATTTATCTATTTCTTGTTGGGGTTTTCTTCTAGGTTATAGGGTTTTGGAATTTTTCTTTGTTAATGACATTTGTGTGCAACTACTCTTTAATTTGTGATTGCCAATTTTTTTTCTCCTATTAAACACAGATTGCTTATTGGTGGTAGCAAGGGACTTTATAGGGGCACAATGAGCTTATTATTTTGTACCAAACATACTAATATTTAACTTTATCAAATGGAAACATTTAAATTTTTATGAATTTGATTTCGGATTTTCATTGCATGTTTATTGATGGTGACTTTTAGTTATAAAAAAATTGTTTATGACATTAAGTTGTGGCAAATTTTTATTTATAGTGGTTTCGTATTTAGATTATGTGAGGCCCAAATTTAAGTTTTGCACAGGGCCCTCAAAATCTCAGGGACGGCCCTGCCATGTTGAGACATTTATTAAAACCATTAATCACGGCCCAAGTCAAAGTCCAAGTCTATATTGAAACGGGGTGTGCCCGGGCTCGTGCCTGAGCCCAAGCACCATCCTCTTTAACGTTATGTTTTTTCACTTTAAATTTTTTTTTTCAACTTATGTTAAGCATATTAAACTAACTTTATAAGATTAACAACTACAATGAGGTGAAGGACGCAATTGTTGCAAATATAAGATATATTTTAGATTAGAATGTCTATTTTCAAAAGAAGTTCTTTTGCGAAACATGAATCATTGTTCGATGCGTAAATAATTAATTTTTGAATTAAAGCGCGTAGGCCCACCAATATCCATTATAAAAGAAGCACACTTGAGTACATTTATGCATTTCCGACAAAAAAATAGATTATCATTTCTTCATTAAGGTTCCGCCATGGCTTCCTCTCCCCTACCTCTAACTGCCACCATCACTACCCTTCACTCCATCAGCACCACAACTTCACTCTCTTCCTTCCTTCCAAACAAGCCCTAAACACCTTCACTACCTTAAAGCGCCAAACAATGCCTTACGATCAAATTTATATGCATAGCATAAAAATGGTGGTGATGATCACTTGGAGCAGGGTCTAGCTAGACTTGATATGAGGAACATGCTCATGGATCTAGGAACAAGGGGTCTATGTTGCACGGCGTGTTTAGAAACCAACCCGTTTGTTTTTTACACGCCCGTATCTGCTACGGACCTGACCATGTGCGTTAAGCTACCCAACTTGTGCCTAGTCTGCACAAGTATGAAGACCCAATATGTTGCTAAGGACCCTGTCTACTTAGCTAAATAGAACAATGTCGTCACGCATGTGGGTCCTACCCGACATTGATCCATGAAGCATGGCCTAACAGGCCAAAGTCCACTACTCCTACTGCGTGGCCAGTACTTGCAAGTCGGATCAAATTTGCATATCCAAGTCCACTCATGCCTGATGTTCAACCTAGAGGTGTTAAATGCGCGGCCCATTTAAATTTGTGCCACTAAGTTATTTGGCATGTCGGGCCAGCCCATATAATTAATCGGGTCATGACGTGCCCATTTATTAAAACCATTGATCACGGCCCTGCCTAAAGCCCAAGTCCACAATGAAACGGTGTGTTCAGGCCCAGGCCCAATCCCAAGCACCAGCCCATTTAATAAGTTTCTTTTATAGGACGAAACTTTTGGGACGTAGTCAGTAGACCTTAGTTGACCTATAGGAAGTTTCGGATTGGAGATCGGAGGTCGTGGGCCCCACGAGCCCAATTAACCTAGTTGGCGGGCATGCTAGCTCGGTTGACCAGATGTCTTCGGAGACTGTCTTAGTCATTGGACACACTTGGGACTACTCCCGAACCTACTGTTAGGGTTTCACATACTTGGGGTTCTGGGAAAGCTAGAATTTCACTTTAAAATATGGTTTTGGGTTCTCGGTTTATTTTGACAATTCTAATCAACTTCCTAGGCGCAACATACCGCTTCGAATGCACTCAGCTAAGGTTGAGCGTACCTGGATCTACAATGAAAGAACATTTGTTTTCTAAACTGTTTTTGAAAGTTAATTGATTTATGAATGCAATAGTAGGATCGGTTTGATAATTTTGAAATGGAAGGAAACAGGGTTCATACAAACATAGTTGATTTATAAGATAAATGCAAAAGTTCACAATTAATTGTTCTTGGGAAAAAAAACAGTGATGACTTGTTTATATGAAAATAATACTCTATTTTTTTTTTTTTTTTTTTTTTTTTCTCTATCTCTCAATTCAGTTGCATCCTTTCTCGTAAGGTTCTATTTTCTTCTCTTGACCCAAAAAATAAAAAAAGGCAAAAATCTCAAGTTTGACTTCTGGAACTCCAAAATCAATACAGGAGGAACCGATCTTGTCAGTCAACTAGCAGGATTTCCAATACGTGCCCTAATCACAGAAGAAATCAGATAATGGCTCTAGTACAATTTTCAGTAGGATGTTTATGAACATTGTAGTAAGTAGTAGGAAGAATAATCATACCTGAGGGATCATTTGCTCCATTGAATATCTGCAAGGTGAATCCTGACTATCCTTAACAAGTCCTGGAACTGTCAGATTGATATTGTGAATTCACTTCATACAAGCAACATGGCTGGACTTCGAAAAACGTCTATAGACACAAGTAATTCCCTGATCACACTCTTTTGAGATCATTACTAACTCTCTTCCTAAGTTAACATTGCAAAGTTTGTGCAATAGCACTAATAAGCATGCACAACTAAAACTGGTATTCTGGCAACAGTAATACTTCTACACCAATCACGTCAAATTTTTAGAAAAGTACATACAAGAACTGTTGTTAATAACACAACACTTCTAGAAATATACAGATCTTCTCCATATCTAATATAAGAAACTACCATCACTCATCAGAAAGAGGACGACTATACAGCCCAAAACGGTTGCATGAATTGAAGGGATGATTTTCCAACCATCAGGAAGATGAGGGCAAAGCACGCCATTGGTCGACAAGAAGCATTACATCATCACGTGAAGTTTCTGAAAGCTGTTGAAGAATCACATCCTTGACATGAGCTGATGCACTTTCCCCACCTCGGGTAGCAAGTTCCAAGTAGACTACAGCTTTTATCTTTTCTCCTTCCTGCAGATATTACCATTAAAACATCCATCTGCCTACCTTAACAAATTAAATACTTACAATAAAAGTACCCTTTTTCTTGCTTCTAAATGGGAATAAATTATGATACAAATGCTACAAGGGTATATTTAACAGGTATACAAATGGCATTCATTTATATCAACATAGTGCTACCACATATCATAAAGAGCAGAATAATGAATCCTGGCAACAAGATTATTTGGCCCTACAATCAAACCAGTGGCTCCCGCCAAAAAAATAACTTCATGAATGCAATAAATGATACATACAGAAAAAAGAGCGAGTCCATGCTCATATTGAGCTTTACTGTGCCCACGATCGGCTGCTCTCTTCATCCATTTTCTTGCTTGGCGATGACTGCGCGCTAACCCTTCCTCAAATTTGTAGCAAAGTGATACATTGTACATGGCACGCACATAACCACCATCTGCAGCCTTCAAATACCATCTTGCCTGTATGAAGAAAAGAAAACTTACCAAATTAAAGTTCTGAATATGGAAGTACGTTGGGCCAATAGAGGAGCAGACAATCCTAATGCTATTCTCATTCAGAATAGCTGACTTTATAGCTGGAAATCAAAATGCAACTGCATTTCGTTAGGATATAACGGCATACCGCCTCTTTTATGTTACGATCAACCCCACGGCCGTGATGCAGACAAAGTGCAAGCTGGTACTGGGCACGGGTATGGCCCTCATTGGATGCATGATATAACCATTTAACAGCTTCCTTTGGATTTGGAGGTTCAACTGCACAGATAATAATATTCATACACACAAACAAGACTATACACTCAATGCAAAAACAAACTTCCTGATGAAAGGAAATCCAACTCTGCCTATAATATCATACAACATCATATTAAAAGAAATAGCCACCATTTAATTACAACTGTGCATCTAATGTATTGGTTGTAGGAAATAATGAAAGGAAAGCATTTGAAGAGAAATCCATATGCAACACGCTCCTATATTTAGTGTATTCAAAATAATCTGATCAAAGTTATGTACATAGAGGGGGGAGAACCCCTTATTTCATAATGCATTAACAAATTAAAACTTAAATCATCTGAAATCATTGTTCTTCATTATAATTACATTGACTATTCTTCGAATCAACAGGGTTAGTTATAGAATCTCACCTGAAATTTGATTTAACCCCAACTAGTTGGGGGCAACTACAATGATCCTACTTTGCCATTCTAACCAGCTGAAGGGCAACTATTTTTCTTAATGATAGTTAAAATACATAAAAAGCAACCCACCAAAACACTTGGAAGCTTCTTCTTATAGACGTGGACTAGCAAAAGAGCTCATAAAGGTATAACATTCAGGAATTTACATAAATGGATTGGCAAATGTACAATTTGAAATCGGATATGATATATGAGTAAATTCCAATTCCACAAGAATCAAATTTCTATCACTCTCTGTTCAAAGCCTCTAAATTTCAATATCATGACTATGATAAGCAATACATTTGCTGCTAAATAACCAGGGAAAATCAAACCTTGCAGATAGGAAATTCCCAAATTGCACTTCCCAGCCAGGTCTCCCAGGTCTGCAGCTTTCTGATACAAAGCGACGGCCTTGTCCTTGAGGCCTCTCTCCCAGTATATAAGCCCGGCATCCACCATAGCCATGGTGGACCCCAGAGCCGCGCCCTTCAGAAATGCGTCGAGAGCCTTGTCCATGTTGGGCTGGACCCCACCTCGGCCGTGCTTGAACCGCTTTCCCCACCTCATATACAGCATCGCCTGTCTCAGCGGCCGAAGTGCCTCGTACCACGACTTACACGCCAACGACGCCGCTCTGAGGTTCGGGTGGCTCAGCGAAACCCCGATTATCATTATCAATTCGTACGGCAGCGCGGAGAAATCGCGACCGTCCTTTGAAGATAAGGACGATGCTCTTCTGCCGGACATTCGATTGCTGTGCTTCGTCGGGTGGAGCTCGTGGTGCTTTTTACCCTTGGTGTTCCATAACCGAAAGGACGTGAAACGACGGCCCTCCGATTGGCCTGGCCATGTCGTCTGCTTCATCTCCATTTATCAGGATTTGCAGAGTCACAGTCTCGCAGACCGATCCATTTGCAGAGTCACGGCCGTCCGACAACGTCGATAGATGTTTTTGCTCATTTGATTAAATATGGGCCAATCAGGAGCGAGCCTGTTGATTGCCTCGGTTATTACTTGGGCTTCGGCTGAGTTTATTCAGGCCCAAGTGTTTGGAAAACTTCATTCAAAGATGGCCCACTTAGCCACCAAGCCATCCTACTTTTGCAATTGGAGGTTTTTTTTGTTTTTTTTGTTTTTTTTGTTTAACAAATTCCTGTCACCTCTTCTTTTTTATTGTTTAACCTACCCATCATGGTTGGTTTCTCCTTCTAATCCGAGAGTTTAACGACGTAAGTAACGGAAATAAGAAGTATGAGAATGAGATAAAAAAAGAATAAGAATCAAATCAACTACCCCCTTTTAGTTGATTTGATTCATAGTTTTTGGGTATTTGATTAAGAACTTTAAGGTGGAATTTGTGTATTAAATGATTTATTATGTGTAAGTAAACACGGGACCGAACTATGAATTTTTCAATAGTTGGGCTAGCTAAAGGATTAGGGTAAAATATAATAAACATTTTGTTTTGTACTTGCAATTTCTATAGTCTTTGTAAAAATAAAAGTGTACATTAAATAATATAAACTACGCTAGTTCATTGCTCCATTGACTAGTTTTCAATAAAATTTAACATAAAACAAATACATATTAAATGCAACAAAAAAACATATATTATCAAAATGAAAATATGTTCAACAACAAAATTGAAAGTGTACCTATTTCAATATGTATATTTATTGCTGCAATGCAACTAAATTCATAAATAATTTTAAAAAAATTAAACTTTATCAGATTAATACATAGAGTTTTATTTAAAACAAGCAAAATATATAGGTTTGATATTTTTTTTTCCACCCAAAAACATCCATGAGCTACAGCTCACCTTAGTCATTATGGAAAATATTTCCCTGTCTTGTTGTTCTCATTGGTTGCAAGTAAACCTGACGCATTCCTCTTATTAAGCTTGAATGTTACACTTAATGCCCTATTGAGTTACATACTCACATTATTATAAGAGATATTTAGTCTCAAATACCAACAAAGTAGGACTCGAAAATGGTGCATGTATGACCAAAGATTTGTATGGGCATGGGGGAAGAGTCAAACTTGCCGGTGGAGGGTTTGCCACGCCCAACATGCAGACGATAGCGCATTTTGTTTGGTGATGATGGTGGCTCCCAAATTCCACTAAGAAAAAAAAATAGTTGCTAGATTTTGAAGCATGAATTCCAAGTACTAATTCCATTGTCGCCAGAGAGTGAAATTGGCCCCCCACATGCCACCCAATCACTGAGTTTTTCTATGTATAATTTTCGTAGCATATTAATCAGAGTTACACATAAAAGTTGTGAATTTCGAGGAGAGAGATTGGTCGCAGAAGGTGGCATGTGCCGCCCCCACAAAAAGATCTCGAGGCTTTCAGCTCAGTGTTATGGATGCCACCACCAGGGATCAGCTGCACATAGACTGTTTTACAAATTGACAATTAAAAACTAAAAGAAACTGCAAACTGATCTGGTTTTTGGATATGCTTTTATGGCTTGATGTGTTGTTAAAAGTCAAAACTTTGAGGGTGTGATGAACAAAAACTTTAGATATAAAGAAGTAGGATTTTGCTGTTTTGTGAATCGTGATTAGTTGAGTGTATTAATAATCACTTGTTTGGGTTAAGTAAACATTTGGTAACTCATTAAACGGTCTCTCTGGCACGTTCTAGCATAATCAGTCATTAATAATTCTTTGTTCCCTTGTCGTTTTTCAATAATAGAAGTGAGCAAAGTAGATAAATGCAAGGATTGGGTTACAATTTTAATCCACTCCATATACATGTGGTCTCCAATAATGTGGGGTTTTAATATTTAACACAAGAAAAATAATAAGAAATCTAATCCAACATGTAGATGCCAAAACGCCGGCCAATTTAGAAAAATTTGTATAAAATGGAGATAATACTGTTTTGCTATCCTTAGTTGTCACGTGATTGATCAAGAATAGTAAAATAGTGCTATTTCTGTTTCACACAAGTGTTTTCTCCTCCCAATTAACATTTGCTGTCTCAGCCCAAACAGACGTGTCGCAACCTTATTGTATCAGAGACTGCTGTGATCCACCTTTGTTTGTTCAGTCCATGCACACAAGAAAACCTCCCCTAGGTGAACCGCTATTTGGCACTTATTTATTTCAGTATATACTTTTGCTATGAGCCTAGAAAACAATTGGGTTTCTTTTCTTGCTTTCTCCATGAACATTCCATATTTTATTGCAAAATGCAAACTTTAATCCATTTCAATTACATTCAGATAGAATAAGTGCGTTCCTCAATTATTGGTGCTGCAAAACTTGATCTTGAGAAAATGCTAAATAATAAGGACCGTTCAAACTTCACATAGGATCCTCTCCTAATTTTCCCCTCCCTCCACTTTGTCTTCTACCAGGAGAGCTATCTATCAGAATAGCACTAGAGATAGAGAGAGAGAGAGAGAGAACCTTCCCTTTCCTTCCCTTCCCCACTAATATAATAAAGAGTCCGAGGTGGGTGGGCGGTCATCAGTCTTCAGTCTTCAGTCATGGCGTGTGGGGGCACTTAGATCATGCATAGACCAAACTCTAAGTCTAAAGGGAAGGTGATGGCAGAGCTGAAAAGCCCAGCTGGGGCCATGGCCAAAGGCTTCTTGTGGGGCTTAGTTTTGGTTAGTCAGTCGATCAGTCAGCCAAAGGAACAGAGGAACTGCATCACCTTATCTTTTTAACCCATTGAAAGGGATTTAATTTATTGCCCTCTATTGTTGATTTTGACAACTTTTGGATGCTTACTTACCAACATTTTGACTGCGATTTGTCATGCCTGAGCTGCACATGATCATGAACAGAAGAAAATAAACTCTTAAAGAAAGATATCAAAGTTGAATGAGGAACAAGAGACGAGAAAACAGAGCAATCTCTCACTCAGCAGATACGGTCTACAGAAGAAGGAAACTCGGAGCAAATTAAGAAGCATGCAAATGAAACGAGGGTTCATTAACCAATAAAGCTAAGATTGAGGATCTTTTATTTATTTATAATAATTACCTATACATAATTATCTCCTAGCTAGCTACCTTCCCAATACAAAGATCCTAAAGATCATGACTGACTGCAGACTAAAAATGAAAAAGTGAAAACCCAAAAGGAGAGAGACAAAAAAACGCAACAAAAACTAAAAGATTAGGAAAGAAAAGAAACAAATCATTAACGGAGCCAAAAGTTTTGAACTTGCAATTCCAAAGTCAATTGGCCCTTTCAACATGGCGTATGAACACAGTTTCTAAGTCGGGAGGAGTGAAGAACTCCCTAACACCAGCGCCATAATTACATTTCGAAGCAGCTGCTTTCCTCTTTCTCGGAGGAGGTGGACACGTTAGCCTCGTCGGAATTCTGGCTTCTTCGCCCGTCGGGGTCGTCGAACACTCCTCCACGTCATCGCCGCCGTGATCCCGTTCTGTCTCTACGGGGTTTGTGTACAGCGGCTTCAACGGAGCCCGTAATGGGATTCCGGCGATAACCCATTTTTGAGTTTCAGCATCCAAGCCTATGTCCACAGGAGCTGGCTGAGACTTCCCAGAAAAGCCCATTTCTTTGTGGACCAATTGAAGCGAACCCAGTGAGATAATTATAGGAGAGAACAAAGGATCGAATAAATAAAGATGGGTTCTTTTTATTTTTCTTTCTCTGATGCGTAAAGGGGATGAAGAAACAGAGGATGGAATAAAATGAAACCAGTGGGAAAGTCAGGTAAAAGAGAAAAAGGAGGAAGATGAAAACTGGAAAGAGGCTTTGGGTTTTTGGTTTGTGTTTCAGTGAAAGAGAAAAAAAGAAAAGGGAGGGAAGAGAAAGGTTGCGCTTTAAATGTGGAAGAGTAATGTTTCGATGTTCTGTTTATACCAATCACTCAAATCAGTCAGCAGAGATAGAGTCACAGAGAGGAGAGAGAGAGAGAGAGAGGGGGAGAGAGAGAAAAAGAACCCGAGGAAACTCGTGACATAAGCAAAGTAATAAATACTAAATTAAATTAATGAGAGGAAGAGAAAATAAATACGAGAGGACGAGGTGAAGGGGTGCCAGTGGAAATAGATGACCGCGGTCCGCGGACGGGCTGCAGTGGTGAGGTGGTGGCCCACAGTTCACATGAGTGTGGGGTCCATGTGGGATTGGCGTGGTAGGGTGGGGCATGCACTTATTTGTCTCCCTGAGCAGCAGAGTGCAGGGTGGTCCGGGGACAGAGGATCGCTGCTCCGACGGTGAGTGAGGGGCAGAAAGGGGAATGACTTGGATTTTGGCACCAAGATATGGGGTCTGGGGATCACCAACGTTGCTCAAATATTCCCCTCTTTTTATAGACGCCCGCCCCTTTTGTATTTCCGTTTTTATCTTTGGTTGCGTGCCACTTTCCATTTTATCTTATTTCTTTGATTGGAAATAATGGTAAAACAGATATGCTGGAAATAATCAGATGACGTGTCCAATTGTAATACATCATAAACGCGAAAAACTGGTATATCAAGTTATTATGACATTTGAAGTTCTAGATTTGATTCATTCATCCTTAAAGCAAGGGAAAGGGCAAGTAAGGTCTGCCACTATTCAAGTGAATAGTGGCAGCCTTACTATTTGTGACTCCACCCCAAAAGGCTAGGGCAAGGGCAAGGGTAAGAAAAAATATATATATGTGCAACAAAATATAAAATTGTTATGTATTTATAGGGAAAACATCCATAATTTTTTGGTAATTTGTTTCGATTTTTTTTGCGTTGGAGGTCCAAACCTCACCTGGGGGGGGCCTGTTGCCCTGGCTGGCCTGCAGCGGTGGACTTGCTCTAATATAACTTGTATTCTAAAAAAAATATCAATAAAAATATGAGTTTTCATAAATAAAAAAAATCTTGAATTCATTTTAAACTCAGAATTTGTTAAAATAAAAAACACATACACACACAATGTGTACATATTTTGTGGTATCTTTTTATATTTTATTGCTGTATAAATACATCAAATTTTGACTTTTAAGTAAGAAAGAATGACTCGCTGCTTCTAAGTAAAAAAGGAGGACTCTTTACACAAAAGCAGGGTTGGGTTGTGGGTTTGTGGCCTTAGAATTTAACCTAGTCTTCCACACGGTTTCTTTCAACTTTGGATGGGTGACTAGACATAAAGGTTCAATCTGTACAACTATATTAGTCTCTAGTACATGTTTGATTTTTCTTATCTGACTCCATTTTGAGCAATTTAGCAACCTACACTTGGAACCATTTTCGTGAAAATTGAAATATTTCTGAGCATCAGCTGGTTTGTTTTTGTCAAAAAGAAGGAAAGTAAAAGAAGATAAGAGAAAAAGAAAAACAAGTACTTACTTTCACATCCAAAATCAACCTTTCCAAGTTCCACATTCGATGCTCATAGACTTTTGATTGAAGTCACATATCAAGATCAACCTAAGATGTCAGAGTCCCCATTCCTCCATGCTTTTAACACAAATACAAAACAGTACTCCCATGGAAAAGATAATTTTTTTTTTTTGGATGGAGGAAAAGAGAAAAGTTGTGTTCCTCCAAGCGATAGGGCAACTGTGCTGGTAGGCTCACCTCAAAAGATAAAGAAACCAAAATGCAATGTCCCAAATTCTCAATGGGTTTGGATTTGGAGAGATTAAAAAAAAATATATATATATATATAGTTATATTTACTAGCCAAGCAAGAGAATAGAAAAAGAAAGACAAAAGCTAATGGACCCAAATGAAGAGTAGGGTAAAAGGCTTTAATGAAGTGTCACATCACTATTGGTCCCATTCTAGCTTAAATGGTGGAATTTTCAGTCCTCTGCAATTTACTGCAATATACATTAGAGGCTGGAGAGCAGAGTTATAAATAGAGACATTTAATATGTAAGAGGTGAAAGTAATTTTGGTGCCTAAGATAAAAGAAGAGAGTTTTGCAGAGTATTATACATCAAAAGCTGGAGATATGAGAAAACTTGATTTGCTGGATTTTTACATCCTCGAATAGCCTCTGTGATCTTCATATTGCTCCATGAACTCATCATTGAACTTCTTGAAACTATCCATGATGGCAGGCATGTCTTCCTCAGCTGGTAAGATGGTTGTCCTCAAATGGAAGACCCTGCATGGGAAAAGAAAAAAATAAACCGATTACAAACTGTTGCATTATTTGCAGCTAGTAGAAACATAACTAAATAGTGTCCCTCTTCTATGGCAGTGTAACTTACTACAATAGACTCTATGCATCAGAGATTCATACATACTCTAGAATAGAAGATTGCTAAAATTTATTACCCTTCTTTCTGTCCAAACCCTGATCCAGGGACAGTGGAAATGCCAGTGGCTTCCAAAAGCTTGAGACAGTAGAAAACATCAGCAACTTTTCCAGCTCTTTTAGCAGCCTCTATTGCTCTTGGTGGCAAGCGTATTTGAGGGAAGGAATACATGGCACCTAAAATCAATTCATATAAACAGCCATAAAAAATCAAGGAACTTCAAAGAGTTGTAAGAACCAGTAATATTTATTTAAATCAACTTTTTACCTTCTGTGAAGTTACAGACAACATTTCTGCAGTTGTTAAATCCATCAGTCATTATCCTTGCTCTTCTCCTCAGAGATTCAAGGATCCCTTTGCTGCAAAGTTGATAATTAAAAAATCACCATTATCTATTGCTTCAAGAAGACATCTCGTGACACCATTCATCCATTACTAATGTTCCAAATTTCAAACCCTTTTCTGAACTTATTATTGTTACTTTTTGATAAAAAAGAAAGACCAATAATTATCATTTTGGTTCATTGTATCTGAAGATTATGGGGCTTAAATTTTTTATTTTTTTATTAAAGTATATGATACTTTTGGAAAGGTTTTCATATAGATCAAATCCTTTACATGAAAATGATGGTAAAAGCTGCGTGAAAGCTTAGCAACAATCTAAGTAGCGATTGTGATTAAGTTAACCATGGAAAAGCAGATCGGTTTCTACAGTCCAGTTTCCAATTAATTAAAGGAGTAAAAACATTCACCTATACTTTTAGAGGGCATACCTTTCCCTAACAAACTGCTCATATGAAATATCTCCAGGTTTGGGAGGGTTGACCATTAGCCCCATCTGTAAATAGACAGAGTAATTTTCTAAATCAGATAAACAATTTCGGACAGAGGGATGGGTGTCAACTTAAACATAGAATAGCAGAACATAAAATATTTAGTGCTCACTCACAAATATTTGTGCAGGAACATTTGGACTGAGTGCAATTGATGCAACCTTATATATCTCATCAACCGTCTGCAACATGATATCATGAAAACAAACATAACAATGAGATTTGGAGCTTAAATACTGAATTGAAGAATCATGCTGATGTTTGAATCATTCCATTCTACGAAAGTCAAAAGATGGTCAGATTAATTTGAAAGGAAAACATCAAACAAGAACACTATTTTATCATGTGGCAAGAAAAAAGTAGCTTCAAAAGTTTCAGTATTTGCTGACATATACTAATCTGAAAGTTAGGAGGCCTCTAGTAGATCAAATCGTCTCCTTGATTTAATCCATTCCTTTCACAAACTTTATACCATTCTTGTATTTTTATTCAAGTCTAAATGCTAAACCATAAACCCTATCAGAACCATGTTGCATTTACAAGAATGGCCAGCAACACTAAGTAAGAACATAACTTCATTAATGCTGACAGTTGGAAGCATGTTTGGAAAAGTATGCGATGTCAGTAGACTACTTAATGGAGGCACAAACCTGTGGAGGAATGTTTGTCATCTCAAAGTACCCACCACGCTGTCCACATTCACCCCAGTATCCTTTGGACACAGTGTGGAAAGAAACAAGCTGGACTTCCTTGCTTATGGGTAGCCCCATACCCATCAACACCTACACGTATTGTCAGGATTAAAGAGTTACTTTTTATTTCAGCTGAAACTACAGGCAAAGGCGCATGCAGTTAATTCTAAAAGCTCAAGAATATTTACCTTTCTTGCACTAATAAAGGGGCGTTCATCCTGGTATATATTCTGCTGATAAACTTCGTCCCCGAGCAAGACTAGGCCTTCTTGGAAACAGAAGTTCAATATTTCTCTTAAATTAGCTTCACTAAGACACTGACCAGTGGGGTTGCCAGGGTTTATAATCACCATTGCTCTCACCTGATTGTATTGCACTACAGATTTAGTTGGTAGTAAAAAGCACGACATATAGCCGCTACTGTTATTGAAAAGCAGGAATAAGAAGAAACTGACATTTAACACTAAATTCTGGAGGTAAAGAGGAGAATGTTGGACAGTAAATTGTTCCTAAGGCATGCTAAAACAACTCTAAACTTAATGAAATCCACATATTGAAGATTAAACAGTTAACATATTAAAGGGTATGCCAAATGCCAATTCAGATTGTGGGCCGCTCCTATTCATCCATTCATCTAGTTTAGTCTTAGTTTCAAAACAGATTCCCTGCATTCTTCCATAAACAAAGCATACTAACAGTAATTCCTTTAGAGCGAGCCTGTGCAACTGACTGGCGAAGATTATTAAGATCAAGACCCCAATTTGCTGTTTCCTCAAGGTAATACGGAACAAGAGAACCCCCAAACAGAGATATTGCAGCCGAATAGAGTGGGTATTGTGGGACTGGAACCAGAACCTGGTGGTACCCAAAACAAGAACTTAAATCAAAAGAGAATATTTTATACACGTCTCTGTTTTCTATTTATGAGGACATTAATTTTTCTGTGTCATTTAGGAAGTTACATTACCCCATCTCCTTCACCACGGATGATGGTATTCAAGATCTGCATCACACCTTTGCTGGCACCATCAGTGAGATATATGAGTTCTGGGTCACTGTCATTGGGCCACACAAATAAAACACCTCAAGTCACAACTTCAGAACCAAATTAACAACTTTATTGCCTCTGAAAAAAGAAAAGAAAAGGTAAGGCTTGATATCTAGCAACCATCACCTTGGATATCCATCACGTCTCTCAATGAACTCTGACACTTCCTTCCTAACTCCCGGAATACCTCGGGAATCACTATAAGCACCTAGATATACAACGTGCAGGAAAATTGTTCATTTTGAGTTCATAAGTGCAGCTCTTAACTTTTCACAAACCTATGGAACAACTTCTCGGCTATGCTTATTGCAGATAACGGGGATCAAGCAGTCATGTTTTTTAAAATAAATCGAAGATACATATATCAGCAATAGCAAGTTAGAAGGTACAACAATAGATATAAAAAAATTCAGGAAAACCTAAGAATTGCCACAACTATTCATATCATAAAAAATTTATCTCGCTTTTGAACAAAACAAGAAAAGTTCCAAAGCCCCATCGAGATTATTTAGCAGGCATGTGATTATAGTCCAATCCTTTTTCCCATGATAACATAACATGAAAGGCATGTAAGATGAATACCTAGACCACCAGTAGTAATTGAAAGATAATGTTTAGCTCTTGAAATTGCATCAGCAGGGAAGATCAGTCCTACATTAGGGTCATCTAATAGGAATGGAGCTTGGCATAAAGCAACCACCTCCCGGAATACCTCAGGAATCACTATAAGCACCTAGATATACAACGTGCAGGAAAATTGTTCATTTTGAGTTCATAAGTGCAGCTCTTAACTTTTCACAAACCTATGGAACAACTTCTCGGCTATGCTTATTGCAGATAACGGGGATCAAGCAGTCATGTTTTTTAAAATAAATCGAAGATACATATATCAGCAATAGCAAGTTAGAAGGTACAACAACAGATATAAAAAAATTCAGGAAAACCTAAGAATTGCCACAACTATTCATAACATAAAAAATTTATCTCGCTTTTGAACAAAACAAGAAAAGTTCCAAAGCCCCATCAAGATTATTTAGCAGGCGTGTGATTAGAGTCCAATCCTTTTTCCCATGATAACATAACATGAAAGGCATGTAAGATGAATACCTAGACCACCAGTAGTAATTGAAAGATAATGTTTAGCTCTTGAAATTGCATCAGCAGGGAAGATCAGTCCTACATTAGGGTCATCTAATAGGAATGGAGCTTGGCATAAAGCAACCACCTGTACCAGAAGATTTGCTTGGTCAAAACAAGTATTGTAGGCAACTTGAGTTAGCAACTCAAACAATTCAATCTGAAAAAAGTGAGTATGATGACCTGGCGAGGGAAAGTCAGTGGCTTCTGTCCTAGAGCATGAGGGTTTCCAACATTTGTGAAAATAATCTGCATACAAGAGACTGAAATAATGAGGCAGCAGGAATAGAAACTATATAAGTTAAGTTGATAACAGGTCAGAAGCATTGAAAGCCAATTTTCCAAGTGAGAATGCCAAGAAAACCCCAAAGGGAACTGGTATCTATACCTTCTTTCCTTCCTTCTGAAGCTCAGAAGCTCGAAGATACAACTCGCCTCTAACAGCATATTGAACCTTCTTCACATTCTCATTCAGTGACTCGTAGTCCAATGCCTTAGGGGGCATGATGATAGTTTTACCTTCTTACACAGGTCTTACCCAATACAAGGAGAAGGCAAGGCAGCAAATTTATGTACTCAACCTGAAGATTTTAGAAAAATTTATGAGAATGGCAAGGAAAGCCAATATTCAAAATTCAAAAAATAAAATATATGGTGTGGAGATAGGAACTTCAATATATCGACCCACTCATCAGCCAACCTAAATCCCAGAACTCATTATTTATTTCTAAATTCAGTATGTTTTTCTAAGCGAGAACTCATTTAGCCAAAACAATAACACTGCATATTAATTATAAACTAGTTCACCGGAGGGAAGAATCATTCTGATTATAATACTAAATGCAACGCAAAGCAAAATCACACCTGAATTTGCGAAAGCTATTTAATATTTAAGAAATAAGGCAATAAGAGCAAGCGCAATCACAGACATAAAATCGCAAGTCTAAAGATTATATAACACAAGATGTGTTTTTTTTTCTTTTTCTTTTTTTCAGAATTACCCAAACAACGACATCCCAAGTGGACAAAACTAAGAAAAGAAGCGATGAGAATGGCTAAGAGTTAAAAATTACAGAAGGGCCAATGAGACAACGATCACAGGTCTCACCAACAAATCAAACTTCAAGTTAACGACCCAAAAAAAAACCCATCAACCCCATTTAGAAGATTAACGAGTTTTTATCAAAAATAGCCAAAATTTAACCATCAAATTCATAAATGTCAGTTTTTTAAAAAACTTTCAAATATAGCCAAAAACTTTCAAACATTTTTGAATTTTGGGGTTCAATAAAGTCCAAAATAACAGAGAAAAATAAGGAAAAATAATCAGAAGCCTCTTACCTGTGAAGTTGGGTTGGTCTCTCTAAGAAAAGGGGTGGCGGCGAAGTCTTTGGCAGTCAAGGAAAAGCCAGGTATGTTCTGTTCTGCTAAGAAAAGGAGACGCAGCACAAGTTCACAAGTTCACAAGTTTACAAGTGTAGTCTGACACATAAATATGAGTGATCAGAGAAAGAGGGAGAACATTATGTGGCACTACGGGAAATGCAATGGCAGCAGCAGAGCCACTGAAAAAATATAAATGGATTATTGGGCATTTTATCGTCATTTTGAGCCAAGGAGATAAAGCTCGTGCAAGAAATGTGGTGCAGCTTTAAACCCTGCTTCTTTGGTAGATAATGAGGCTTTGGCCTTTCGGGGTCATCTTCCTTTTTGACACATTGCGCCATGGTCACTCTCAATATCACTCTTATTGAACACAATGTAGTGGTTCATATTTCTTCATTCATTCCTCTCTCTCTCCTTGATTTTTTCTCTCTCTTTTTTTAGCCAAATTTAGCATGTGTTTCACTTAGGCAAATTACAAACGACATTATAATTTTATAAATGGCATTCCCTATTCTAAATTAATTGGTAAAAAAAATTATAAGGAGAGTCGAAACCAATAACAAAAAAAAACAAAAAAACAAAAAGTAAGAATTAACATGGGTTAAAGATCCTACACAAATCTTCAACAAAATGGTGGAATATCAAACATGTAGCAAATCATCTCATTTGCCAAGTCCGAAGAAACCCCAGCTTATCCGCTACAAAATTTGCTCAATTTTTTAACTTTTTCTTTTCTTTTTTTGTGGGGCTCAATTTTTTAACTAAATCATGTAAGTAGTAGATGTGGGTTGGACCAGTTAATTAGGGCAGTGAGACTGCTTCATTATATCTAAGTTCTATTCCTTTCCCACTTAATTAGATTAATTTAAAGTAATTTAGACTATCGCTTGCATAAAAAACATGTAAACAAATGTAATAATTCCAATACTACATTGCAATGGAATCATCTTCAGCAAAATCTCACAACCACCATTCCTATTCATATGGTGTTCTTTTGCATTCCCATTCCTATAGTTATAGTACTTGTTTTTTTTTTCTGAAAAAAAAGGTACTATAGTAATAGTACTTCTCATAATAATAATAATAATAATAAAAGTGAGAATAAAATAAGAGTGGTGATTTTCTTATTCCAATTTTATTCACTTATACTCTATTTTATAACTAAAAAATAAGTGTAAGTGAATAAAATTGGAGTAGAAAATCATTACTCTAAAATAAAAAAACTTATAAACCCAGTATGAACCAGCGGCCCAGGCCCAGTATCACTGTCAGAACAACTGTCCAGCTAGAGGATCCTGAGCAGAGAGCTCTGAAAACCCCACCGAGGGTTTAAGAAGCTAGAGGATCCATTTACCGTCTGTTTCTGAGTTTCTCTCATGCTTTGATGACGACGATGACGGCGAGTGTGAGGCTTCGCGTCACATTCAAGGAGCGCCACATTCTGAGCAAGTCACAGAAGACAGAGGGACTCAAGCGAAGCTGGGTTCTACTAAAACCTCACCACCGCACCATCTCAGACCTCGCCGCCCATCTCCTTCACGCTTTCGACCTCAACGCTTCTTGCCCCGATGGGCTTCTCATCTCTGTAAGCATCTCCTTTCCCTAACCTAATTCTCAAACAAAAAGAAATTCCTTTTGCAATTTCAACTCAAAGTTTTCTGTTTTTGGTTTCTCGCAGATGGATGGGTTTGTGTTACCGCCTTTTGAGTCCACCTCCATTTTCAGGGATAAAGATATTATCAGGTCAGTTTACACTTCTATTATCAAAGTATGCGGTTTTATTTGGTGTGCGTATATTCAATTTTTTTTCTGTACACAGTGTGAAAAGGAAGGGGGGCACATTGTCTGAAATTGCCTTGGTTGATGATGGGACAGACTCTCTTGAGATAGAAGAGATTGTGGAGAGGCGGCCTCTGAATACAGGTATAAAGCTTCTGGCTAATGAGGAATTTGAAAAGGAGACCGGAGGATATGAAAGTGAATCGGAGGAGGATGAACCTTACCATTTGGAAGATCCGTTGACTGTAGAAGATGCACCCGAGACCAGTTCAAGCAGACGTTCCAAGAAGAGGAAGCTTTCAAAAAAACCTCAGAGCTCGAAGTACGTATTTTACTTGATTTATCTGGTGATTTTGCAACTGTATGCGGTCAACGCATCTTTTTCTTAGTACATAGAAGCTTTGTGTGCAATGTGGTTATGTACACATTGGTTTCTTAGGTATGTGATGTGACCACATTTATATCTTTCAGGAGGAAGAGAATTAAATCTGCTACGACTGAAGAATGTTCAGGTTTTCCAGAAGACCTTCAGAATGATGTCCATGCAGAGAAGCATCAGTCTCGTGTCCTCCCCAGAAAGCGTCCTTCCAAGAAGGACAAGTCATTTGCTGGAGAGGATTTAAGCAACCCTCAAACTGATAAAAGAACCAATAAAACAAGTAAATCTACGTCCAATGGAAAGAGGTAGCGTTTTGGCCTTGTTATATGATGACGACATGCAATATTTCTTATGCATGTTTCTTAAGTCCTACACTTTAGTCTAGGTTTGGGTGAACTAAACCATGCTATATCGTGCTATCGGAATTTTATGTTGCGAAATTTCTGTAAACATCTAGTACTTTCCATTTTGCTCATTTATTCTTTTCCGTAAATTGTGCTTTATAGGTCCTGTCAGCTTCAAGAGAAGGAAGTAAAAGGTGTGGTTTCATCTGATACACCTGGTGGAAGTAAAAAGGTATTAGTTGCCACCATTATCTGAATTGTATGTGTTGTTGTCATCTTACTGTATTAATTTGCAACAATATAGTTTTTGGCATCTGTAATTATCAGAGAATTTTTACCTCAGGAAGTAAAATTTGGACGAAGATATATGATTGCCACAGCTTGCATATCTTGATTTACGTGGAGATTCTGATGTTGTTAAAGGAATCTTTGTCATCAGTTTCTCTGATATCAATTAAAAGTTTAGATTTGTGAAATCCTTTTATCTTTTTGTGTATCAGTTTCCTAGTAGAAGTGCTCGACGTAAAAAGGCCAAAAGGCAATGGTTGAGGGAAAAATTGAAGGGTGAGAAGGAGGAGGTAATGTGGTGTTTATTAATGATAAATAGATATAGATTCCTCTTTCACACATATGCATCCACACGTGCACATGTGTATACAATCACTGAAAATAGTGAAATCTGTCACAAAAATATTCAGCTGTCCATTATGAATGTTGCGTATGTACAAATTTTGGGGGTTGCCATCATAAGTTGGTATATTGCAGTACCTATATGTCCTTTGAGGAGTATTTTTTCTTCATCTTAAGTGGGTCTTCTGAAGTACCTATATCTGCTTTTTCACAAGTAGGGCCACTTTTTATCCTGAACTAATATTTTGGCTGTACTGTTCCAATTTCCAGCTCAATAAGAGGCAATTGCTCAAACCAGATAATCAGCAATTGTCTGGCAAAAGTAATCAGAGATGTCCTGAAGAACATCAACAACCAAACACAGACAATGAAGAGGATGAACAATCAAACACAGATAATGATGAAGGGGATGAGCAACCGAAAACAGATAATAATGAAGTACATGTGCAACCAAGCACAGACAATGATAAAGAGGATGACATTGTTCCTGTAGTAATTAGGCCTGGGCACATTCGGTTTGAAAACCTTGGAAAAGGTGTGTGTGTATCGGAATCTTCCGATGTACAGTTCAATTACTTATGGCATTTGAGTTTAGCAATTTATTTTATGAGTTCATGTGCTAGATTAAGAAATACTAGTGACTCTAATTATCTGATGTGTGTACCTGTTCCAGTGGATGCAGATCATCCTATTCAGCAGAATAGAACCCCAGTGGTATGTTTTTCTTCTTTAAACATCCATGACTTAATCCAATGAGGTCCATGATTTTCATGCTGCACTCTGTTTTGGTTTCGGAATTTATTGGTTCCAAACTTATAATTGTATGTCCTGCATGCTTCAGGACACTTTTCAGTGGAACGGAATAACCAGCAAGAAGAAGGGTCAGAAATGGGGTATGGAGAAAACACCACATTCAAGAAAAAGTGACTACAAAGATCTGAACCCAGAATCGCCTGAAACATTGGGTAGTGAAAAAGAGATTCCTGTAGATGATCCCATAGACTTCAATAAGCTTGAGCTCTGTACCACTTTACCTGAGGTTTGTTTTTTTCCTAATTTTCATTTTGCTTTCATGGATATTGGTTTCCCTCATTGTAGGAAACAATAAAAGAAATAAAATTATTGGCAGTTGTCTTTGTACTATCACACCTTTTAGCTGCTTGATTATTTCTTGAATGTCTTTGAACATTTAGTTAATATTCTGGACCACTTTCGGAGTGAATAAATTGATATCATGCCAGATAGCCCTGTAAAATGTTTTCCATATCAAGTAATTCAATCCTTTCGCATTTAATGTCTTGCAGGAAGGTGATCAAATTGCATATCGTTTGATTGAATTATCAGCATGCTGGACCCCTGAAGTTTCCTCATACCGTGTATATGAGTCTTTCTTCTCTTAAATGTATATTAACTCTTTGTGGATATAAAATTTACCATAAAAGATTTACTTGTCCCTGTAGGTTGGGAAAGTGTCATGGTACGACCCTCAATCAAATAAGATTATGCTAGTACAGGTTCCAGGATATCCCATTGTTTTTGAGGAGACAGATGATGAGGCATCTGATGTACTACCAGATGCATCCCTTTACGGGGAAGATGGCTCTCTAGAGGTACTTTTAGTGCAGTCTCTCTAGAACTATTATAATGTAGCAATAATTTCAAAATGGTTTCAGCCTTCTCTCTCAACTTCGATTAGGGCTAACATTTTCATACACTAGTGGTGGAGGCTCAACTGCACAGATAGGTGGATTTGCAATTGCCATTTGCATTCCCATCCAATGTATATTCTTCCACCTTTGCTTTTGCAAGTTCATATGGCGGTTAACCCCCGCTCAACATTTGAAACTCCACGGCTGGTGTATGAAATATCAATCCCCTGGTCCAATACTAAAGTCTTCAAATTTCATTTTGAGGCTTGGGGTTTTTGCATGATCTAGTTATATTGATGGCCAATATTGGTATCCTGCGACCCTTGTTGTAGTTATGTACGACCATCTTTTTTTCTGCCTAGCAGCGGCTGTCAACAACTGCTTCATATCTTTGATTGCTAGCATCTGACAGGTAATGATCCTTGCAGGTAGATTATTCTTCACTTATTGATGTCCGCATTGTCAAGCATGGCAACCCGAACACAGCAAAAGCAGTCACTGGTGATCAAAATGCTGCATCAGGTCCCAGGCTCAACAATAACAAGGAAATTCGTTCTGCACCACAAGGTACTAATTGGATTTCCATGCTCAGAATCTGTTTAATAAATTTTTTTTGAATATGATTCATTTAGATGTATAGTGCATTCTTGTTTACATTTGTAGAAAATGGAAAAGTAAGCGCATGGGATGAAATCAGCCAGGCATTGAATGCCAAGAAGGCAGAGCTGTCTCAGTCGGATGGTTGGAGTAGAAATGAGGGCTCGGTAAGGAACTCATGGTCATATAGAGGCTTGAGAGGTAGCGCATTGGGTCCAGTCGTGGCTCGTTTAAGAACGCAAAGTGGGCTGTAAGGAAGATCCCTAATAGCATTGGGGTAAGATGTCTCCTATTGGTTTCTCAGTTAGATCAGCTGGAGTCCATAGTTTTGGGAACTTTGACGGAAGAAATAGAATACGACTGGTTGTAAAAGAATACTATTTGAGGTGTATGTAATGCGATGTGAGGTCGTTGGTTGCTTATTAAGGTTCTCTCTCGGTCTCACATGTCATGGGTTTTGTTTTTAATTGACGACTTCATCAAAGCTTGCCCCTAATCTTGCCAATGGCTAGTTATAATGAGCTAATTAATAAGCTTCTTCTAAAATTGGAATAAGGAGTCAGAAAAAACTGGTTCAGCTTGCATCTAGGTACATAAATGAATGAACCTTTTCTCAATTTCAATCATAAAAGTGTTATTCGTAGCAATGGTCCCTCAACTATACTTGAAGTTACATTTTGGTTACTCAACTCAAATATTAGTTGCAGAGGTCGTTCAATTGGGTGTTGTGTTGCACTATTAATCCCTATTGTCAAATCTGTGACTTTTTCTGTTTAAAATGATGATGTGACAAGCATCTCTTAGATTATTGATGGGCAAATGTGACTTTTCAGTTATGATTATTTGTAGCAATGATCTCTCAACTATACTCGGAATTACATTTTGCTCACTCAACTCCAAAAATAGTTACAAAGATCACTCAATTAAGTGTTGTGTTGCACCATTAATCCCTACCGTTAGAGAGACTTGACGGTATGGACTAACGATGCAACACAACACCCAATTGAGTGACCTCTGCAACTAATATTTGAGTTGAGTGACCAAAATGTAACTCCGAGTATAGTTGAGGAACCATTGCTACAAATAACCCATCATAAAAATACTCATTTTCTCAATTTCAATCTTAAAATATGAGTTTGATTTTCATTTCAACCTAAATGGCAACACCTTCGGTGCTGTACAGGAGGAACAAATATACTTAATTCACTTATTTCAATTGTGACAATATTTAATCTGCCTTGAAAACAAAAATGTAGTAATAATTCCTATCAGCACAAAGCTGATTTGTTCTCTGTACATATTTTCTGTAACCACTCCACAACATCGCACAAGCAGATATGAAACACTGTACACTGCCGGGATGCCAACTCCCCTTGCAAAATCTGCAACTGTTTCATCCCCACATTCCTTCATTGGCTTGAAAGATCATGAACCCAAATCCTTCCAATTTCTGCTTTAAACATGCCTGCAGATACCGGATATCAATTTTAAATGTATGTTTAAACCAAACCATCACATAAAATCAAAATAAAAACAACAAATAATTATCAACATGGTCCAAGAAAATTTATTAGCAACAAACATCAAATAATAGAAAGAGAAACCAACTATGATTTTTTTTTTTTTTTTTTTTTTTTTTTGGAAAAGGAAATTACAAAGCGAAACCACAGGGGAGTGTAACCATATTAGATTTTTGGCATACCTATATTAGAGGTTGGGCATATTTTCTAAGAAAAAACAACTTGTAAACTATACTGTAACTTAGAAAACAAGAATTAAACAACAGTATCTTGGTAGAGATTTTTATATGATGCTAGATTTAGTTGATTTATTTGCTATGCAACATGTTATAGAATCAATCTAATTCAAGGATGTGCACTAATTATATAATGATTAGATATTTCCGAAGTAACTAAGCAATAATAAATTAATAATAATGAAAAACAGAGAACAAACAAAGAAAAAATGGGCAAAGCAAAATACCTGTACAGGGGCATTCATAGGCAAACCCATGCGATCAAGGAAGCTGTGCCCTACGGTACAAAACTGGGTTGATCACTTCTGCAGCTTGGCTGATCATTTCACATTGCAATTCCTTTTCAGGGTTACTAATGTCCACATCTAACATTTGCTCTTCTCTGTTGCTCTCATTTTCAGATTGGTTGCAATCAGAGTCCATCGCATCATCGCCCATGTCAGGTAAAGAGAAGGACCATGATCGTACCAAATTCCTCGGAACTTCAGGCGATTCATCCACTGATGGTACCAACATTCGAGGTGGAGGATTACTCCCTCTGCGCTCTGCAAGAGAGGGGGAATTCCCTTTACATGGCAAACATGAATTTGCCACTTCCAAAGTAAAATTAGCAGAAAATGTCTCTTCAGGTGAAGAAGGAGATTTTTTGAAAAGTAAGCTTGAGTTATCTGCCAAAGAAATATTCTTAATATAAGATGGATCCGTAGATTCCAAGCCAGAAGGTGAAGGCTGTTGAGAAGACAAACATGACAAGTCCGACCAATTAGAAGATGATGGTGAAAAGGTAAATGAACTAGAGTAATCAGAGTTTGAAGGGGACAGTGTTGGGGATTTGGAGCTGAACTTAGGACTGCTGTCAGGAAAACAAGAAAAAGAATCCGGTGAACGACAACGAGTTGTAGGTAATGATAATTTCTCAGTAAAAGGAACAGAGCATTCTACTTCTCTAAAAGTATCTCGTATCCTACATGGGCTGCTACTTGGAAAGCATTCAAAGGAATCAGGTGAGCTACGAAAGTGGCGTGATGCTGATAATGGCGATGAAGGCTCAACCAGAGAAACAGGGTCTTCTGCTTCTTTATGAGTTTCCATAACCATATCCGACTCATCACTGGATGGGCTAGTGTTACAGTTCAGCTCAGAAGACGTGACCAAATCTTTCATAATGCCGCTAGCAAACTTTTGCCGCAATCTACCCCATCCATTTTCTCTGGCTGGAAGGCAAGTTTCTGATTCAGTATTAGATACTGAAAACGGTGGGACAACCCCTCCTGCAATTGCCTTATGGAAAATTTCGAAATCCAAATCATATTCAACAACCTTCCTTTCACCCACAGGAACACACCTAGATGCAGCCACCTTATCGCCTCCAGAAGAAAAAGTTTTCTACCTTTTTCACATCTGCCTTGCTGTGATCTTCTGCTAAGACCCCACTGGAAAGAGCGTCCCAAAATTCCAAAGGTTCTTCACCTTCATTGATGTCCACAATCGGACCCTTTGCCCTCTCATACTGGATGACCTGAAAGGCAGCTGCCCTTGCATTATCTGACATCATTGTGTTGCAATCCTTTCCAATCCAGACATATAAAGCCGATGGAACATGCACAACGAATGCTCCACGAGAGTCAAGTCCTTGTGCACCTGGATGGCCTAACGTCTTTGGCACGAGATGAAGAGGATCATATGATGAATGCGGGGCCATCCGGTACATCCTTAACATGGAATTTGGGCTTGCAGGCACAGCATGTACCCTCTTCTGGCACTGCAGGAGTTGACAAGCAAAACCCATATTTGGGTTAGTCACCCCTCGAGCAGCCTTCACGTACTGAAATGCATCTTCAAAGCTCTGGCCCTCTCTCCACATGAGGTATGCAATGACCAGAGAAGTTGACCGAGACACTCCCTGACAACAATGCACAAGAACTCGCCCACCTTGCTTTCGAACATCTTCAAAATAATCAAACACATCATAGAGTATACTTGTAATGTCCTCCGACGGGCTATCTTTCAACCAAAGTGTCTTGTACACAAGATCATTCTTGAAATACTCAGGAGAAACAAACCCAACACAGTTGAGCACGTGGGTGATCCCGTTCTTCCTCAGAACCTCACGGTTCTTAGCCACCGCATCACTTCCTAAGTATATATGATCAGCAATTCTCGAGCATTCTTTATCGAAAAAAGCAAGCTTATCCTTCTTACACTCAAATTCTCTCCCAGGTTGTTCTGGGTTCAAATTCGGAAGGGGTTTAACTGATCCTCTTGGGGTTTGGGGTTGAGGCCATACCCCAAGATCATCAGAACCCGCCCTTGGCCACTCCTGAACGGTGTTCCTAGCTATTGAAAGGGGCTGAAGTGGAGGTAGGCAAGACCTCGCTTTACTATTCAGCTGTGGCCTTGGATATGGATTGTTAGGTTTAGAGGGTGAGCGGTCAGACCACGACACCGACCGCAAATACGTTTTCCGGGTATTTCCGGCGAGCCGGTTTTTCTCTTCTTCGCCTAACATCTCAAAGTGGTTTGACAACAATTCTAAAAACTAATTGGTACCCATTAAAGGATTCTTCCGGGAAATGACATAGAAGCCATCAAGTTGAACTTTTGGAATAAATAGCATGGTATTGAATTTTCAGCATCTGTCTCTCTCTCTCTCTCTGCTCTTTTTCTCACCTAAAACCCTTGACCACCCTCTCTCTCTCTCTCTCTCTCTCTCTCAGAGTAAAGGCTACAGCTTTCAATCTAGACAGTTGATTAAGAAGGAAATTCAAACACGAAAACGACTGAGTAAACCCTAGCTCAGCTCAAGTGGGGCGCCTAGATTCTACCAATAGAGACAATAAGAAAATAGTTAATGGGATTTAGTTAAAAATTATATAGTCGATATTTTTGAAGAGAGACTTACTTGAAACTTTGAAAATAAAAATATCTCTTCAGCTGAAGGGTCGCTTGGTGTTTGTCTGTGACAGACTTTGAATCCCCATAGAGACAGAGAGAAGGGAAAGATAGGAAGAGACTGAATTTTGGAGAGAACGAGTTGGACTGAGTCACTTGGTTGGGGTTGTTGGCGGGTTGGTTTTTAGACTGGAGAAGGAATGGGTCAAACTGCCACGCCATCATTCACGAATGGTCTAACAAAACAAGCATGCATGTCGAGTCTTGTGATGTCATTTATGTATGTATGTATAGTTCAGAGTTCAGACCGAGATTATGGGGAATACATGAATTTATAATTATTTATATTTATAGCGGATATTTGGAGAAATTATTGCATGGTATTTAAATACGGGATGTAGTATAATCAGTGGTACGGATTCAGATCCTCTGCTCTGATTTTCTCTGCCATAATCTACTTTATTTTTATTCTTCATATGCTACCTCATTAAAATTTAATCTAAGAGATTTAAAAGTTGACACATCATCCTAAAACAAAAACCCAATTTACTCATAAGTAAAAAAGAATAAAAACCCCTAACACCCAACTAACAATAGTTAACGTCCAGCTGGTTTTTTTTCTCCTTCTTATTCACGTTCTGTTCTGTTCTTTTTTTTCTTTTCTTTTTTAAATTTATTTATTTTATCTCTTTATGTCATTCTCTCCTTTTTTTCTTTCTCTCCTTGCCAAATTCTGCTAAAATATGAAAACTATGAGAGAATATTTGTTTGTGGGAATTTTCTGTGTATACTTCTCCTTGTAGGAGGTCATATTTATAATACAACGAAACCTGAATGGGCAAGTAAATAATAAATTCCTAACTCTATTTATAATAGAAAATCAAGAATTAAAGTAAATCAATTATAATTATAATAGGAATTCTTCGTGTGTAAGAAAAGTAAGTCAATATCCACAAGTCACGCCAACACTCCCCCTCACGTTGGTGCATAGATGTCGCCAATGCCCAACTGATCCAGTGAATTGTGGAATGCTTTACTGGAAATCGCCTTTGTCAAAATATCCGCCAATTGATCCTCGGATTTCACAAAAGGAAACTGAAACACTTTAGCCTCAAGCTTCTGTTTGATGAAGTGTCGATCCACCTCAACTTGTTTAGTACGATCATGCTGAACCGGATTCTGTGCTATGGTTATAGCAGCCTTGTTGTCACAAAAGAGATTCATTGTAGATGTAGGTTTATACCCAAGTTCAGTAAGCAACTTTCTTAACCAAAGAAGTTCACAAATCCCTTTAGTCATGCCTCTGAACTCGGCTTCTGCACTGGATAAAGCTACTACATTTTGTTTCTTGCTCCTCCATATCACCAAATTACCTCCTACGAATGTGAAGTAACCCGATGTGGATTTTCTATCTGTTACATTACCTGCCCAATCTGCATATGAATAACCATCAATATTTAGATGACCATGCTTTGAGAACATAAGTCCTTTTCCAGGTGCAGACTTCAAATATCTAAGTATCCGAAGAACTGCATTCATGTGGTCTTCACTTGGAGAGTGCATAAATTGACTGACAACGCTCACTGCATAAGCAATGTCTGGTCGAGTATGTGACAAATAGATCAATCTTCCCACTAACCTTTGGTATATTTCTTTGTTAGTTGGAACTTGATTCGGATATTCTCCAAGATGATGATTCTGAACAATAAGAGTGTCCGCAGGTTTGCAATCTAGCATTCCTGTGTCTGTCAACAAGTCCAAGACATATTTCCTTTGAGAGAGAAATATGCTTTACTGCGATCGAGCCACCTCAATTCCCAAGAAATACTTGAGTCCACCTAGATCTTTCATTTCAAACTCTGTAGCCAGATAGTCTTGTAGTTGTGATATTTCCTGTTTATCATTCCCAGTAATAATTATATCATCAACATAAATTATTAATGCTGTTACCTTCCCTTTCCTATGTTTCAAGAACAGAGTATGATCGGAGTTGCACTGTTTGAAACCATTGTTCTTCATTGCCATGGTGAACCGTCCAAACCATGCACGTGGTGACTGTTTCAACCCATACAATGCTTTTCGTAACCTGCAAACTGTTCCAGTCTGAGTAGTATTATAACCAGGAAGAATGTCCATGTACACCTCCTCCATGAGTTCGCTATGTAGAAAAGCATTCTTTACATCAAACTGGTGTAGTGGCCAATCCAAATTAGCTGCAAGGGACAATAAGACTCTGACGGTGTTTAACTTTGCAACTGGAGCAAAGGTTTCTTCATAGTCTATACCATAGGTCTGTTTGTACCCTTTTGCCACAAGTCTTGCCTTGTATCGCTCGATAGATCCATCTGCATTGTGTTTTATAGTAAACACCCATCTACATCCGATAGTCTTTTTTCCTCGTGGTATAGTCTCCAATGTCTAAGTCTGATTTTTCTCAAGAGCTTTCATCTCATCTTTTATAGCTTGGACCCACTTAGGATCTTTCAATGCTTCAGAGACCTTGGTTGGAATATGGATAGCAGACAACTGATGCACAAAAGCCTTGAGTGGTTCAGACAGCTTCTCAGTGGATACATGATTTGCAATTGGATACTTGGATGTTTTGCCAATATCAGTGAATAGCGGTTTGGTGGCTTCCCACGATTTTGCTTGAAAGGTAATTGATATCCAATAGTTTTATCCTCTAAATGCACAAGTCTAGTAGGAGTAATTACCTCAAGGATATTCTCAGGAGATTGGTCTGTTGGTACTGTTGAGTTAGAGGGGGATCTTCATCTTGTTGTTCTGTATTGTCTGTAGGTGTGAGACTCGGATCAGAAATATCTTCGTATGGATCAGGTGGGTCAGGTAATTGATCGCTATGAATGGGCGATTGGTCACTTTTTGGCATAGAGTAATCTTGTGCTCCAGACTCGGGATGATCAATCATTTCTGTACATAGGAGAATTTCTTCGTTTTCCAAGTTGCTCCAATTCTGCTCTTCACTTCGTATCTCCCCCTGAAGCGTAGAATTGGATGATGGGTCATGGAAGAACAGCTCAGATTCCAGAAAGGTCACATCTAAAGTGACATAGGTACGTCGGGTAGGAGGGTGATAACAACGGTAACCTTTCTGATGAGTGGCATAACCCACAAAAACACAACAAAGCGCACAGGGATCAAGTTTGCTACGTTGATTTTTGTGGAGATGAACGAAAGCCACACATCCAAAGATTGGGGGTAGGAGTACCAAAACAGAGGGCAGAGGTCTATGTTGCGCAAGCACCTGTAAGGGAGTTTTAAAGGTCAATACACCATAAGGCATGCGGTTGATTACGTGAACTGCAATGACAATAGCATCATCCCAGTGATGGCGAGGAACATGAGCGCCAATTAGAAGTGCTCGAGCGGTTTCAAGAAGATGTCGATTCTTTCGTTAAGCAACACCATTTTGTTGCGATGTCTGAGGACAAGTCGTCTCATGGATAATTCCATGTTGTTGGAAGTAAGTCTGAAAGTCATGATTGACAAATTCTCCACCATTTTCGGAGCGAAGAATCTGAATTTGAGCATTAAACTGAGTTTTCATCTGTTTGTGGAAGGACTGAAACCGGGAAAACACTTCGTTTTTATTCTTCAGCAAATAAAGCCATGTCATCCGTGTACAATCATCTATGAACGTGACAAACCATCGAACACCAGAAGGAGCAGTGATAAGTGAAGGTCCCCAGACATCAGAGTGAATTAACGTAAATGGAGTAGTACACTTGTTCGTACTCAACGGGTCGGGCACACGGTGACTCTTGGCCAAAATACAAGTATCACATGTGAAGTCGGAGTCCTTGAAACCTGAGAATAAATCTGGTATAAGATGCTTCATATAACTAAAAGACGGATGTCCCAATCGACAGTGCCACAACCAGATTTGCTTTTGTTTGCTATCAAAGGGATGCGTCACACTGTTAGCCATGCCAGGACTGAAGTCATCGACATAATATAGCCCCTCTCTCTTAGTACCACGACCAAGAATCTCCTTAGTGTGAATATTTTGAAGCAAACAAAAACTCGGGTAAATGAGTACACAACAATTCAATTGTTCAGTAAGCTGACTAACGGACAACAATTTAGTGGATAAAGATGGAACAAGTAAAGTATTAGACAGTGTGAGAGATGATGAGAGTGCAACAGTGTCAGCCCCTGTCATAGGATAAGTAACACCATTGGCATTTGCAATACAGGTTCGTCGAGGTTGTGTAGTATTCAGAAAATCATCAGGATCAAACGTCATATGATCAGTTGCACCGGAATCAATTATCCAACTCCTGGAATCAATCTTAGTGGAAGTATGGAATCCATAACCAGTACCATTACTGGTCGTATTGCGTTGTCCTCGATCTTTAAGAGTAGCCCACCAATCAGGATAGCCATGCAATTTAAAACAAGTCTCACGAGTGTGTCTTGGATCACCACAATATTCGCAATCTGGTCCATGTGTCGGGGTCGTTAGTTGAGAAGTCATAATCTGTGTAGCGGAAGATGTATAGGATACAGATTTAGTAGGAATTCGGATCGGGATCTAAGCCTGAGACGGGGTCGGAGTCGGAGTCGAAGTCGGGATCGGGGTCTGAATCAAAGACAAATTTGGGGTCGGGGTCGGAGTCATCATCGGAGTGGGGGTCGAGGTCGTTGTCGGAGTCGGAGTCAGAGTCGAGGTCGTCGTCGTCGTCATAGTCGTGGTCAGGGTCGGGGTCGTCAAAAAAGGATCCTGATTCAGGATTAGATTCAGGGCCAAAGTCTGCATCTGTAGGAGCTGAGCTAGCTGGGCACTCAACTCAGCTATGGTTGGTTGAGAAGGAGAGAAGGAGTCGGTGGTGCTACCTCCATGAGGGATGAAAAAATCACCAACCCCCATAGCGGTGGCGGGGTTGTGAAACTAGAGCCAGCAATTCCAAGATCGCTGCTCTGCTACCATGCTAAAATATGAAAACTATGAGAGAATATTTGTTTGTGGGAATTTTCTGTGTATACTTCTCCTTGTAGGAGGTCATATTTATAATACAATGAAACCTGAATGGGCAAGTAAATAATAAATTCCTAAATCTATTTACAATAGGAAATCAAGAATTAAAGTAAATCAATTATAATTATAATATGAATTCTTGGTGTGTAAGGAAAGTAAGTCAATATCCACAAGTCACGCCAACAGATTCTTGTGTCAAAAATCTACTTCAGTAGCTTGTGAAGCAGATATTCTTCTATGAGGCAGTAACATCTGAGTGCATTCTTGTCTTACAAGAGGATGATTGTGGTTGTCCATAAAATGGCTAACCCAATACTTACCATTAGATTTATTCAACTTAATGACTATTTTAGCATTACAACCCATCCTTGTTTCTGCCCGAGAACTTTTAGTTAAATAATCTCGCTTATCTTTCAGTCGAAAACCCTCCTTGCAACAAACAAATACTCTTGAAATTATTTGACCAGTATTCTTATTCTTGTTATGTGAATCTTTTCTAATACTAAATCCTGCTCTTCGCCCATACTCATTATAAAACTCATATGCAGCTTGTTTTGAAAGAAATTCCATATCACGTGTGGGCTTATAATCTAAATTATCTTCACAAATTGTAGCCACCGAACCTTTCATTCTCAATCTATAAAACAAATATAATAATGTTAATCTATCATACAATGATAACAGTCAAATTTAAATTTACAAATTAAAAATGAAGGATGGAGGTAGATATACCAAAACATTAATTGAAATCCAATTCAAAGCGCCACACACAGAAAACCAATTAGCTAGTCTCAATGAGAAAGAGGGAAATTTTGAATTGTTGCAGACATAGGAACCAAAAAAGAAAACGAAAAAAAGGAAAGAAGCAACGCATGCAGCAGAGACCAATAAATGAAAGCATATGTAGCATGAACCAATAAATAAGAGTATGTATGAGGGATAAAAGAAAACGAAAAGCATGCCAAATAATCCTGCTTACTTCAAGTTCACGTCTTCACAGTAGCCTTGCCAATATACTCACACTAACCAAAGCTAAGGTAATATGAATATGAATGTAAATAAAGAGAAGAGGACAAAACCTGAAGCAAGGAGGAAAAAAAAAGAGGACAGAACAAGAAGAAAAAAAAAAAAAAAAAAAAGCTTTGGACGTTAAATATCCCGTTAGTTAGGTGTCAGGTTTTTTTCTTTCTTTTTTAATTAGGAGTAAATTGAGTTTTTGTTTAGGATGATGTGTCAACTTTTAAATCTCTTAGATTAAATTTTAATAAGGTGGCGTATGGAGAACAAAAGTAAAGCAGATCATGACATAGAAAATTAGAGCAGAGGATCCGGATCCGCAAGCAGCACAATAGTGTTGTGTTAGGTACCGTTTCAAGTCTTGGTAGTCTTGTAGACTATTATGATATAAGTGAATATTTTTTAATTAACACTATACTCTAAGTGGTTTTTACTTAATAAGTTTGATCAAAAGTTTTAATTAAGTGATTTTTAGCTGAGCTAAGAGGCATGGAAAATGTGTAACATGCGCTTTCAGTTTCAGAAACAAGTAAAATATCAAATATTGCACTTTATACTATAGTGAGGGCCAAGTTCTTCAAACATTGCACTCAAATATGTTTGTGTATTTTAGTAGTTTTGTTTCAAAATAGAAAGATGAAGAAGTCATCCAAAGATGGCTGGAAAGTTGGAAAGGAGATTAGGAACTAATTAAGCATTCAAATCACATTATAAAACACTATAATTCCTAGTCATACATTCTAGTAGTTTGATCTAATACAATATCTCGATGGATCAATCGTTGAACCTCACAGTAAACAACAGAAACTAATGACTTGTTCATCTAGGTTTATGTTTTGTTCTTTGCCGCCGTTAATTAATTGATATAGTTTATTCTAAGAGCATTTCCAACCGAAATCTTAGAAAACAAGAAGAAGAAAAAAGTGTCATCATTTATGGAAGCCCCAAACATAAAGCCCCAAAACTCCATAAACCCAAGTAGCTAGGAGGTGCCAATTGGTTCTATTCTCATGGCAAATTGTAAAAAAATGTAAGTGACCAAAACAAAGCCTTGTTGGTCAACAACGGTGCTGTATGGGGGCTTCACATTTTTCTAACCTACTGAGATGAAGAAGCAGCAGCAGTTTGAATTTGACCAGGGATTTAATTAAGACAAAATTAACAAACCCTACTGCATGTTTGTTTAATCAAGTGGCATGTTTTGTCCAGTGTGCTCCATTTATACAAAAATGGCCGACGTCCTTTTTCTCTCTTTTTTTTTTTTTTTTTTTTTTTGGGGTTGAGAAATGGACGTGCATTATAATTTTATGTGAACGCAAGACTCTTTCAGTTACAGTCAACGTCGGTTGCACCAGGAGAAATAAATAAATAATTTTTGGCAGAAGATAGAAAAATAACGGTCAAAAAAGGTGGGCAAGAAAGAAAGAAAATAAAGAATCAAATTGCCTTTTTTTCTTTCTTGTCCGGTCCCCCACTCAAAGTTGTATTTGTATTTCGTAGTGGTATTTTAACTTAACCCTGGTGGCCTCATTATAACAAAGGGACAAATAAAACTACATATCATATCATGGATTAATCTTAGGAAATGCTGAGCCAATCAATTCTAAGATATATTTTCTGAGAATATGTGACAAAATTAATACTTGAAGATTGTCCAAATCGTAGATAAGATGCTTGTGTGTGAGTTGGGATGATGGAATAAGTGTCTAATATATCATAATCATGGACGACCTCTTTTTATTTGTAACGTAGTGCCAAGTGAAAAAAAGACTTTAGAAGAGAATATGACATTGTAATTTGTATGAATATTATATTGTTGAAGATATATTTCGAAAATTCCACATATGTAAAGTGATAAGAGTCAAACTTTGACTATAATATGAGGATGAATACAACCGTATTAGGGTTATGGTTAATAAATATGATACATATAACATACTTGTTTATTATCATTTTAAAACTAATTGCAAGCAAACGAGATTGGCCTAATACAACCTACTACAGACATGTGACATCAGTCTAAAAGTTAAATAACTTGATAACTTAAGTACCAATTACTTCCCTTCTTACCCTGTAAGTAGAAGTTCCTACATTTTTGTCAATAGTTGTGTGATATGTGTGCATAAGTTTTTCTTTTTGTGTTTTTGATTAATTCTTTTTGTATATGTGTCAAACTGTGATTCACAAGAAAGATGAGTATCTCCTTACAGGGAAGGAGGCAAGCAATATCCAAGAAAATATATTGGTAGAGATCGTAAGTTGAATACTTCCACTCAGAAGTTCAGAACCTTAATGAAAAAAAGAAATCAATGTTCTAAAGCCCAATATAGCCCACTAAATTTCCAAGTAAGGCAGCCCAATCTGAAGCCCAGTTTAGAATACATTGGGTTTTGGCATGGGGCCCACAAAACCACCCACTTACTCGACCCATCTCTCTTGCCCGCGACGCACTGAGTTCATCTTCATTGCTGAAACCAGGTGGGCTTGGCAGCTGCCATAGCTTAGCTATACCTTCTCTCGAATGGCTATACCACCATTTTCGGGTAGCAATTTCATTTCCGCTGTAGCTTTACCTGTACCTGTTCGTCCCTTCTCTCTCACCATTATTGGGGTTTTAGGCTTTGATTTCTCTGTCTGCCTGATACCGTACCTTCCGATGCATTAAGTTCCTATTCGTATGTATGGTCTTTGCTATGCATTCACTCTGATATGTATCGCAGTCTCGGCGTTAACCGCCTCATATTCCGCAGTCGCATAGTTTACTACGTGAAAACTGGTCTAATCGATCAAGCTCTCCAAGTGTTCGACGAAATGACCCGCTCCGATTGCCGCGTATTTAGCATTGACTACAATCGCTTCATCGGCGTATTGGTCCGCCATTCGCGTTACGATCTCGCCGAGCACTACTACTACGAAATGGTGCCACAGGGCTTCTCTTTAAGCGCATTTACTTACTCTAGGTTTATTTCTGGGCTGTGCAAGATCAGAAATTTCACTCTCATTGAAAAACTTATTCGAGACATGGATAGGCTTGGGGCTGTGCCTGACATTTGGGCTTTCAATATATATTTGAATCTTCTGTGCCAAGAAAACAGGGCACATTTTGCTCTGGAAGTGTTCCATAGGATGGTTGATAAAGGAAGAGAGCCTGATGTTGTATCATATACTATACTTATTGATGGGTTGTGTAAAGCTAGACAATTTGATAAGGCAGTTGATATTTGGACTAGTATGATTAGGAAAGGGTTCAAGCCCGATAATATTGCGTGTACAGCGCTTGTTGTTGGATTGTGTGATGGTGGGAAGGTTGATTTGGCATATAACCTTGTAATAGGTGAAATGAAGGGTCAAGTCAAGTTTAGTAATTTGATATATAATACGTTGATTAATGGGTTTTGTCGAGCTGGTAGAATTGATAAGGCACAGGCAATCAAGTCATTTATGAAGAGGAATGGGTGCGAGTCGGATTTGGTTACTCACAATGTGTTATTGAATTATTGTTGTAATGAGTTCATGTTGGAGGAGGCTGAGAAGTTGATGAAGAAAATGGAGAGGAGTGGTATGGAACCTGACGTGCATAGTTACAATCAGCTTCTCAAGGGCCTTTGTCAAGCTAATAGAGCGGATAAGGCATATTTGTTGATGAGGACTAGGATGGAGCCAAAGGGGCTGTGTAATGTTGTGTCATATAATACCATCATCACAGCATTTTGCAGGGCACACCGTACTGGAAGGGCTTATAAACTGTTTGAGGAAATGGGTCAAAAGGGCACCATGCCAGATGTGGTGACGTTCACTATTCTTATAGAAGCTTTTTTAAGAGAAGGTAGTTCAGATATAGCCAATAAGCTTCTTGATCAGATGACAGTTATGGGTCTGTTGCCTGACCGGATATTTTACACTACAATAGTTGATCACCTATGTAAGAGTGGGAAGATTGCAATGGCTTATAGTGTTTTCAGTGATATGTTAGAGAAGGGCATCGCCCCTGATGCTGTTTCATTTAATGCTCTTATTAATGGGCTTTGCAAGGCTTCTAGAGTGAGTGAAGCTATGCATCTCTATGAGGAAATGCAGAATCGAGGATGTTGTCCTGATGAGGTAACTTTTAAATTGATAATTGGAGGTCTCATAAGGGAAAATAAGCTTTCAGTGGCTTGTAGGGTATGGGATCAGATGATGGAGAAGGGCTTTACTCTTGATGGAGCTGTCTCTGAGAGACTGGTTAATGCCATCCATTCAAAAGATGGCATGAAAATGCAAAATGGTCAGTATGGTATATAAACCCTTGTATTTTTTCTGTTCATGTATCCATATGTGCCATGCTTTTTTTATGGAGTAGCTTAAGTGTTTTACTTGAATGATTTGTTAATGGGAAAGTATTTAAAAGCTTTATTTACACCACTGGCAGCGCTGGTATTCCATTTACTCAATAGCATATTTAATTTTTCTTCGTACCACTGAAGTTATATTGATTCTTATTTTCTAGTGCTATAAGTTGGTTCTTATTATTGATGAATCGTTAAACCTGTGATGCTGCCAACCGCTTTTACTTTTAAAGATGGTTTCATTGGTGTAGTGGATTGTGAGGTTGGTTGTGTAGCTTTGTGTAAAGTTGTTACAAATGGTATGATATTGACTACGCTATCTTATTTTTTGGTGAGTTGCAGAGTCCATTGTTAGAGGCACTTGTTAGTTGATGATTACACCTCATCAAGCCTGGTCTTGTTTCTATCTTGTGCCCTTTCTGGCAAGCTGCAAAAGAACTCAGGTATGAGCTTATGAGCTTTTGTTTAATTCTGTATGTATTCTATAGATGAATTTATTGCTGTTTTGTGAGTGTCAAACAGTGTAGATGGGTGTGGGTGAGGGGTTGGGGGAAGATGGAAAAGGGGGCAGTTTAACCGTTTCATTGTGTGCTGAATGGAAAATTAGATATCCTGAATATATCCATTTGTCTTGTGCTTATAAAGACTCAGTTCATCCAATGAAAAACTGAAACAGTGAAATTTTTCGTTGCTGTTAGGGTATTCTATTTGAGGCACCAACTTTAAAGTTAGTATTGCTTCATTATTAATTGTCTCCAAAAATCTGTACCCTTCATTTTTTTTAATGTCTTCTCACCATGTTCTTGTGATCGGCCAGTAATATTCTTTATGCTCATGCTTTGCAGGATTGGACCTTGGATTTTTTTGAGCCAGATGTTTTTCAGAGCTTTATGCTTATCCTTGTACGATTTGTCTCCTAAATTGACACATTCTTTCTCCTTACAATGGTAAATGGTACTTTAACCTACTTTTTTCTTTTCTTTGTTGGTTGTAATACATACATTTAACCTGATACTGCTGTTGTTTAGAACAATAGGTATCAGGTAATGTGAGTGGGTTTGCAAGAACCAGACTACTTCATGGTAATTGGTTACCTTGATTCTCTTCTCGGAGCACATTGTTATTGGTTGGTTCATCCTTGTTAATCTCTCCAAATTCGTCTAAGGAAAATAAACAAAAGAGACACCTTATGAAGATTTCAGAACTACATAGTGATGTGGTATCCCTTTTACTTTCTGGACTATGAAGTCAACCCTCATGTGTTAGGTGCATGTCTAGTCTTAGGCGATATCTACCAATATAATTCTGAAGCAATCTAGAATTTTGATTGTCTTTTTATTTTTGAAGTAATAATAATACGGGATGATGCAAGTGGTCACATTTAGTGCTCATGAATTTGCTTTTGACTTCTTGCTTTGTCAGTCTGAGTATGTCGTGATCAGGTTAGGAGGGATAATAATTTGTGTGTTCTGTTGTCTCTGCTGTGATGTTTGCTGCATTCCTAGACATTAGGATATGAATATGCTGAATGACATGCAAGTAACAATTCTCATATTGTTTCTGCTCCTTGTTCTTCTCATTTAATGTCTCTCTCTGCTACTTAAATCCCTTATAAAGTTTCATATTTTATTTTTTAGGATGCACAATGACCATTCTTGGGATTATAGCTGACATGCAGAGGCTGCAGATCCATTTTGAGAATGTTAGCGTGAGAACACTATTGATCAAATTTGGGCATGGGTATGGCTTCTTATGTGATATGCAGTGAGTGCCACCTACTGCAACTATTCCCTTCTTTTTTTGTGTTCCTCTTTGGAGGGAGGTGTGGAGGTTAGGTGTGGTCTACTGAGGCAGAATTATGAATGAGGCCATTGTATTCTTCCTTTGTATGTAGGGATTGACAAGAAAGAGCTGCTAAATTTTATGGCCATGTCCTGCTCTGAATAAAAGCGGATTAAAGCATAGAAGCTCGGGTTTCCTTTGCCAAGCTGGAGTGTCGAGGATGGAAGAAAGTGGAGAGAACTTTCAAGTTCTAACGAATCACTATTAATTATTACAATCATAATGGAAGTGCTGACAAGTTGCTTTTTCAATAATTGTGGCATTTTTGTAGCTCGACTCTGAATCACAATACAACATCTTCTCTGAACGAGTGAAGATGTTCTGTGGTCATAAACAATTTAACATTGAGTTGTTTATTGAAAAAGAGAAGCAGGATTTTAATGGTTAGTATTTGGATTTTTTTTTCAGTTTTGTTGTTTTTCTTTCGAGCTGTGCGTGGCAATATTTTTTTAATTTTTTAATTTTATGAAACAAGGGGGAAAGAACCCCAAAACCCCAAACAAAGGGTGATCATGTTCATTCTAATCTCTTTTGTAAAGGTTATCCCAAATCCGATGATAATCTATCCGATATGGTGGAGAACCTGTATAATGTATTCGTTCGCATTGGCCCAGCATAGCCACTCTAAAATACAGAAACAGAACCACTTGAAAAAAGTTGGTACCAAGATTACTTGCCTCCCATGCTTAACTACGTTTGATTCTTTGCCTTTCCAAAAATCATCCTTGAAGTTTTCTTCAAGTCATCCTCTTTCCCTGTTGGCCTCCAATTCCTTATTATTCCTCATTCCTCGATCTTCAGCTCTTCTTCCTTGCTTACTACTTGTCCATGCTACCATGCCTACCCATGATGACACCAACCCTCATTTTGTCAGACCCTTTCAACCACAAGGTCCAGACCAATATCCCCAAACACCTCCTGTTGGTCCATTCCTGCAACAACCACAGCACCAAGGCCAGCACTCCGGCCCTGTGAGCCTCGGTCCCGGTTGGACTGAACCACCACCAGATGTTAAGCCAGCCCGTCGTCACCGGCAAAAGCATTCAGGCAGGCATTCTCGGCCACTAGGTCCATTGGTGTCATTCCATCCACACTTTCAAGACCAACATCCTCATCCACAGCCAAACCATTCAGGCCAGCAAACCCAGCCGCTAGTCCCCCCGGTGCCCATTGCAAACCAAGATAATGAAGACCCACAACCTCCGGCAAAGCGTCAGAGCCAGCAAACCCTGCCACTGTCAAGCCATGATCATGAAGACCAACTGCATCCTCGGCCACATGGTACACAAGGACAGCCACAACATGGCCAGCGTCCTCCCTCGCATGGCTTGCTCAGGCCACATACTCCACAAACCAACCTCTTTCAATGGTCATTAGCCATCTTCTGTGCAATTTTTTGGGTTATCATAATCATAGGAGGCCTAGTGGTTCTCATAGTCTATCTTATTTTTCGCCCCCGGACACCGAAATTCGATGTCTCCACTGCCACCCTCAATGCAGCCTACCTTGACATGGGCTATCTGCTCAATGCTGACCTTACTGTGCTAGCGAACTTCACCAATCCAAACAAGAAGGTGAGCGTGGACTTCAGCTCCTTGATCATTGATCTTTATTATGGAAATACCCTAATTGCTACCCAATACATAGAACCCTTTTCTGCACACAAGAGAGAGTCCATGTTTGCAAATGTTCATATGGTGGTTAGTCAGGTCCGTCTTGGATTGTTAGAGAGCCAAAGGCTTCAGAAGCAGATGGAGACCAATAGAGCCGTTTTTGAAGTCAAGGGATCTTTCAGAGCACGTGCTAATTTTGGAAATATCCTACGGTACTCTTATTGGTTACATGGTGACTGCAAAGTTGTGTTCACCGGACCTCCTGATGGGGTTCTGGTTAGTAGAAAATGCAAGACAAAACACTAAGGAAGCATTTGGTTTTTCATCTACATTTTCTTCTATTTTCAGATTATGTTTCGATTTTCGTACACTAAGGAATCATTTATATTGACGTTTCGAGCATTTGATAAGTGAAAGCACTCTTTTTCCAACGACCTGATAGTCTGGTACTTGAATTTCAGGTTTGATGTGTCTTAGCTGTAATGTACTGTAATTTCTCTTCTTGTTCAGAATCTGATCATTCAAAACCCTACTCAAAATTCAATATCGAGACGCAAAAATATAACCAGTCCAAAATTTGCCACTTGCAAAAATCCATAAGAGATAACAAAAACGAAATTTATTGCAATATGTGAAGTACAGTATTATTCAGTAGAATGTCTGTAACAGCCATATGTTCATTTTCTAAGAAAACTTAAACAAACACATGCACATGCTAATGGTGAAGGCTAACATTGTTCATAAAGCGGATCACCTCATTGTATGGGAAACTTGTTACATTTCATTTTCTCGGTACAAAATCGAAGGAGAAACTTATGAGAGAGGATATTTACAGAAGCTTTCACCCGAAAGTGAAATGACCGAAATTAAGAATTCCTGGCCAGCCCTTTATGCTTGTGTATGCCAAGAAATAACAACATTCAGGAAAGCAAGCAACCCCGCTCTTCAAAAATCCACAACTTCACAATGCACTCCGATTAAACCTACTAACACTGCAAGAATGAATTTGGCAACTCATCACTAAAACCTCCTGAAATGATCCCTGGTAAAGAACGGATGCCTGAGGGCCTCAGGAGCAGTTAGCCTATTGGAGGGGTCATATCTAAGGAGACCTTGCAGGAGGTCAATGAGATCCCCAGCTGAATGATCTACATGCTGCATAACTATATTCTGCGAAAGACAATATAAATTTGTTGACTTTAAAGTGTTACTGCAACAATGTTCGTGAACATGTTTCGAAACATAAGAATTTAATATATTTAGAAAAAGTACAAATTCTATATACCTGGAGACGATGTAGCTTTAAAACGGCTTTAATACTTTCCCGTGAAGTTGCCCCTTCTGGCCAGTCCAATCTACCCCTCCTGACATACTTCTCAGCGTGCCGGCTAAACCAAAAAAATACAAAAGGAGCAAAGGAGAAGGTGGTGAATACAGACGAACAAATGTCATCTGAACCTTAATATATCAAAATTATGATAAAACTCTTCAAGAAGCACATACTCTGCTCTTCTCAACATGTGCTGTGGAAATGGACCTAAGACCCTCTCCATCATAGCTAGATGTTCTAAGTTCTCATGTGTCTGAAACAACGCTTCTCCCTGAAAAGAATTGCATTTGTTTTTTTTTCATCAGAACTTCTTTGATAGACTTTGATCTAATCCAGAAATTTAGCAAACAAACCAATGCAATTAAAGACATACCGAACACAATTCTACCAAGATGCAACCAACACTCCATATGTCACATGGATAACTCCATCCAAGACCTGTAAATATAAACAATCACATGAATGCTAAAATATAAATTAATAACAAATACTCAAAAAGGAAATGATTAAATGGAAAAAGAGAGCAAATATTAGCATACCAAGAATAACCTCTGGTGCGCGGTAGTGCCTTGTCGAGACAATGTAGTTGTGCTCTTGATGGTCATAGGCAGTGCTGCCAAAATCAATGACCTTGATAGCACTAGACTTTGGCAACCTTTTATAACAGGTTCCATCTTTTGGTGACCGGGATGTAAACTGCAACAACAAAGGAAAAACTTGAAGACTCAAGGATATTTGACACAATATTAAAAGAATGCAGGTAAAAAAGGTGAAAGCATTGATAACGTGACATTGGAAGGGGCGACGAGGAAAAAAGAAAAGAAAAGAAAACACCAACTACAAAGCAATGACATAACAAGCGGACATACCTTGTAGTCTGGTACTTTAACATACTCTGAAGACACAAAAAGTATGTTTTCAGGCTTCAAGTCAGTATGGATGAGACGCATATCATGCATGACTGCAAAATGTTACAGGCCAGAGAAGGCATAAGAACTTAATAGCGATGCACTTTTATTGAATTCAATGTCCAGCTACAACCTCTATATGGTATCATACTAGACATCCAAACAGATTCTAAGAAGATATTCATACATGTCACATGAATAAGCTTTACTTAAAAAAAAAAAAAAAAAAAAAAAAAAAAAACAGAAACTACCAGTAAATTAATTAAGAAGGAAAGGTAAAAACTTATGGAATGGTACAATTGCTGCTATAAACTTTGAATGGAATAAGAGCAACAACAGAAGTCCAACTACACACATGCTACACATTCCAACAGTTGCCTGCCAAGCTCGCGGACAAGATCAACCGGAAATGGGCGATAATTATTTTTCCGGAGGAAATCGTATAAGCTTGGTCCAAGCATCTCAAATACCTGTTAAGACCATTTAAATCCAACAAAGTCTTAACCCCCAAAATATTTGTGAAGTTGGGGAATCATGTTATCAAAAATCAAGCATATACTTACTATACATATATGGTTACGATAGTCAAACCAGTTCCGTATTTGAACACAACTGCAAAGAATAAAGCCACTTAACAATTGACCCAAATTTCATTTTACAACTGCTAAGAAGCAAATGAAATAAGCACATCAGGAAAAAACACTCACCGACTGCCATTTCTGTCATATTTCCCAAGCAACTGTAGCACATCAACTTCTATCATTGCTGCTTCACGATATTTCTTAATACTTCTGACAACTTTTATAGCTACCATCTCTTTTGTTTCCCTATCCCAGCATTCCAAAACCTGACCAAAAGTTCCTACATAATGCAAAGAGCCCAAATATGAGAAGACAGATCGATGAAACATAATTTCATCCAGACACAGGTCTAAAGCCAGTGAAGAAACCTAACCTTCACCAATTTTTCTGTGAATCTTATCTGCAAGTACAGAAACAAGAAATTAAGGAAATATTTTACAAAAGATTATATCAACAGAAACAAATAGATGTTGTGTCTTAAATGTAAACAAATATTCTAAACTTGTTAAGACTAAAATATGTTTATATGCACACAAGAAAGAAAAAAAAAAAAAAAAAAAAAAAAAAAAAAAAAAGGACCAAAAGGAAAAAAAAACTTCTTTCGATATATATGTTTTCGAATTCAAGAGCAACCCTAATGTCCCAAAAAAATATGTCCTGGAACTTTTTTATTTTAAGTATATTTATTTTTTAAAACATTGGAAATAAACCATTGAGGAAAAAAATGAAAAGATGGAAGCACATCAGATTGATTTAAGTTCTGAAAGTTTAAAATACAGCATTAAAAAAAATAGACACATAAAGAATGTAAAGAAAAATTTTCAATGGTGATTGAATGTAATTACAGCGAGAAGTTAAATTCTCTCCCAGCGCAAACATGTAATGCCCATCTTTGTCATCATCTCGCCATGGGGGAGAGCCTTTTTGAGTCAATCCCTTTACAAAAAGACTAGGATGGTCTGGGAGTACCCTTGGAGGTCCAAAGCTTGTCCCATTTCCAACATCTTGCTCATAATATATTCCTGACTGAGCCTACACATAGCCATTTATTCATACTCCACTATACAAAAAGTAATAGAAAAATTTAACCCCTTAGCAATCTATCATTGATTTTCCATCATATTGTCTGAGGAATCAAACAGAAACACAGTTTATGCAGAATAAATAACACACATATAACACCAGACAGGAACATATCCAACTTTTATTTGCCAATAATATTAATATGACAAACCTACCAGATCATGAAAATTTCAATTCTTCCAAATTTTTAAACCCCATAATTTTATAACATCAACTTTTCCCAAGCAAAATAAATTTACAAATTTATAAATAAACCCAATTCTAGACATGTATTTATAAAAAAACCCAAGCACTATTTAAACATAGAAACACACCCAAAATCAACCCTAAAGTCAACTTTTTGGGTGTGTTTATAAATGGGTTTTGAGTGTGTGTAATGATGGGTTTTGGGTGTGTTTATATGTTTAAATAGTGCTTGGGTTTTTTTATAATTTCAACTCCCATTTTGGGTGTTTTAGTGAAACTCCCAAATAAATTTATGTCTAAGGCAATATCTTATACAATATCAGACTTTTCCAGGCCAGACTAACAGATCGCGAAACTTTGAAAAATGACATCATTTCTACAGTCTACCCCGATATACCTATAATTTTATCATTATTTGCTACCCAGAAAATGTTTTAACACAAATAAAAAGGTAAACTGGGATGAATTCAAAATATTAGAAAAATAATTTTGAATAACGAGATAACCAATTCAAGCATAAATAATGAAAAAGGGACCTTGATTATGAGAAGGCTAAAAATTGCACCTTTGGGTGACCTTGAGGGACGTCCCAAGCAATCCTGGGCCTCTTCCTTGGACGCCGATCAATGTGGGAGAGAGGGAACTCCGTCACATAATCCATCTCCATCCGATTCAAATCCCTAACCCTAGATTTACTGATTGAACAGAAATCACTCTGATTAAACGAAGGAATCGAACGGGAAAACGCCCTAACCCTTGTTCTTTGTGAGCTACCGCGAGTCGTCGGATGCGATTCTGGGGCTTAATCTGCACTGTTGGTTGGCATGCTGAGCTGTTTTGCTGACCCCACGTAACTAATTATGTGGCTGAATTTAAACCCTGGTTGAGTTGAGTTTTAGGGCGTGTTTGGAACATTATTAAATTCTTTTTTTCTTTTTTCTTTTTTCTTTTAATGTTGGGCTGCACATACAAAAGGATAAAAGTGACGGATCGGCTTGTAAATTATGGGCCGCAAGCCCAACTTGAAAAAGCCATGCCGTAGGACCTTAACCAGTTTGTGTTTGGGCTTCTACACCATGTAACCAAAACAAACAAAGCCCAAATTTTTTGGATGACACGTGTTAATTAGTATTTGAAATTAAGAAATTGTAACTTGTAAGTTATTGTGAGCTAGCAATTTTAATTTTATTTTAGAGTTTTGAATTTTGCCTCCATATGGGTGGAGAAATTTCAAATAAATGTTTTGGATTTAATAGTTCGTCTAAATTTATTAGAAAACTAGAAAATATTAAATTGAACGTATTTGAAATAATTAATGTATTACATTTCAAATGAATGAATTTGAAATAACTATATGTAATAAATCATTTAAAATTGACTTGTTTTCGTCATTTCATATTGATCAAATCTTCGCATATGTGAGCAAACGCTTATACCATCCGAATGGGCCCATGACATGACGCTAATAGCTTCAGATTTCAAACCTATGTCTCGACAACACGACACGCAAACAAGAACTCATTTCAAGGATAAGGTTTCACTTCAGTCCGGGTATGGGCAAATACCATTTCGCCTCTTCCGCCACCTAGCTAACTTCGTCTTTTGTCATGCTTGCTCTTGGCAGTTTTCCAAAAATATGGCTCACATATTTATCCATTAGACCGACATGAGTTAGTTTTATCAATATTCAAGAAATTAATTATGATTGACTAAAGGTTGCGAGCATTTATTGAAAGGCAGCTGAGCATTGGCGAGCATGCTTATTCATCGAACTTACACGAATAAGTTTTGTTAAAATTTAAGAGAGATCTAATGCAGACAGACACTTCAAACTTATTTGGATATCGTATTTATAAAAAAAAGAGATAGATTGGTGATGCATGTTGTTTTCTTAAATTTAGACTTTTCTACGGCATTTGGATCTAATCAAAGGATCAAGGATATGGATTGCAATTTGCAATATGCTTTTCAAACAAATTGGCTACAACCATCATTATTCTTTGACAAGTAAAACCACCTAATTTATAATTGTGTGCATGCCTGCACTGCACACAGAAAGCATATATATATATGCATGCATCGATCGATCCCATGGCCATGGATTGCTTTCAAAAGTAAACTTGCATTGCAATTGGACAACAAACATAATAATAATCTCGAAAACGAAATCATGGTGGTGCTAATTAAATATGCAATCAATAAAAAAAGATGGCAATTGGCATCCTTTTAAGCTATCGTCAGTATAGACATCCCAATTTTTGTCCTCTAGTTACCATTTTCTTACCTGCTGTTGGTAAATTCCAATCGCACTATGACTAATCAGCAATATTAATATACGTATAACAATGACCTTCATTATGTCTCTGGCTAATGCTTGGCAATACTAATATGCAGAATTAGTCGCACTATGACTAATCAGCACTATGTCTGGCTAGCTAGCTTTATATAAGAAACAAGGAAAGGAAATAATTCTCACAGAAACAAAGAGAACTGACGATAAGAACCCACAATGGCTCTCATCACCCCACTTATTCTGTGCCTTACATTTCTTCTTCTCCCTCTTCTTCTTTTACTCAGAAAGAACAAGCAACAACATAAGAACCCGCAAAAGCACTATCCACCAAGCCCTCCCAAGCTTCCCCTCATAGGCAACTTGCACCAGCTTGGCTCCTCGCCTCACCAATCTCTATGGCAGCTCTCCAAGAAGTACGGGCCAGTCATGCTCCTCCATCTCGGCCGCGTACCGACTCTCGTTATCTCATCGGCTGAAGCAGCCAAAGAGGCCTTGAAAACCAACGACCTCCACTGTTGCAGCAGACCCAGCTCGGCCGGCTCCCGCAGGCTCACATACAACTATCTAGACGTGGCATTTTCGCCTTATGGCGAATACTGGAGAGAGATTAGAAAGATATGCGTGCTTGAGCTCTTCAGCGTGAAGAGGGTCCAGTCGTATTGGTCTGTCAGGGAAGAAGAGGTGGCTAAATTGGTCAATTCAATCTCTTCTTCCTCATCTTCTGGTGCTCCAGTTGATCTTACTGAGAAACTGTTTGCTTTCACTGCCAGTATAATTTTCAGGATTGCTTTTGGGACAACTTTCCAGGGAAGTAAATTTGAGCATGCTAAAAATATTCATGAGTTGATCCATGATACTGAGGCCATGCTGGGAGGCTTGTCTGGAGCCGACTACTTTCCGTCTTGGATCGGGTGGATTATGGACAGGGTTTCCGGGGTGCATAAAGAGTTCGATAGGATTTCAAGTGAGTTGGATGGTCTTTTCCAGCAAGTGATTGATGATCATCTCAGGGCTGGGACGGAAGTGGAGAAAGATCATGAAGACATAGTTGATGTGCTGCTTAAGATAGTGAGGGAGCAAACTGGGTTTGGAGCTGCTCAACTTGGTCATAACAACATCAAGGGAGTTCTCTTGGTAAGCGCTGTAAACTATCTTACTCTTTTTTTTTGGGTTTGATTTTGATGGAATAATTAAACTTACTTTGACACTTGCAAATCAGAATTTGTTTTTAGGTGGAATAGATACCAGTGCAATTACAATGGAGTGGGCGATGGCAGAGCTAGCTAGGAAACCGAAACTAATGAAGAAAGCCCAAGAAGAAGTCAGAAGATGCATTGGAAACAAAGGAAAAGTCACTGAAGGAGATACAGATGAGCTTCAATACCTCAAGATGGTAATCAAAGAGACCTTCAGACTGCATCCTCCAGCTCCAATGATTCTGCCAAGAGAAACCTTGTCCCATTTCAAAATCCAAGGTTATGATGTCGACCCGAAAACACTGGTGTTTGTTAATGACTGGGCAATTGCACGAGACCCAGAGTCTTGGAAGGACCCAGAAGAGTTCGTCCCAGAAAGGTTTGATGGCAGCTCCATTGATTATAAAGGGCAGCATTTTGAGTTTTTGCCATTTGGAGCTGGTCGAAGAATTTGTCCTGGGATGTACATGGGAACAACAACGGTGGAGCTTGGACTTGCAAATCTTCTCTACTGGTTTGATTGGAAATTGCCTAATGGGACGAAGGAGGAAGATATCAGCATGGAAGAAGCTACTGGCCTTGCCCTCACCATCTCGAAGAAAACTGTTCTCCACCTTGTCCCCGTGAAAATATCTCAGGAAACATAAGCTAGAGGAGCTTCTCTACATAACTTAGGATTTGGGATGTTCTTTGTTGCTTCTTGTTATGATTATATAAAAACGAACTTTAAGAAAGAAAGATTTGATTGGGTTGATGATAAAATATCGGTGCTTTTCCATGTGCGCTTGTGTTTCTGAATGTTTAAGATTTTATTCATCCAATAAACAAAGGAACGAAGATTCATATTCAACTGTTAAAACATCAAATAGACAATGTCCAAGTAATTTCCCTTTCCATTCCAATTTTTATGCCATTTTATTTTTTACTGTTCTAATTTTGGAAGCTGACAATAAATACACAAAATAAAATGTATAAAGATGGGGGAACTACAGTTTGTTCAATAGTTCAAATATTTTGGTATCTATTGAATTGAACTACAATTTTATTTGCAATTATACTGTTCAATAGCTTCAGATCAATAGTTAATTGCCAAATTTTTTCTGTTGTATTGAACTAATGCATTGAAATATTGAACAATCATTGCAAATGTTCTTAATGGCATAATGCATTAATTGCTGTATTTTTTCTATTTTTAATTAGCATGTGGGCCCATCCTATGATTTAGCCTATTGAAACCATCACGTAGCACCCCTATTGCAATGAACTAAATCACATCATTATAAGTGAAATTTTATTATTTTAATTCAATTTCATATAATAAAATTGCATTGATCTTAACCATTACAGATGCTCTTAAGTCAATGCACTTCAAAGCAGTTGGTGTATGATTTTTCCTCTGCTTTGGCTTCTAGATCATGTAACCAAACACGCATGTGGGTCCCCTGCCTAAAATGTTGACATGCGTACTTCCACTAACATTTATATATTTTTTGGTCAAACCATTAACATCAATATAACACTGTCAGCTCTAAGAAAAATAAGAAACAACTAAGCAATTTAAAGAAACACATCAGCCAGTCGAGGCCCCAGCCACCCACCTCGCCATCAGCCAAGTCTCCGTCCTCTCCTTGCCGCCATTGAAGCCTCCCTCCTTTCTCTCTTCAAACTCCCCCATATCCAGATCGATGCCCTTGGTTTTGATTCCACTTGATTTATGTAGCAGACTAGATTACCAAAAATAAAAAAAGAACCTGTTCCCTTGGTTTTGCAGACTTGATTAAAAAAAAAAAAAGCAGGACTATGACTTGATCCATATTATGATGGTTCAAATTGATTTTCTCTTGCTTCTTTGAGTTGTGCAGGCTGTGAAAATGTGAAGGTGAAATTGTCTCATATTAGAAAACTAAACAAACCCTAAAAGGATGCATAAGAAGTTGGGGTTACTCCCCCAATTGCCAGTTGGTTTTATGTGGAACTTTAACTTCCTTCATGATATCAGAACAGATTTGCTCACGTGTGAAAGCCCAATGGCCACACGTGCTCCTAGTATCAGAGCCATTAAGGGACCCGTGTGGTCTCATGCCCCCACTCCATTTTTTCTAATTATATATATATATATATATATATATATATACACACACACCATATATGATATATGATATTATAATATATTAGTCTCTCTGCACGCGCTTCCGCGTCTGCGAGAGGCTTTTTTTAAAATTTTTTTAATTTAGAATTAAAAAAGATAATAGATAGTTGTGTTCCATAAAAATATGATATATTATCTAATTTTTCTTTTAATTTTAATTTTTTTTATATAAAAATGTGAATTTACCATATTATCCTCATTTAATTAATAATTTCAATTCTTAACATTTGCATTAACCAATGAGATTTTCTGATACTTTGAATGTTTTACCATTATCTATCAAGCTTTATATATAATATATTAGATTAGTTTTAGGATATTTATCCTAAAATAAAAAAGGTGGCTAGGTAGCAACCTAATCCTACAGTCTAGCAGTAATGGCGACCAATAAAATTATATATAAATAATTGAATAAATAATTCATAAGCAAGACTTGGGGCAATTTAGTTGGATATCTAGTATAATTGTGCGGCTATACTCTAGTGGATCCTTTTTTTAATAACTTTTTCTCTAATTTCTGCACCGCTTAAATAAATAGTATAGCCAATATAATATATGTAAACAATATAGCTACTTGGCTATACTGGGTTCTTTTTTTTCTTTTTATTTATTTATAATTTTAAATAAATAGTATAGTCGCGAGGCTATACTCTTCATGCCATGGGTTGCGCTGCCCTTGCATGCAGCTGTATGGGCTTTTTCGTTCCAGCAGTTACTACGAGTCTGTGCTGCTATAAAGAGCCAAATGTGTTAAAATTACCCCATGGGTCTAAGTTCAAGAATATGACCCAAAGAATGCTTTGAAAAGGTAGCTGAGCCTTAGGAAGGACTTTGGTTACCTTCACCAGCAAAGTTAACAGTCGCTTACAGATAAATTATTGGCTTGGCATGAGAAGCTTGTGGCATAAGAGCTGAGCATTCATGAGTTTAACATGAGAGAGAGAAAGAGTTGTGATTTCCTATGAGAAATAGAGGTTTAAAGCAAGGGGGAAGGGATTTTAATGGGATTCGTTGAAGAGAGAGAGAGAGAGAGAGAGAGAGAGAGAGAGAGAGAGAGAGAGAGAGAGAGAGAAAGGAGAATTGGGTGGTTTGAGCAATTTTCCGGCAGTCTGACAAAAGCTTGGCCAAACTCTGGAATGGCTTAACAGAAGAGAAAATAGGAGGAGATTGAGGAATATGGCACAAAATTGCAGGGCTTTAGGGATAAGAGATAATGCTTGCTCTCTGGATGTGGGTTGTAGCTAGTGGTAAAGTAATGGGTGTGGTTGTCTTTGATGGGTAGAAGATGGCCCTTTTTATAGCCGCTGGAAGCTCTTTTTTCCCAAGAAACCTTAATGGTTTCTCTCCAATTTTGCCAAGTCTCCCCTTTCATTTCTCTTTTCTCCTTTCGATTCACCATATTTTGTGAAATCTTCCTTTGTCCAAACACACAAAGACAAGATTTTTGGGAGCTCTAAGGCCTTCCCGCAACTGCTTCAGTGTTGAACTTCTATTTTTGACTACCTCCTCACCCTTCTTTCCTTTCATCTTCCATGACAAGAGCTGGTAGGAAAAAGAAATTGGTAAGGGCGTTGGTTTGAAAGGTGCTTCTGCTCTGCACATGTTAATACCCATTGGTTCTTTGCGTGTTCTACCTTGATGTTTGTTTTTGCCCATGTGCTGGAGCCTCCCAGCATCTTACAGACATAAACATTTTGGCTTTTCATAGTGGTTCATGTTTCCAGCTAAGTGCTGGAGACTACAGATATTTTTCTTGGCTTGCTTGGGCCTTGCTAAAGTGATGGGTTAGCCCATTAAGGGAATGTGCTAATTTCCTTAAGTGATGGGCTAATTTTCTAGGGTATTTGGCTCCCTTTTTCTCTCCTTTATGCTTATCCACATATTTGGGCTCAAGAAATAGGCTTGAGTTTTAGGGCTATCAAGCAGCCCAAAACTTCCATTTCTCAGCTCATTAATGGGCCTCATGAAAGCTCGTTACCATCCATGCCACAACCCACTTAACAAGCTCCGGACATTTGCGTGGCTTAGGCCCACTTAAGCTTGTAGCGTGGCTAGATGTGAAATAATGATTTCTTGCTTGGCATGACATGTCGATTGGTTTGCTTGAATTTTATTGTCTTTGAAAAGAGACATGATGTTGATGGAATAATTAACATGGGCTTGTAGAGCCAGTGCCTTTTATAGGCTTATTTTAATTCTTAGCGTGATGGATTGCATATTTATTTGGCATGACATGTGGTCGTGGCTCGTGCAAGTGTGCATGACGAATTTTGCGTGCTTCGAACCGGGTCTTTTCTTAATAAGGTGTCGCACTAGGCCGAGAATTTATTTGGGCCAAACCCTAGATTTTTGGGCCTCAACAGCAGCATGCTGAAAATGTTGACAAAATTTTTCAGACCTTGTTATGCCATGGCTTGCGTGCAGCGTGCGCGCTCACAAATTCCTTTGGTCATACCTCTGAACTCGGCTTTTGCACTGAATAAGGCGACCACCTTCTATTTCTTGCTCCTCCATGTAATCAAATTACTTCCCATGAATGTGAAGTAACTGGATGTGGATTTCCTATATTCGGTTCTCATTGTCTACAAATTAACCATAAACTTCTTAATCTCTCGCCTGCTTATTCCCCTTAAATTTTTTAGGTTAGTTTATGATATTTACACTAAAAACTCTTAAATTTACAACATTTCTTTCTTTTTATCTTTTGTTCAACTTAAGCTTTGTGAATTTTTTATTTCCGTTTTTTTCATGTATGAGTTCATTGAGTTGGGTACCTTAGTTGAGATTTATGAACTTTTATTTATTTATTATTCTCTGTGTTGGAATATAAATTATTAAGTCCAGTCTTTAATAATGTAGACGAATTTAAAATATGAAATTCATGTTTCTAAAAATAAATAAATAAATTCATTACAATTATAATTATAACGAATGTATATATTATTAATTTATATCAAATGACATGTCGAATTAACTTATTAAGCGGTTAGCTGTTTAACGCTCCTATTCAAATTATTTTTAAAAATTTTGTGGAAGACCCCTTCTAATGTGAAATCTTGGCTCCGCCATTGCGTGCTCCACGACGTCACCTAATATATGTTGTCCACATGTTAGGCTTGAAAATTTGCCACCTGTACGAGGACGTGTAAGAATATGAAGGTGAAATTGTCCTACATTATGAAGAAGAAACTGCTGGAAGTAGGACAGTAGTGGTGAAGATAAAGGGACTCCTGTGGTGCGACTACTAGGAAACTTTTCACTTGCGTATCTGCCTGCCACCTGCATGTATGATATACGGATTGATTAATTGACAATTTTACGTGCATGTATAACTCATTTTTTTCCAAGTTCCCAGTAGAAGCAGTTCCTGAATTGAATTGAACGAACAAAGTTTCAAGTTTCATAGCAATTGGGTAAAGGTTGCGGGCTTTTGGAGCTCAGCTGGAAGGTGCCCATCCGTGCTCGCATGCAACCGATTGGAGTCATTTTTGTCAACATTCAACAAGGATCCGATGCACCCTGATGGCGACATAAATATAGAAATTAAGTTGTCTTCATCTCAGAGAGAGAGAGAGAGAGAGAGAGAGAGAATTCATACAACCGATACGGATCCATGGATTTTCCAAACAAATTAGCTACACACCATCATCATCCATTGACAAGTAAACCAATTATAGAGACTAATAATAATATTGTATACATGCATGCATGCACATGGAAACTACCATTATATATTAGGAAATTAGCATGCACTAATCGATCCCTCCCCTGCATTTGTTTCAAAATTAGGTTTGCAATATGACAAACCAGACCGTAAATCTTGACAATGAAATCATGGTGGGCCTAAATCCTAATATGTAATCAATCACAAAAGATATTAAGCATCCTAGTTGGCTCTTTTGAATAGACACGACCACTTTTCCTGCTTTTTTTTGCCTAAATCCTAATGTAGATCAATAATTTCCATCAACTATGGAAAGTAATTAAAACATATTTATTTCAAAAGTAGGGGTTAGCTATAGCCAGATACTTACAAAACGCCAGCTAATTATAACATATTTATTTCAACTAATTAAAACATATGATATTTACCACTTTTAATTTAATTTAATTTTATAAAAAAGTAAAAATGAAAAAGTGCTAATTGGGATTTCTTTTGGATGAAAACTGAAATTAGATTTTACTTTTATAAGCAATATTAGAAGAGGGGATCAAACCTAAGATCTAGAATGCATAATAAATGCTCTTGACTATTTGAGTTACAAGCCCCTTTAGCCCAATTTGGTTCATGTAGAGTTTCTGAAAATTAAAGCTTTTTACCTCTTTTTTTGGGTAAATTCCATCAACGTTGGAAAGTAAAACATATCTCTTACAGAAGTAGTGGGGTTAGCTATACCCAGGCACTTACAAAACACCAGCTTATATAAGGAAGATGGAGAAGATCTCACACACAAATTTCATTAGCTCTCCAAATGCCTTTTATCACCCCACTACTCATATGCCTTCCATTTCTTATCCTCCTGCTTTTTCTTTCACTCAAAAAAAATAAGCAACAACATCAAAGGCACCTTCCGCCGGGCCCTCCCAAGCTTCCCTTCATAGGCAACTTGCACCAAATTGGCTCCTCCACTCACCAATCTCTCTGGAAACTCTCCAGAACTTATGGACCGGTCATGCTCCTCCATCTCGGTCGCGTACCAACTCTCATAATCTCATCAGCTGAGGCAGCCAAAGAGGCCTTAAAAACCAATGACCTCCTCTGTTGTACCAGACCCACCACGGCCGGCTCCCGCAGGCTCACATACAACTATCTAGACGTGGCATTTGCGCCCTATGGCGAGTACTGGAGAGAGATTAGAAAAATATGCGTGCTTGAGCTCCTCAGCGTGAAGAGGGTCCAGTCGTATTGGTCTGTCAGGGAAGAAGAGGTGGCAAAATTGGTCAATTCACTCTCTTCTTCCTCATCTTCTGGTGCTCCAGTTGATCTCACTGAGAAACTGTTTGTTCTCACTGCCAGTATAATTTTCAGGATTGTGTTTGGGACAAGTTTCCGAGGAAGCAAGTTTGAGCATGATACAAATATTCCTGAGTTAATTCATGACATTCAGACCATGCTTGGAGGCTTGTCTGGAGCCGACTACTTTCCGTATTTTATCGGGTGGATTATGGACAGGGTTTCCGGCGTGCATAAAGAGTTTGATAGGATTTGGAATGAGTTGGATGGTTTTTTCCAGCAGGTGATTGATGATCATCTCAGGGCCGGGAGGGCAGTAGGGGAGCAAGATCATGAAGACATAGTTGATGTGCTGCTTAAGATAGTGAGGGAGCAAACTGGGTTATTTGGAGCTGCTCAACTTGGTCATAATAACATCAAGGCAGTCCTCATGGTAAGCGCTAACTTTTGCCCTCACGTGTGTAGCGAAATTTCAAGCTGGACAATTTTAAATGGAAAATTAGTTCCTTGAATATTTTACGAACTTTTTTGTGTGTGTGGTTTTGGTGGAATATTTAACTTATACTTTGATACTTTGTGAATCAGAATTTATTTTTAGGTGGAATAGATACCAGTGCAACTACAATGACGTGGGCGATGGCAGAGCTAGCTAGGAAACCCAAACTGATGAAGAAAGCCCAGGAAGAAGTTAGAAGATGCATTGGAAACAAAGGAAAAATCAGCGAAGGAGATACAGATGAGCTTGAATACCTCAAGATGATAATCAAAGAGACCCTCAGATTGCATCCCCCAGCTCCATTGATTCTGCCAAGAGAAGCCATGTCCCATTTTAAAATCCAAGGGTATGATGTTGACCCCAAAACGCTGGTATTTGTCAATGACTGGGCAATTGCACGAGACCCCGAGTCTTGGAAGGACCCAGAAGAATTCATCCCTGAAAGGTTTGATGGCAGCTCTATTGATTATAAGGGGCAGCATTTCGAATTTTTGCCATTTGGAGCTGGTCGAAGGGTTTGTCCTGGGATGTACATGGGAACAACAACAATAGCGTTTGGACTTGCAAATCTTCTCTACTGGTTTGATTGGAAGTTGCCTAATGGAATGGAGGAGGAAGATATCGACATGGAAGAGACTGGTGGCCTTTCCCTCACCATCGCTAAGAAAACTGCTCTCCACCTTGTCCCCGTGAAGTTTTCTCAGGAAACATATATAAGCTGAGGAGCTTCTCTTCTACATATGCCTTAGGATTTAGTAAGTTCTGGATGCTCTGCTAGTTATGATTATATAAAATAAACTTTAAATATGGCTGTGCTTATGTAAACTGGAACTTCACTTGAATGTATAATATATATATATATATATAAATATATATATATATATATCCCCGTGAAGTTTTCTCAGGAAACATATATAGCTTCTCTTCTACATATGCCTTAGGTTTTAGTAAGTTCTGGATGCTCTGCTAGTTATGATTATATAAAATAAACTTTAAATATGGCTGTGCTTATGTAAACTGGAACTTCACTTGAATGTATAATATATATATATATATATATATCCCCGTGAAGTTTTCTCAGGAAACATATATAAGCTGAGGAGCTTCTCTTCTACATATGCCTTAGGATTTAGTAAGTTCTGGATGCTCTGCTAGTTATGATTATATAAAATAAACTTTAAATATGGTTGTGCTTATGTAAACTGGAACTTCACTTGAATGTATAATATATATATATATATATCCCCGTGAAGTTTTCTCAGGAAACATATATAAGCTGAGGAGCTTCTCTTCTACATATGCCTTAGGTTTTAGTAAGTTCTGGATGCTCTGCTAGTTATGATTATATAAAATAAACTTTAAATATGGCTGTGCTTATGTAAACTGGAACTTCACTTGAATGTATAATATATATATATATATATATATATATATATCCCCGTGAAGTTTTCTCAGGAAACATATATAAGCTGAGGAGCTTCTCTTCTACATATGCCTTAGGATTTAGTAAGTTCTGGATGCTCTGCTAGTTATGATTATATAAAATAAACTTTAAATATGGCTGTGCTTATGTAAACTGGAACTTCACTTGAATGTATAATATATATATATATATATATATCCCCGTGAAGTTTTCTCAGGAAACATATATAAGCTGAGGAGCTTCTCTTCTACATATGCCTTAGGTTTTAGTAAGTTCTGGATGCTCTGCTAGTTATGATTATATAAAATAAACTTTAAATATGGCTGTGCTTATGTAAACTGGAACTTCACTTGAATGTATAATATATATATATATATATATATATATATCCCCGTGAAGTTTTCTCAGGAAACATATATAAGCTGAGGAGCTTCTCTTCTACATATGCCTTAGGTTTTAGTAAGTTCTGGATGCTCTGCTAGTTATGATTATATAAAATAAACTTTAAATATGGCTGTGCTTATGTAAACTGGAACTTCACTTGAATGTATAATATATATATATATATCCCCGTGAAGTTTTCTCAGGAAACATATATAAGCTGAGGAGCTTCTCTTCTACATATGCCTTAGGATTTAGTAAGTTCTGGATGCTCTGCTAGTTATGATTATATAAAATAAACTTTAAATATGGCTGTGCTTATGTAAACTGGAACTTCACTTGAATGTATAATATATATATATATATATATCCCCGTGAAGTTTTCTCAGGAAACATATATAAGCTGAGGAGCTTCTCTTCTACATATGCCTTAGGTTTTAGTAAGTTCTGGATGCTCTGCTAGTTATGATTATATAAAATAAACTTTAAATATGGCTGTGCTTATGTAAACTGGAACTTCACTTGAATGTATAATATATATATATATATATTTATATCCCCGTGAAGTTTTCTCAGGAAACATATATAAGCTGAGGAGCTTCTCTTCTACATATGCCTTAGGATTTAGTAAGTTCTGGATGCTCTGCTAGTTATGATTATATAAAATAAACTTTAAATATGGCTGTGCTTATGTAAACTGGAACTTCACTTGAATGTATAATATATATATATATATATATATATATATACAGAGAGCTTCCATTGAGGGATCCCTCAAATAAGCTTGTTTGAGGGACACTTCTTGTAGGCCCCACTATGGATTGTATTTCACTAATCCAAACCGTCTATTTTGTAGATACTCATTCAAAGATTATCTCTACAAAAAATCACTTGAATCCGATATCATTTGACCACTCAATTGAGTTATTGAAATTTTAGTACTTTCTTGAAGCACCGTGTTCATTGATTTTGTAAGACACAATTGGATGTCGAAAAGGTTTCCGATTTGTCTAATTTTTTATAAGGATGATCTATGAATGAAGACCTAAAAAATATATAGTTTGGATCATTAGAAAAAAAATTGTAAGGTACCCTAAAGGGCGTCCCTCAAATAAAATTATTTGAGGGATCCCTCAATAGAAGGGGACTGTATATATATATATATATCCCCGTGAAGTTTTCTCAGGAAACATATAGAAGCTGCTCTGCTAGTTATGATTATATAAAATAAACTTTAAATATGGCTGTGCTTATGTAAACTGGAACTTCACTTGAATGTATAATATATATATATATATATATATATATGTTTTAAGATTTGTTCATCCAAACAAATCAAAAGCCAATCTCCAACTCCCAGTAATACCATAAATTAACAGGAATATGAAATAATAAAAGAAAAAGGTTCGACTAAAGAATTTGGATTAGAAACTACCTCAGATAGAGAAAAAAAATTAGAGAAACGTTCCCCTGAAGAAGCATGTATACTAAGGATTCACTTACGTTGTGAGTCGCTATGCAAAGACAATCAAACAATCAAACAATCAATTACATTCTCTCTAAAAATAAAGGGGAACTGAAGAGTATAAGTGTTAGAAGATTATGCGATTTTTCCTTTTTTACTGTTCTAATTTTGAAAGATCACAATAAATACACAAAATAAGAAGTATAAAGAAGGGGGGAAAATGTGTTAATCAAAGAAGAGGTTCAGAGAGCTCCATTTCATTTGAACTACTCTCTTGTTGTGTATCAGAGCGACTGACCCCCACAAAGTCCAGCCCAAGCCACTGCCATGGCCAGCATACATATCTAGGTCCACTCAGGCCCCTCCTTGAGTCTTCCCGACTTTCAAATTCTTCTAGCTGACGGGTAAGCTCCTCTACTCTATCCCGGAGCCTGGATGCCCTCAAGTCTGCCAATTTCAATGACTTCTCAGCAGCATCTCTGGCTGCCATGGCAGCATCAGCTGTCTCTTCTTTGAACTTGAGTTTCTTCTCTGATTCCACAATCGCCTGCTTTGCCTCCTCAAGTTCAAGCTTAAGCGCCGACAACTGCAGGTTCCAACCATAGTCACTACTAATTAATACTTGGGAACATGCTAATTGAAGAATGAAGATGGACTATGTCATATAAAACGAACTTTTTCCTTCACAATCAGACCGCAGCTTCCATGACCAAATAATATTCACAAACACTCTACTTCATATATATTTGAACCTATAACTCAGCCATATCCCACCAGAGTCCTCAACTCCCAACTCCCAAAACAGACCTCAGAGCTAATCGATCTGCTTTATACAATTATATGGGCTAGTAACAATGTCCTAAGTTAAATCAACTCAGCCCCTAGATATACTGGTCTTTCTTCCACTAAGATATATATCATTTGAAAGCAAATATCAGAGTAAACAAATCAAGAAATTATATCAGGACAAGTTTTTAAGCATACCTGTGCCACAAATTCTTGTTCTACACCTGTGCCTGCAGCAGCTTCTTGCTCGGCTGCTGCTTTCCATCTTGCAATTTCTTCTTCAGCAGCAGCAATGTCCATCATCAGCCCTTCAACCTACACACAGAATGGCTTTACGTTACTCCACAAATTGGTTCGTGAGCAGAATTTCCTACAAAGTCCTTGCTCACATATGCTGTACATAATTTCATATCAGACAACAAAAGAGTCAATAGAACACAAATAACATACACTTTCATTCGCTACTCTCTCCTTTTCTTCAAGTTCCTCAATTCTACGCATTCTATGGTCGAGCTCCTTAGCTTGAGCCTCAACATGCTGTTTGAGTAAACTCAACTCTGCCCTTAATACGGTAAACAGCAAATGTAACATAACAATACCATGTCAGGACAAAGTTAACATAAAAGCATATCTAGTTTACTAGTATAAATGAAAATTCAAGTTATGGCACATCAGAATTTATTCGAAATCTACTAATTTTGGGCACAACAGAGTACCTTAATTCCTCCACAGAATGCTGCAGGTCAATGATCTCAAGCTGAGATGCCTTAACAATGTTCTCCAAAGCACCAGCCTAAATATGACACATTAATACATCAACAACGACAGAATAGGGTTTGAAAACATATCAAATTCAAAATAACACTCAAACAGACTAATAGTAACGGTTACTTACTAACGCATATATTTCATCCTCCTCTGTCTCAAGTGTATCCACTTCCCCATCCCCAACATGCTTACTAAACTTGAAATCTATCCCGGCCTCCCTTAAACCATTTTCTGCAACTTGAAACAATTCACTCGTTTTAGAAGATGGACTTGATGTGATCCTCTTTGACAATGCACTCCTAAGTAATGATCCAATTTGTTCTTTCTCTTTAACTAACCGATTCACTGTTTCATCCAAACTCTTAATTTCGCGGTTCTTTTCCTCAGTCAAATCCCTCGTCTTTTCAATAACAATCCTGGTCAACTCATGAATGGATTCCATCCCAGCCAAAGTTGCACGTATGTTCTCCTCCATGTCCGTTTCTTGAGGGAGAAACAGGGACTCTGAAAACTCCGACTGATCCAAATTATTGGCATCAACGATTCTCATAACATGATATAGCCGGTCATGAATTTTCGAAACCAAATCCAACTGATCAAAGAGTAAAGGCCTCTGTGCTTCCATTTTCGAGTCTAAATTCGTCAACTTATCATCATACTCTCCAACTAACTGCTTCAACTCTGAAACCTCACTCTCAGCCTTACTCAACTTCTCCTCCATCTCCCGTTCAATCACCGACACTTTGCCATTCTTTTCTGCCATACTCTTCTCTAACTTCTCAACAATGGAGGTCTTTTTCGCGACCTCTTCTCTCAAACCACCAATCGTGGCCTCCAGCTGAGAAATCTCAATGGCAATCTCGTAATTTCTCTGATCCATCTGCTCCCTCGTTTCGTTTCTAGACTTGGCCGTGGAATCAATCTGTCTAACAAGCTCTTCCACAATCTCATTCGTTCGCTTAATAACTCCATAAGCAACCGCAGGCAATCCTGTCGTGTATTTCTGCGACCTTGGCAACCCCCCCACCCCAAAATTCTTAAAATTACTAACCTTCCCCGATATCTTATCGATTCCAGACATGAGCATATGAGTTGAATTCCCAATATCTGACCTCAAACCGTCCCTCTCCTTCACCACCTCGTCCAATTGCTTCGCAATCTCATCCCTCTGCTGCAAAGCCTCGTCCTTTGCCCTATTCGACTCGGCCAATTCCGCCGAGACCTTCTCGTTAGTTTTAGAAGCTTCCTCCTTTTCACGCAACGCCTCATCCCTCTGCCTCCCCCACTCGTCGCGCTTCTTTATGGCCTCGTGCGCCAGAGCCTTCAATCGATTGAACTGAATTTGCAGGTCCGATTTCGAATTCTCCACCGCCTCTCGAGCTTGTCGCTCGCGATCTAGCTCGGCGACGAGCTCGCGGAATCGCTCCGCGGAGATTTCGTCTGGCGATGGAGTCTTAATCGCGACCGGCACTGAATCGTCGCCCTCCACGTCACTAAGCACCGCATCGTTGTCTTCGTCGCCAGCACTTGCCATTTGGTATTTCCCAAATTTCCAAACTTTTGCTATCGCCGGTTGTACAAGCAAAGTCTCATTCCGATTTCCACCAAATTGAGCGTAATTTACAAATATAAAATTCAAAAATCCTAGGGATTTCGAATTGGAATCCGAAAAGGTAATGGAATTAACAAATTTATGTATTGATGAGTTGGGAAATTTGGCGGTAAACAAGAAAGTGGAAGTTGTTGTTACTTCGAAGAGAGGGATTGAGAAAAGTGATTCGTACCTGTAAACTAGATGAAGAAGAAGAAGGAGGAGGAGAAGACAGACCCAGCGACGGTGCGTAGCAGAGACGACAACGATCACTACCAACCAGTCTCCCTCTGTTTTTGCCTTTAAAGTTTGTTTTTTTTGTTTTAATTTTTATGTTAATTAATCCGAGAGCCAATCATGCGTACGTGGCGATTGCTATGTGAAAGTTATTTCTCATCCTAATTCTAATGTTGTTTGGTCCGCCGCAGGTGTATGTGCAACCGTGGTTGTGATGCTGCCACGTAAGTGGTCGGCATGATCAATCAAGTACATGATTGGCGCTCGTCTAGCATAAGCTGTGTGAGTGGAAGCTTCTTCAGCAGTGGGAAGAAGAAGATGACAAGTATTTCAATGTTCGTGGACTCGAAACATCACAGATCAGGAAGACTAAGACCGATCATTGAGTAGGGCCTACCTCCTGGGCTGGCCTTGAGTAAGTGGACTTGGAAAAATGGGTCTGAAATCAAAATTAATTGTAAAATGGGCCTGACACCAAAAGGGAAGTAGAGTTGAGCCCATATGTATTTTTTCCTGCATAGTTGTGTATTTTTTGAGAAATCTGTCATTTTCTATTCGAAAATCCTAGTGCCGAGAAAAACTTTCTTACTCCCGTTTCAGTGTTCCTCATTCTTATCTCATCCATTATGTCACTTATCAAACAAGGATAGAAATAGAGCCAAAGGTTTGCAGCTCAAGTAAGTAAGAGTATTCATCATTGCATTTGAGTTTTTTAGTTTGATTTCCCCTTCCCTGCACAAGTAGGTAAAGGAGTAACGAAAAGGAAATAGAGAAGTGTTTCCGCCAAGTTAGATCATAAGTCACAACCTCGTAATCCCCCAAGTTACCATTAAACTTTATTTATTAATTATTTTAGAAGTTGGACCTCACGCTTCAACAATTTTGGACCCATACCAAATTGACTGTTTCCAAACCCCTGATAATTTGCATTTTCCCACAGCATTCACACATCATTTTCAAATTACATATGAAAAATTATTGTAAAAAAAATTCAAGAAAAACCAAAAAAACAAAATAATATAAAAAATTTAAATAAAAAAAACTACTCAGCAGCAAGGCATTTTCCCACAGCCTTCAATCCTGTTCACACTCTCCCCAAATATAAAAGTTATCAGCTTATAATTAAATGTTCTGGATGATGATAACATGGATATCATTATCATCATGGATAATGGATTCTTATTTTAATATACAGGTTTTATTTTATTTTTTTTCTAGGACTTTTTCTATTGAGAGGGACGCTAGTATACTAAACTCGCACACACTACACGAATGTTAGAACTCAAACCCAGAACTTTTTCTAAAGAGAGCAATTGCTGCGAAGTTTCAAACCACTACATTACTGGATGATTTGCTCCATGTTTCATATTAAAAACAGTAAACAAAAGAAGAGTAGTTGACTGAACATACCTGGTTTCCCTGGAGGCCAGGTTAAGTAGATATGTAGTTTTCACACATCACCAAAGATATGTAGTTTTCACACATCACCAAATCTCAGTTTTTTACGAGACACGTATTCATTCCTTGTTGAATAAGTGTTGGGCACTGATATTAATTTTTGACGATAACGACCCTTCAATCCTGGTTTTCATATTTTCTTCCAGGAATTGCCTTGGAGTTTCTTGATGTGGTTGCTGCAGCTGACTTGATTGTGAGTTTTGGCGAAAAAATTGAATGGTAGACATTATATATAGTTTTTTAATGGTTTCAATGGTCGGCGTTTGTTTGAATCAGTCCCTTTTGGCTGCCTAATTCAAATGTTCTTGGTCTTGATAGTAATTATTCTCCATATGGGATTTTCTTGCTCAATTCTCGTCCTTCCAGATTCATTTTTAATTTCCTATATATATACTCATATATTACAGAGTTTTATGCATAATCCAAGTTTTAGTTTTCAAAGAAACCAAAAAAAAACAAAAAAAAACAAAGAGAAAGAGAAAGGCAGCAGCTTCACATACATATTATATTGTGGGTAATTTTTTAACAGCCTCATTGCACTAAACATGGACAGCTTTTAGTTTTTTATGCAGTTAGTATATTCATGTGAGGGAGGGCCTTCAAGGTGTTTAATAATTTCATATGCAGGTTGACATTTGAACTGCCTTGCTGGTTGCCTTGTTCTGTTTTCTTTAGCTTTGGAGGCAGAGCCCAAAAACAAGAACGTATAGACTTTGCTGCATTATTCACAAGGGTTTTTGTAGATTCTGCTTCTGATGGGAGGCAAAAGCTCGAAAGATTCGAGCTCGAGGCAGTTTTCGCATAGTGGATCAACTGCTTCTTCTTCTTCATGGGATCAGTATGGGTATCCACAGCCATCACGCCCTCCACAAAACACCTACTGTACCCCTCAGCGTCACTATGCACCTTCACCATCTTTTAACCATGTGTCTCAGCCATTTACAGTGCCCAACCCACGAAGGAGGTTGGATAGAAAATACTCAAAGATAGCTGATAATTACCGTTCCTTGGATGAGGTAAGAACTTTACAATCTTGAAAAATGATAAAAAAATAAAATCTCCGGCATATTAATAGCTAGCTTTGGCAAAGTTGACACATACAAAGTTTTTTTTTTCCTATAATTATTGTGTTGATTTTTAAACTGAGGAGATGCCTATCGCTGGCTTTATCACAATTTCTGGGTTTTCTTTTATATATGTATATATGACTAATCACATCCAATCCAATCCATGCCTTGAAAGTTGTATTTTGCTCAAGTTCAAGTCCTTACTTCTCCTGTCTCTGTTCTAGAAATTCAGCTTTTTGATGAACATGGCTTTGATTGACCACAGGTTACTTCTGCTCTTGCACAAGCTGGCCTTGAGTCTTCTAATTTGATTGTTGGTATTGATTTCACGAAAAGCAATGAGTGGACAGGTTAGTCTCATCTTGATGCTAAAAAGTTCTTTGGTCAAAGAGCATCATCATTTGAAGGCAAATGCAATATGCTTAAGCTTTGTTTCCTGCTTAACAGGTTCGAGGTCATTTAACCGGAAAAGCTTGCATCACATTGGAAATGTTCAAAACCCCTATGAACAAGCAATATCAATTATTGGGAAAACATTATCTGTTTTCGATGAAGATAATCTAATTCCGTGCTTTGGGTTTGGAGATGGTAATTGAACGCAAAGCATTGTCTCCTCTCCTGCATTATTTCTAGTGGAACCATACTATTTGGACCATGTGAATGATTTAAATTTCTTGTATATTCTTGTAGCATCTACACATGATCAAGATGTCTTTAGCTTCTATCAGGACGAACAATACTGTAACGGATTTGAGGAAGTATTGGCACGATATCGAGAAATTGTTCCCCATCTTCGACTTGCAGGTGCTGCTGCTAGCCTCTAGTCATTACACTAGGCTTTGGCCAAAATATGTTACAGTGTTACATAGTTGGCCAAAAAATGGTTGATCTGTACTTTTGTTCATTATTCTCTTTTGTTTCCTTATCGCAGGGCCTACATCTTTTGCACCGATTATTGAGATGGCCATGACTATTGTTGAGCAAAGCGGAGGCCAGTACCATGTTTTGCTGATCATTGCTGATGGCCAGGTAATTTGATTTTAACCTACTTTTTAAAAATGAACTGCATTTTTCTATCATGAGGTGGTCTCATGCTTCCTATCTGCCTCGCAACATTGTCATTGTCTTAGGTGACAAGAAGTGTTGACACAAAACATGGTCAGCTCAGCTCACAAGAACAAAAGACAATCGATGCAATTGTAAAAGCAAGGTAAACTTTTCTAGAAACATGTCCTTTTATACGCTCGGGGAAAATCCTTCATAACTTGGTTTTTGGTTTCTGATCCATACTTTCATAATTCATATACCTTACCTTTTTATTTGCAGTGAGTACCCCTTGTCTATAATCCTAGTGGGGATTGGAGATGGCCCTTGGGACATGATGAGGGAATTCGACGATAACATCCCTGCTCGAGCATTCGATAATTTTCAGGTGATCAGCAATGTTTTGGTGTCAATTAGTTCTCGAAAAGATAGCTAGCTTGATATGTTCATGGTTTTTACATGTGCGTAATTCTAAAGGACTGGTTTTCCTTATGCAGTTTGTGAATTTTACGGAAATCATGTCAAAGAAGGTGGATCTATCCAGAAAGCAGACAGAATTTGCTCTTTCAGCCCTGATGGAAATACCTTCTCAATATAAAGCAACTCTAGAGCTTGGCATATTGGGGTAAAAATTCAACCTTTAACTGTAAGTTTTTGCCAAATTGATGTATTGAACCTTTAGTAACATGAAAATCCATTGCCTTGAATAAGCAGAACACGCAATGGAAATTATCCAAACAGGGTTCCCCTTCCCCCACCCCATTATGCTGCAGTATCTTCAGGCAGCAGCAACACAAAACTTTACAGCAATTCAAACAGTTTTCAGCAGAGGACAGCTCCTTATGCTGGATATGATAATGCAGGAGCCAGCACACCTTCTTATACAGGATATGATAGTCAGGTATTCAAACAATTTTCCCATGAAGCCAGGTTTGATTGTTAATTTTCTCTCAGATTTGCAATTTATTTATTCTCTTTCTTTTCGTACAGGTTTGCCCCATTTGTCTTACGAATCCGAAAGACATGGCGTTTGGTTGTGGGCATCAGGTAGACCAATTTCTCTAAGAATGCAAGCTTTTCATAACCTTGAGTTACAATTAAACTGTTACGTTGATATTGTTGATTTTGCTGCTCTAATTTTGGCCCTCCTCTTTGTGTGGCAGACTTGTTGTGACTGTGGAGAATACCTTGAATTGTGCCCCATTTGCCGGAGTTCGATCCAAACTAGAATAAGACTCTACTAGCTAGAGTCAGGTTTGATGCACATCTTTGAGATTTGGTACCGCTCTCAGTAGTAGCAATGTGTCTTGTTCAGTGAAAACTGGAGCAAATGCTCATGTTTGATGATGTACTCGGGGCACAAAGAAGGGTAAGCCATCAAAGAGCTTTGTTATCATTTTGTCCTATAATTTCATCATCAGAAAACAAAATGCAAGATGAGGTTTGCTGAAAACTGGAAACTTATTGGATTTGCAGGAGCAGACTGTCTTGGTTGATGTGATTCTTGGGCATGGCAAGATGGGATTGGTGGCTAGGAGGACCTGTTATGCTTTGTTTAGATGAAGGAATTGCAAATTACAAAGAATTCTAAAATTAAGGAATTTAGATTTCCGTCATTTCAATTTCTGGCAATTGAAGATTTTAGTGTTTGTATTTATGTATGTCGAATTTTGTAAATGACAGAAATTCAAAATTTCAATGTTTGGATAGCTCATGTAAATTGTAAATGACAGAAATTAAATATTTCGATATCTTGGTTTTTCTTCTGCCGACACTATTACCGGAATGTGAGTTCCATCAAGTGTCCCAAGACAATTCTAAACATGAAATATAAGACAGTATAAGTATGAAACTTAAGATAACTAGTTGAAAAATAAAATAAAAATATTTTTTTTTCTTCTAGTTATATAAGTACCTCAAACAACTACCATTTGCTTCTTTCGGAACTCCCAACTGTACTTGGCTGGAATTTTACATATTCTTCACTAATTCTCATCATTGCATATAAGACTTTGTTAAATTGCCGACTAATTGTTTCGATTGAACGGTAATAGTCAAAACCAATGATTATGTATTTCAAGTTGTGAGCAATTATTTTCCAAAAATATTGCTACAGATTCTTTACTTGAAATATTTCTTATTCAAACCAACCCACCATTTTCTTCTAAAATTCTACATGACTTTTTTAATGCACTTTTGCTATTTCAGAATTTCATCAATACAATAAACTTCTTTTTCATTTTACATACAGTTCAAATAAGATCACATTTCTTTATCCCAATCATGTGAAGGCTCTTTAACACGAAAATTATCATAATACCATTGTATTAACATAACCATAAAAGAGATCATTTTACAAACAATAATTGTGAAATGAATTTTGGCGCTGTTTTTTTTATTTATTTTTATGTAAGTTTTGGCACACTAGAAAATATGAATTCCCGCACTATGAAAATTGTGAAATGACGCCTATTTTGGTAAAAATTAAACTCGGCAATTTAATGTCTCAATTTCCACGATTTTTCCCACGTGTTATTTAATAAATTCCGTGCTTAAATTGCCAATCAAAGGAATTGTCAATTTCTCCTCTTAAATTCCTGACTTTTAACTAAATTCCGAGTTATTTTCCCTCATCCAAACAGAGGGTTAGGTTTCGTCTTTCTACTATCATATTCTGAAAACAAATTAGAACTTGGCAAGGAAAAAAAAAGTGAGTGTATGACAGTAATTTTGAGATCCGAAAAAGAATGTGTGTTGGAATATATTTTTTAAATTTTTAATTTCTTTAATTTATTTTTTTTTGGGTCAAAATTAATTTTTTATTTCTTGAAACCTCTCTCTCTGCTTCTCTCTCTGCCAGTCTCGAACCCGAGACCCGATGGGTTTCACTTGTAGCTTAAATCCAACAGGCTACTGGAGACCCGCAGAATGCGTGTTTGATACTAGATGCTCAAAACTTCAATTTTAGCAATCACAAAAAGGGAGATAAATAAGTCAGTGGAGAATCAATATGAAGCCCCAAAATACAAAATCCCCCATGGGGAAGCCTGTTCAAATTATGACAATAACTTGGTTTTACTTCCTAAAAAATTCACGTTTCCTTGTACACTTTTCATAACCACCAAGAGTACAATATGTCTTGACGGCTTACAACATGACTGATTGGCAAAACTTTCTTCAACACATTCTCCAGGAATCACACAAGACCAGAAGACCTATAAATACATACAAATACAATTAGTAGTAATCTGATTCAGGCACATAAACATCTGATAGCAAAGAGCCCTCCAGGCTCCTTCCCTCAGGCTCACAAAGAAATTTGTTGTCCTTTAAGTAGGCGTCGATTTCTGCAATGACTGGGTTCAGATTTGAATCTCCTCGTTCTCTTAGTGCATTCAGGAAGTTGTCTGAGATGATGTTCAGCATCTTCCTGAATTGAGATTTGTACTTTTTGAAGAGAGAGTACCCTGCCATCTGTTAAAACATTGAATACTTTAGGTTGAAAAGGTTTTGTCCTATTTCTTTTCTACAAACAATATTAACTTCCATAACAACTTACATGTAGGAATGCGTTAAGTGCAACAGCAGTATATCTGTTGGCAGGAAGAGCATTTAAAAACCTTGCAAGCCATGCCCAACCTTCTTTCAGGCCATGCACATTTTGGAACCCATAAATTTCTGTCTGCTAAAACATTCTTAGTTAGAAGATATACCAGCAAAGCTTGTGATCTTAGTAAGCATAGCTTAAGATGCCAAGGAAACATTTCAAACTTCAAGCCTTAAGTTCATAGAGTCAAACCTGAACCAAGGCCCCATATAGTTTCATATATGACTCCAATCGTGCCAAATAATTGTCAACACTCTCAGTCTTTCCTTCATCTTCTTGGAATCCAATAGCTTTATAGTATGCCTCTTTTGATTCAAATGCGGACTGCAGTGAAAAATCATAACTCATAAAAAACAGCAGTAGAAATAACAAGAGATGCACTTCCAGCAAAATAAATTCCACTTAGAATATTAGAAAAATTGTCAAAGGTCCAAAAGAAACAGTTCATAAAAATTAAATTTGCAATTTCATGGTCCCCAACGTTTGTGAACTCCAGCATCCCATGGCCCCTACTTTCATACTCAGAACTCATCTCAATTGCAGATTAACAATTAATGCACTTGTAAATTGTGGATCCAAGGATTGAATGCCAGTTCAGCATACCTACTCCTTATTGTGCGACTATGGAAAAAAAAGTAGGTTTTTATATATTAATAATTCCGTGACTAAGATCTAAAATTATACCTAAATCTTCTAAAATGATTGAACACTTCCGAACCTCCTCTTAATGCTTTCTAACAAAGAAAGAGTGATTCCCAGATAAATTTTATACACAAAATTCATAGAATTTAAAGAAAAAAGAACTTTTCTACACACCCAGTTATTCATGAACCAAGTTGGGTAAGGATCAATAGAGATGCAAGCTTATTCTAAATGGTTTTTTAATCAACCACATGGGGTTAGGATCCCCCCCGACCCCCTTTTCCTCCTTCAGAAAAGGGACAAGTGAGTTAGGATTAAATCACCTGTGAATAGTGCTTTGGAACTGTATAGATGCAAGCTCTGTGTAACTCAGCCAGAATAAGATCCATTGCAGTCGGAACCTGATTCACATACACAAAAATGTGGCATGGATCAATGATTTCTAAATTTTTTTAGCTTAATACAAATCTAACCGGCGTTTACAGCTCACAATAGAAACTTCAACATTAGCTTGATGGAGAGCCATGTTATAACACATATATTGATCATTAAGATCTATTAAGACAACTTGAAAAGCCTTCCATGGACAGAACCTGAGTTAAAGTCAACTATAAGGAATCAATGTCCCATGCCAACTCGATAGACATATGCAGCTACATTCAAGGATAGTCCCCTGGATGGTGTCTCATCCAACCTGACTGGTCAAGCCAGTAGGATTTTCAGACTAATGAATCAACTGAGAGTATTAAGCAACCCAACTGTGAAGAGTTGCTTCTTTTATAATGTAAAATTGGTTAATATCATTATAGGAATACTATTTCAATGATAGAGATGTCAATTAAACACATACACGAATGTGCATACACGTGCACACACATGAAAATAAATTAGTCTCTTTCCTTAACTCTCATCATGCTGTACCTTTGAAGTAACAAGAACAATGACATGGCCACATGCAAAAGCAGCATTACGTGGGGTTTTACAATTGGAAACAACCTGTAATATCCAAATAAGCAACCAATGAGCATAAACATTAGTACTTGTCCTATAAGAGGGAGTAGAATGTTAGAAAAGAATAATAGCTGCAGTCAACATGTAATGACCAGGAAATTTTTTTTTGGGGAATGACAAAGCTTCTCAAGGTTGGCTCCACCTGGTCTCCAAGAAATACCCTAGACAAAGAAAAACTGAATCCTGCCATCAGATGGCCATACATAACTGGGGGCTTACATGGTTTTCTAGTGGGAAGTGACAATTGTTCATACTTATTTTTAGCGTTTATATTGTTTGCATATGTATCTGCACTAAACAAAATAAAGAATTCTCAAATTCTAGATAGTAAACTCCAGCTTTCGTCTACTGAACTCAGACAATTAAAATTACCTTCTTCGCAAATGCTGCAACGCTGATAGATTGAGGGCAGCGAGCATCATTAAAGATATTGACTAGTTCACCTGCTTTTTGTCTGAAAATAGGTACACCTTAGAATGTAAATTTTGTCCTTGCATTATGCTTAAGAACTTCAACTATAAACAACTAAATAACCAAGATATATAACATGGCTCAGTTTTATGACCACTGTAAAGTTTTTTTCTGAGAGAAAAAAGAAAGGTAACTGGGAAAGATATGATAGTGCATGAACTAAATGAAAATATGGTATTAGATAGGACATATGGAAGACTAGAGTTTAGTAGCCGATCCCACATAGTTTGGACAGGCTTTGTTGTTAATATTGGAGAAAAGAGAAAAGAAAGCATAAACAATGAGGGAAGGCGTGGGCTGTTAGCCCACATACATCTCAACTTGTAGCAAACTTCATGCTTGACCAGATTTTAGGGTGCTTTATGGAGAAAACTCATAAGGCATTATTCATGTTCCCAGTCCTCTACCAGCAAAAGTAGATACCTCACAGAAAAAATAGAAGACAAAACAAATTTCAACAAAGCACATTAAATAATTGAAGGGATCCACCTGACCTGACACTGTCTTTTGTTCCTGTAATTTGCTGAACCAACTTAGAAATTTGCCTCTCATACTTCCTGAAATCCTAACAAAAAGAAAAGACATGGCATGACAAACTAACATAAAGGAAGAGAAAAAAAACATGTTGAAAAGTAGATTAGAATAACATGAATTATCCAAACATTGCACAAACAGGATGCAATACAATCACAATGACAAGAAAAGATCATGATAATAATCATCAGTAATAATAAGAAATAATATACAGTAATAATATCAACAAGCAAACGATACATTACCGAACAAAGGACAGAATCAATGGAAACATGCATTCTAATATTGAGTTCCAGAATTAGAAATTCAAACAACATAGATATTAAATTAATCAATTCTATTAGACATCAGGAAGTTGCAGACAAATAGAAAAAACAGAAGCATTGTTTCACAAAACCAATAGAATAAAGCCTTCAAGGCTTAATGTTTGGGTGCCAGCAGACCTCTTTGGAGCGTAATCTCAGTGCCTGGTTTTCATCATCAAACTGTTTAAGCTTTTGTAGTCTCCCCTGCTCTAGATTCAGAGCACTTTCTGCAGCCTTGAGTATATTACCTGCCATTAAATAGCCCAGTTCATGTATCAGATGGTGGGAAACTTCTGGAAAGAAACAACTGAAAAGGCCATTAAAAAATTGGGTGCAAGAAAGTTCTTTTATTTCCCATTTATAGGAGAAATACCTGCCGCTAGTGGTTTTCCGCTGGATTGAGCATTCAAAGCATTTATTTGAGGTCTGTAAGTTCCTTCTTGTGCCAATCCAGAATCAGCCCTCTTTGAGGCTTCAGAAGCTTCCCTTTCTGCAGCTTCTTTAGCTGCTCTTCTCTGAGCTTCCAAAGCAGCTCTTTTTGCGTCCTCTGCTCTTTTTGCTTCCTCAGCTCTTTTTGCCTGCATACAGAAAATTCTTTCTTTTTTAACTAACTCGGTGAAAATCTACCTAAAAATTCCAGCATATGCAGCACAGTTACTTTCTTCTTTTCTTTTCTTTTTGAAAAAAAAAATTTATATTGGCCAGAGCTATCAAGATCACCATAGAAACGATGTCTGGGAAGTGGGAACCAGTTATGGGGTATCAAAGAAAGGATACATGCCTAAAGAGGAATTCAGCATGAATTCAAGGAAAGAAAAAATTTGCATCGCAAATGAGTAGAATTAGTTAACCAAGATTGATTGAGATAGCAAAGGTTAGTAGTCAAGCATGTAAGACAAATGCAATGAAAAGCATATACAATGAGCAAGTTGGGGTGGAACCCTGGTTTTACCCAAAGTTCACTGGAACAGCTGTTACTTCAAATGCAATTTTAAAACAAAAAAAACCTTTCTGACGCATCAACAAAGAATATCTAAAGCAGTAACATAATGAGGCCATTGCATGCACACCATATCTAGAAAGAAACTAACCAACAAAACAGTAATGATATAAAAAGGCCAAACAAAAAGACCTCAGCTTCTGCTTTCACTCGTTCTTGTCGAAGTTTTTCTTCTTGCAGAGCTTTTTCCTTTCTTTTAGCATCTTCATAAGCTGCATCACTTCTTATTTTTCTTTCTTCTATTTGAGATCTGACTTCAAGGTCTCTCTGGACAGCAGTCAAGTGATTATTAAGTGCTTCTGCTCTGCAGGTGATTTAATAATTGTAATTATCAATTACATTAACTGGTAAAAAAAGATGAACGGAGATATTACTGAAACCAAGAAAGAATAAATGAAAGTTGAATTAAGCATTCAGATTTGAAGTTCTCCTTCATAAAAAATTTTATATTATGTCCCATAAAAAAAAATTCCAAACAAAACTGATCACAAGTAAAGTTATATTCTGGCCAATGTCCAAAAGAAAAAAATAACAATTTTAGTAACAATATACGGATAGACATTTAAAAGACGCTCCAACAGGATTGCAGAACAGAACAGAATCAGAAAGCTTAAAGAGTGATATTAAGACTTGATTATTATTGTTGTCAGGAAAAAAAAAATTCAGAATAGATAGTCCATAAACAGAACTTTTCGGAGTAGGATCTTTCAAATAAAAGGTACCGTAAGAAATGAAACATTCGATCTTACATATTGCGTTGATATTGAGTATCAAGTTTTCTTTCCATTTCACATCTTTCTTCTCTATATCTCTCAACTCGAAAGATTGCAGAAATAGACTTTTGACTTTCAGTCTTCAGATCTGTCTCTAATGCTGATATTTGGTTCCTGATTTCTTCCTGTTAATCAAGCCAGTTAAAATTTCATTACACCAAGGATGAAAGATCACAAACATAAAACAAATACACACACACACACACGCACACACACACATATGCATGCGTTGATGCACAGACAACAACATTCGCACATAATAAAGCATGAGCTTCTCTACTACCTCTAATAACTGAACTAAACCTCGTCTCTATGTTAAAACCTAAACATAAATTGCACCTAATGCATCTCTAATGTAAAATAAAAAATTTATCTCCTTGGGTAAGTAGTAACCAAAACAAGTTTTGGGCATGGAGAAGTAGAGGGTTACCATCAGAAATGAGGGGTAGCTGTTTCAATAGCACAAACAACGAGGGAATGTGTCACACTAAAAATCCACATACCTAAATCTACTGCGTAGAAATAATTCTCAGAAACTAGAATAGATTTTTTATATAGAAAAAAGTGAAACAACACCAAGACATCACCAAATCCATAGCTACACACCTTCACTCTGAACTGATGTTCACGGGATAGCTCGAACAAACTACTTTCCCCTGATTCACCCTTCTCCATCAGGCAGGGTTGGGCTTCAAGAGACGAGTCATCACCAGAGTCATCACTGTCACTAAAAGAGAGAAATGAAACCATATATCATATCGTTAAATATGGATGAAAAAAAAAATTACTATAACATTGAGTTAAAAACTTCAATAAATAGCCAGAAAGACAAGGAAAATAAACATGATATCTTCAATGGTTTATGTTATACTCAGCTTATAGGATCAAGTTCACATTTAGATAAGAGAATAAAGGAAGATGACAAAATAAGGGTAGATGTCAAAAAAGGCTTTTGTATGAAGGAAAAAAAGTGGGAAATTTAATTGCATACCTGAGATAAAGATCATCAAAATTAAACCATTTAACTGCCACAGAACTTTGATCATGAGCCTCCTCATCTTCACTGTCAATGTTGTCCATCTCATCTTCGAAGACACGCATAACAAATGGGCTAGCAGAAGTCCTCCCATTGCTCTTTGAATCGGATATATCTCTAAACAAAGTTGCAAATGGGAAAGCACATGAAAGGAAATAATACTGTTATTCATTCTTGGTGGGAAAATCACAAACACACACAGGCACAAATGCATACATACCGTGGTCTTTCTTTAGTAAAAGGCACTGAAACCTTAGAAGAGCTGTTGATCTTTCTTTCCAATTCATCTATCTCCGATAGTAGAGCTTCGAAGCTCCAATCAGGCTCAGGGTCAAGTGCAATTCCATCAACTTTTTGGGGACAACGAAGCTCCAACTTAAAAGCTCCCCTAAATGCATAAATCCCCCACAAACAATCGCGATTAAATTGTAACATAAAAATCCAAAGATTAAAATAATTCGTAGAGAATAAACTATGTCACGTTATGAACAAATCTTACATTGCCTAATACTCCGACGCAGAGCTCCAAGTATAACAAGCACTGGGTTACAAAACCCTAATCGGCGCCAAATGTGGAAACAAGCCGAATTTTGACGTTGAACTTTGAGAATACAAAATTAACCTGAAGAATACTTTGAATTGAACCAGCGATCGTAAACGGCTGGTCTTGAGATTGAGAGCGGATGCGGCTAGAACCCGCGAACTATTTTTTCGAATTTCAGGTTGCAGAAACTCAGTTCGCGCGTTCGCATTTGTCTTCGACACTCTAAAATAACAACTTCCACACAGTGGCGTTTGAGTTTAGGACCGTTGGGGAAAGTAGGCAACTTGTCTAGGGTCCTCTCTCTTCTCTGCGGTTAACTTACGCGACATAAACAGATATTGACCCCTGAACTTTTGCAAAAATATCAATGTCCTCCATTTGGAGTTTTACTTTTGCAATATCCCCCTACACGGTGGACCTAAAACTGGGCCCTTGGTGATATCCATTGGCCTGATCCGTACGATATATTCACTCAACAATTTGATGCGTGCACCCAACATTAATTTTTTATTCTACTAAATAAAATATGGACACGGCTTGTTCCTTCTCTGGAAGGAAGCATGCATACTTCCCGCAAATTACAGTTTGACACATACGTAAAAATAATTCATCAAAAATACCAAAAGAAAAATCTCACACATATGTCAACTTGTGATTGGGGGAGGAAAGTATTTTCCATAAAATATCAAAAAAATGAAAAATGAAAATAAAAACCGAAGACAATTTAAGCTCATTGTTGGTTTGGTTTATTTATATGCTGGGACTGTGGACAGCCTACGTGTAACATAAAGATGATATCATGACAGGAATTAAAACATTATAATGTGCATTGCCTTTTAAGGATGCCAAAGTCCAAAAAGTCCAAATGGCCATTATTTTATGGCTCCTCGTTCCTTAAGTGAATGGGTTTGGTTTTTACATTTGTTGCTTTTGCCTTTGTTGCTCATACGTGACCTCAATCTATTACTTGGCGTGTTTCCAACATCAACAAAGCTAATAACACATGAAACACGATCAGTGGCCAATGCAAAAAGGAACATACCATTCGTCATCCCAAAACTACCCCCCACTTAATCTGGCTAACTAAACTGCTAACATCATCACCATTCATCCACCAAACTACTAGCCTACCAGTCAAGTAAACAAAGGGAGCTGATTTTCTCACTCCTCTTTTATTTATTTACACTCATTTTGTTAAAAATTGTATGTTCTCACTCATCTTTTTTCCACTTACACTTCTTTTTTTGCTATAGTAAAAACTATTAAAAAAACAAAATGGAGTGTAAATGAACAAAAAGGGAATAGAAAAATCACCACCCTTAATAAATCCTACTTTGTTCAATTAAGTCCTAATTAATCGTATGGGGAGTCTCTTCCGAGTCTCTTAAATTTTAGGGCCCTGTGCAAAATGGGCAATATGACCTCCTAAAACAATTAAATCCTAGTATTGTATGCACATTTCCACATATTAAAGTTCAAATGCACTTTAACGAATGAATACAAGTTTTAATCTTAAAGACTAAGAAAAGAATCTTTATAAATATTATATTGACCTATATCAAGCCAGAACACGTCCATATCAATGATCAAAACAAATGATACTAATGGAGTGTTTGTTGGAATCTTTCGAGACTTTGGGGTGCTATCAATTTGTCTTTGAATTCAAGTCTTTAAAGTATCCTTGTATGTGAGTTTTCCCCGGACCATTTTTACATTTGGCCAAAAATAAAATAAAATAAAAACAAATAATGAAAAAAATCATATAACACCACAATCTGTTCTTGATATTATGTACAGTGTTAATACTTTTTTCAAACTAGTCAGTACCCTTATTATTGGATTTTATTTTGTTTTTTAAAAGCCTTGTAATATTATATATATTATTTGTAGTACATGGGTGTGGTGGGCCTTGAATTAGTACTATATAAATTGAAGATAGTTCCCATAAATTCTCAAAAAATCATCCACAGACGAACAATAATCACAGCACAACAAACCCCAACCATGGTTGCTCATAGCTCTACCCCGATCATCTCATCCTTCTCCTTCCTCGCGATCATCGCTTCTCTTCTCACAGTCGCGGTCTTGCCTGCAACAGCCTCAGCTGTGCCACTCTCCACCAGCTCACGGTGGATCGTCGACGAGAGCGGGCAGCGCGTGAAGCTGGCCTGCGTGAACTGGGTGTCGCATCTCGAACCCGTAGTCGCCGAAGGCCTGAGCAAGCAGCCGGTGGACGCCATCTCCAAACGCATCGCGTCGTTGGGCTTCAACTGCGTCAGGCTGACGTGGCCAACCTTCTTGGCCACCAATGATACGCTGGCATCTGTCACTGTTCGACAGTCGTTTCAGAGCCTCGGCCTCAGCGAATCCATTGCTGGTCTCCAGTCCAACAATCCCTCCATCATCGATCTCACCCTCATACAAGCTTACCAGGTACGTTCGTGCCCCTGATTTTCTCGGGAAACAAACAGAACAAAGGAAAAGAAAGTGTAGACTTTTTAGAACGCCGGAAGGAATCTTCATTTGCATTTCTCTTCATTTTTTTATTTTATTTTCTTAATTCTGCATGGGCCCCACAAACAGGAGCTTTTCTCCAAGTTAAGTTATACGGCTTACTTATCGATTAGTTTAATTAGGAATTAGGATAGCCTTCAATGAAGAGCTACAAGATCAACGGCTTACACTGTTTGCACATCAATCTCTTTTTCCAAGTGTCTAGTTTCAACTCCATCGTTCAATTATTATGCTAGAAAATAATTTATTTTTTGTCAGTGACGGGAATAACAAAGAGTAATTCTTTAATTAAAAGAAAATCAACTAAGGTTCATCAGTTAATTACACAGTAACCACCAGCCTTAATTGTATCTTATAAGCCAGCCACCATTATACTTGCCCTTTCACATAAGTTTTTCTGCTTTCACACACCAATAGAATTTTAGGGGGTCCACCTAACAATTACACATCAATTGTTAGAGCCTGCTAAATCCGTCAAAAAAAAAAAAATGCATTCACACGACAGTTTTAGATATTATTTTTTTCCCCATACAAGTGATATGAGAATGGAAAATTCAAACACACGACTTTAGGTACAGGTAACTTGCCTGTAACCATTTGAGCGGCAAGTCCTTTCCGACAGTTTAAATTTTTTTTAGTAGCTTCTTATCAGCTTAGAAATGATTAACAGGCTTTTTAAGAATGATATTATATTGCTATATAAAGAAAGAATGATATTTTATTATTGTGGGGTTTATTAAGTTAAAGCAAAGGATAATGAGTGATTATTATTTATTTATTTTCACTTGTAGGCGGTGGTATCTAGCCTTGGGAAGAACAATGTGATGGTTATACTGGACAATCAAGTAAGCAAGCCTGGTTGGTGCTGCAGCAGCTCTGATGGCAATGGTTTCTTTGGCGACCAGTACTTCAATCCTGACATTTGGATCAAGGGCCTTACTCGGATGGCCACATTGTTCAAAGGCGTGGCCAATGTGGTGGGCATGAGCTTGAGGAACGAGCTGAGAGGCCCCAAACAGAATGTTGACGATTGGTACAAGTAAGTGCCATTTCATTCCAAGTTGAAAATGCATCCAACCCAATAAAACATGTAGAGGGCTTGATGGGTGGGCTAAGCTAAATACAGGGTTTAATAGCATAAATGGGCATAGTCTCAGGCCCAGTTACATGGGAACCCACCATGAATGCCAGTTGGCCAGAGCAATGTGCCCGCTTCCTGCACCAAGTTCAAATCTCCCTCTCCTTAGATTAGATTAGATTAGATTAGTTTAGATTAGTTTTAGACTATGACTTGTATCAACAAAAAGAAAAATTAAAGGTAAATTAATTAATTATAGTATTCGTTGTGAACTATGTGTGGTAGGTACATGCAAAGAGGAGCTGAGGCAGTGCACTCAGCAAACCCAGATGTGCTTGTGATTCTCTCTGGCCTGAGTTATGACAAAGACTTATCTTTCCTTGCCGACCGGCCAGTGAGCCTCACATTTTCTGGGAAAACAGTATATGAGGTGCATTGGTATGGGTTTTCAGATGGGCAGGCATGGAAGAGTGGCAACCCTAACCAAGTGTGTGGGTCAGTTGTAAATAACATGAAGAGACAATCAGGGTTTTTGCTGGAAAAAGGGTTCCCATTGTTTGTGAGCGAATTTGGGGTGGACCAGAGGGGCACCAATGTGAATGATAATAGGTACCTAAACTGCTTCATGGCTACTGCAGCTGAACTTGATGTGGATTTTGCTCTCTGGACTTTGGATGGGAGTTATTATTTGAAGGATGGGGTCCTCGGAATGAATGAGTATTATGGAGTCTTGAACTGGGATTGGAGTGATGTCAGGAATTCAAGCTTATCTCAGAGACTCTCTGTTCTTCAATCTCCTTTCCAAGGTATAGCGTGTTTCGATTTCTTTGTTGTGATTTCAAACGGTTCATCAACGGTCAGAAATCCCACACGCCCGCATATGGCACAGCTCTTTCTTTGTTCTATTGAAGAAATTCAAATCATATACTTCATATAATTTTTTTTTTTCAGGCTGTAAGATTAATAATGTGTTTGTTGTTTGCAGGTCCAGGCTTATCTCAATCCAGGCTGCATAAAATTATTTTCCATCCAGCTACGGGCCTCTGCCTCCTAAAAGTTGGATGGCTTGGGCCATTGAAGTTAGGTTCATGCTCTCAATCTGGAGCCTGGAGCTATTCATCCAAGAAGATCCTAACTCTTAAAGGAACGTATTTCTGCATACAAGTTGATGAACTGGAGAAGCCAGCACAAGTTGGGATTATTTGCACGACCCGTAATTCACAATGGGATACCATTTCAGATTCTGGGTTGCATCTTTCATCTAAGACATTGAATGGTACTGATGTTTGCCTAGATGTAGACTCCAGCAACACCATTGTCACAAGTTCCTGCAAATGCTTAGGCAGAGATAGTTCGTGCGATCCCGAAAGCCAGTGGTTCAAACTTGTCGATAGCACAATAACTTCGACGTCTTCAAGCCCCATATTCTAGATCAACTCTGTAGCAGATATGCTTGGGATGAAGATCACAACTAACTATTTAGTGAAGCAAAGAAGGGGACTGGTGCGCTCAAGAAAGAAAAATTTAGGTGCTTTAATATGTCCATACATGTCAAAAGCCGCATGTATTTGTATAGAAATAAAGTATTTGTTCAACCTGCGCTGTTGTGTAAAATTATGTAGTTTTATTATACCATGTAAAAAAAGATAAATGCAAACCTAATATTATTTGGTAGAAAAGGAAATTAATGTAATTCTAAAGTCAGGGCTCACACTCTACGTATCAAAGAAAGAAAGATCATGTCTGCATGTCTCCAATTCATGTCACCTGTTGTGTATTGTGTTTCCTAGGATGAGAAATTAATGAATAAAAGCTTAATAAGTTATTAATTAAGCCAGTCTGCCATGGTTGCATTATTAATATTTGAGTTTAGTACAGCTAGGATATTAAACACAACAAAGAAACCTTGTAGTAACCATGGATTCATGGTCCTACCTACCCCGAGGAACTTTACCGTATGAATTTTATTCCTGGACCTTGCCAGTTGCCCAAAAAAGCTGCTCTGCTCCATTATCCATTAGACAGTACTAGTGAGCAACCTAGGCTTGAGAGTCACAAGCAACCCATTCTGCATGTAAAGTGTGGTGGTCAATTTTGGAACAACATTATGACCTTCAACAACCTTAACCTCATACCTCAATAGTATAGCAGCAGCCACCATCTTCATCTGCATGTAAGCAAACTTCTTCCCCAAACACAACCTTGGACCCCCGTTAAACACGGGGTATTTGAATTGATTCTCACTCACAAACACCCCATCTTTAATCCATCTTTCAGGCCTAAACTCCAAGCAATCTTGTCCCCATATCGACTCAATTCGGGCCATCGAGAACATGGAGTAGAGAACCCCACCTCCCTTTTTCACCACGGTACCATCAGGGAACACATCATCTTCCACAACCTCTTTGATGTCAATTGGCACTGCTGGGTAGAGCCTCAGCGATTCTGACAATGCAGCTTGTAGATACACCATGTTCTTTAGTTCTTCCACTGTAAAAATTGCATCATGATCAGCTGGTTCTTTAATATTACTGCATTGGCGCCGCTGGCCTAAAATTTCATTCATCTCTTTGAGGATTTTGTTTTCCACTTCTGGGGTTTTTTGCACTAACCAAAAAAACCATGCCAATGCAACAGAGCTTGTGTCCCTCCCAGCTAAAATAAAACTTATGCAGAAATCTACCAGAAACTTATTCGAAAAGCGCTTTTGCGTGCCTTGTCCTTCCGGGTTTTGATCAGTGTATTCCATGAGCCTTGACAAGAGATCAGAACGATCATTTAACCCGCCAAGCCTAACCAATTCATTCCTTCTCTCTGTCACTGCCTTCTCAGCAAACTCATGCACAATTTGAACTGATTCTTTGAGCCTCTTCTCGTAACCCATTCCGAAACGCTTCATGGGCTTCCACACAAAAGACGGCACCATGAATCTGAAGAGAGTCAATTCGGTAGCTTCTTCAAAGGCTTTTGCAAAAGGAATTTGGGGTAAGTCAAGAGCCAAGCATCCTGGATCAACACCAAGAGCTGCAGTGCAAATGTTGTCAAAAGTAAACCGAAGAAGCACTTCTTGGAGATCAATAACACTGTTTCTAGAATTCACCACGTCGTCCATCAAATTCAACAGCTTTTCGTGCACCAAAACCTGCATGGACAAAAAAGAGTGCTCCACAAACCGGCTCGAATGCATCTCTGTAGTTGCTACTCTTCTCTGCTCCTTCCACATTTGATCGTCTGCATTGAAAATGCCATCCCCAAGCAAATCATGGAACCTCTCCCTGTAGCGTTGGCCTTTTGGGAAGTTGTTGAACCTTGTTTTGAGCATGTACTCAAGTTTGGAAGGATCAATGGTTATGATCCCATGTGCCCCACCAAACCACATTCCTCTGAAGTAGAAAGTGCCCCCTGCTCTGATCAGAGCCACGGTTGCCCAATCATACATGCTGTTTACATTGAGAAAAACTGAAGGCATAATCCCCAGGACTGGCCATAGCATTGGGCCCTTGTTGGTGAATCTCTCAAGCAAGCAGCTAATTATGAACAGAACCAACAAGGCAATAGCCACATCCCAGAAACCTACCAAGTTCAGAATTGCAGAGAAAGAAAGCAAGTTCGTCATTATTTGTATGAGTACTTTGATTATTAGCAGAGTTAAATAGTGAAGGATGAGAAGAGTATCAGAAATGAAGTTTCCATGGTTGTCAGCTTCATTGATATGAAAAAGGAACAAATTTAATTAATGATGCCACCTGATTTTTTGACTCACATGCAGAGATTAAATAAGCTGTTTTCTTGGCAAAGAAACATTGGGCGTTCTGCGCTTAGTTGTTTATATAAACTATAAGTATAAACACTAACATGTTCATCAAGGGACTTCATAAATTAGCAGGAGATAAAGTGGGGTTAGAAGTTGAGGTATTAAAAGAGATGAGTTGGATAGAAATGAATGAAGGCATATGTTTTAAATGTACAGTATTCAAAATCCTTTGCTTTACCAACTACTCCTTGGAATCATCTCACCAGGATTTTTTGTTTTTGGTCAACAATACCAGTATACCCACGCCAGTCTTTGAATCCTCTCATGTCCTTTCCCCAGCCAATTGATTTTTTTTTTTTTTTTTTTTTTTTTTTTTTTTTTTTTGGTTTTTTTTTTTTGGTTTGTTTCTGTGTTCTCAACTTTATCTACTCCAGCCTCCATTGATTTTTTAAGGCATTAACCTTAAAAATATAAACCCTACTACTAGGATTGTTCCCAAAACGGCTTTATCTCAAAGACCCAATCTAACAAAATCTCTCAGATTAATAAGTGACGGATAAAATAAAAGGGTCGTAAATTTGATATACATTGTTGACCTATTTTCTTAATAGCTTATGTTTTTTAGATGAGTAGCTGTCTAACAAAGGACTTTGGACATGCATAGAATTTTTGTCCCTGCACTGCTGGTACTTCAAGTTCAACCTGAGAATGGCATATCATTATAGTTGGAAACGAATAAAATGTGCTAACTAAACATAAAGATGAGAAAAACCCTTCTCTTGATTTCGATTATTTAAGCCATTCAGCTGCTTTTTCATATCCCAATCAGCTGCTTTTTCAATCCTTAGATTGGACCTGTTTGCTTTCCCAACACTAGGGTTTAGATTTTTGAATTGCCATGGGATGTCACCGTATGGCATACACATAAGAAATAAATTGAATTAAGACTAAAGATACTAACAATTATTGACGTAAGAAATTGTCATATATATCGTGTGTTACGTCAGTTGATAATTAAAAGTTAGGATAATAATTGATGACTCTAGTATTATTGTTGAATTGATATTTTATTTTATTTTTTGTTACTTTTTTTTATTCTTCATTGTTTTTCTTCTGGAATAAAATATGTGCCCTAACTCAAATACCAATTTTCAAAGGACTAAGGACGAGAGAGACAGCTCATCTTTTGTAGAAGACACAATGCAAAAAGTTCGCACCAAAAGCGGTTATCTCAAATCAAAGACTGAAAATCTGACAAAATCTCTTTAGATTAGTAATTAATGGGTAAAAGGGCCTCCAGCATTGGATATCTGGACTCTTTTTATTGGTCACTAAGTTCAACTACAAAGTAACTGAGGTTAAAAGACAAGACAAATGAAGGCTTATACTTAAAGCTTAAAAAGCAATATCTGCCAGCAGTGCTAGTGAAGTAACTTTGGAGGTGAAACTGTAATTTGGCATATGCATTTTTCACCAACTAAAATGGCACTAACTTAATTTGCCTTTGAAGCTCGATAAATTTAAGTCACCTTTTGTTTTTTTTGAAGTCTTTCCTATTGAGGGAGGTGATGATATATTAAATTCATGAACACTATATCAATGCCAAGACTCGAACTCAGAACCTTGCCTGGAGGAGCAAATCCTTTGCATTTAAGTAACCTCTTTTTCTTCACAAATAATTGATCGGGAGTTACAATATTTATTAAATTTACAAGGCACACATTGGGCTTGTTTTTCAATCCCTTGACAGCAAAAAGCTAGAAGGCTGAAGGCCCTTTTCTTTCTGGGATGCTGTTTCCAGACACAGCTAATACTTTACTAATCACATTTCTTACTGTTCTGATGATCCACTTTCGGTTGTTTTCTGTAATAAGGGAAGCTCTTGCCTCTTCAAGATTAGTAATTAAAAAAAAAGTGCAAAAGGGGAAGGCTTTGAATTTGATTCGGGTGTCCAAAAAAATCATGAACATAAACTTTTTTCAAAGGGTCTTCACATATGAAAAGAAAAAAAAATATTACTGTAGGCTTCGTACCACAAACAGTGAGAACTAAATGTTCAGGCAAATTTAAGTAGGTGCATTCTCGTGTTTGCATAAAGCTGAGAAGCTCATAATATTTTACTCATGCGTTGCTTTTCTCTTGGTTCACCATCACTTTGACCATGGATTTGCTTGGAAGTGACACCTTCTTGCCAAATTCCGTATCATCTTTATCACAAGAAGTTCTAATTAAGAAGCTACTCCTTAGCCACGATCCCGATGGCCGTCATCTTGATTCTGAGCTGTTGCTCTGTGGAGTGGAGGACATCATGCTTTGTACTACCACATCCCAAGTAATTGCTCATTTCTAACACATTGTCACTCTCAGCTTTTTTTTTTTCCTTTCCCTTTCATGTTTCAGCACAAATTAGAAATGATATGATATAGAATGTACTGCATATGTTTCACCACAAAATCAAAATCATTGGATTTAAGGAGAAGGGTATTGCTGGTTTCACCTTGTAGTATCCTAGTTCATCACTCACACTACATAGCAGGTCATGACTTTTTAATCTGTTATTTTTTTTAATCAACTTGTTTTATCTGTTCTAATCATAATCTAGTTAGCCATTGATCTGCACTGCGCTTGCATTTTAGTGTTCTTTATAATTAAAAAATGTATGAACTGTAGAACACTTGTAATTAACATCATGACCTTCCATCCCAAGCTTTTCATCTCATCAAACACTTACTTTCAGGTTCTTGATGCCACTGAAAAAACTCATGTATGCAAGATGGAATTTGGATCACAAGAGCCTCTCGGACAGACCTTCTGTAAAATTTCGCACGAGGTAATTCAACTTCTATCTCGATCTTTCTCTTATTCATGAGGAGGATGCCAGTTAATTCGATCTATTTGTTAACATGTCAGATACTTTGCAAGTGCTGCGATGAAGGAAGTCTACATGCAAGGGCAATGATTTTGTTTGATTTGCTTGGAAATTATAAGTGGGGTGCAAAAGTGGCATTAGTACTTACATCTTTCGTAGCAAGTTATGGCGAATTTAGGCTCCTAATGCAGCAGTACTCTAGTAGCCCCTTGGCAATATCAGTCGCAATGCTCAAGAAATTGCCTGCTGATTCGAGTCCTTTAAAGCCTCGATTTAAGGCCTTCAGTTTGTTAGTCAATGCAATGGTGGATGTAACCAAGTGTATCATCAAGTTTGAGAAACTACCGCTTTCACATGTGGAGCTGGATGATGAGACAAAGGCTGTTACAAAGTCTCAAATCTATATAGCTGTTTACTGGATCATTAGAGGCATCTTGATATGCTCTTCTCAAATCACAGATTCAACAGCCATGAAATCTGAGCAGGTTCATGTTCCTTCCCTTTGATCAGCCAATTAAAATATGCTGAACTTCTGATTAAATATTGTTTACAAGATTTACTTTGTTTAACTGCTTGAATTTGTGTTCCAACTTATGTTTACGCTACCTGAAATGCTGATATATACTTAACATCTACCAAATGAATTTGCCTTAAACTGTTATACTGATGAAGGAATTATTTCTAATTGAAGTATTCAGATTCAGCAATAATTGCATCTTGGGAGCTCTTAAGTTTGGTGTATCAGCTGCGCAGCATTTACAGTGACCTCAGACAGCAGGTGGAAGTGTGCCATCAACATACAGGTTACCAGTCATGTTTATATCTGGATTGAGCTTACTCTTGCAGCACTTGCCATTTACCATGACATTTTTGGCATAACTTGCAGAGACAAAGCTATATCAGAAGCTGTTGGATATCTTCAAGGAGACCCAAGTGGACAACCAAGAGGTTCTTCGCTTGTTATTTGCCTTGAGGGATGACTTGCCACTCAAGGATTGCTCCTCACAAGCAAAGGCATGTTTAAATATCCTATCCTGATCAGAGGGTATCTTCTAAATATTCCAAGTACTAGATGCCATCAAACATAAAACAATTAAGAAATTGGGATGCAAAAGTACCAATTGTGCTACTTACTCCACTTAGCCATGGTACATCTAATATGATATTAAAAATTAGAACAGCCTAATGTACCATTAGTAAGTATTACCTCGTCTGATCCCCTTATTTTCGGCAGAACTACATATCTAAGAGTGCCAAAATTGAAACTAGTTTTCCCTTCTTACAAATGTAAGTTCTACTGGTTTACAGTCTCACTTGGATTTGTTAATAGCTAGGTGTCTCTGATCTGAAGAACAAAGTAGTCATACTCATGATCTCAAAGCCAGAGCTTCTTTCAATAGAGGAATCACTCTTTCTGGTTCAGCAAACACATAATCATCCTCACACAAAAAATGCAGAGGACAGTTATAGAATTGTATGGGTCCCCATTCCAGTTTCCAATCAATGGACTGATGCCGAAGAGACAATTTTTGAATACTTATCAAATTCTTTGCCTTGGTTCTCAGTAAGGCAACCCTGGCTTCTTAACTCAGCAGTGGTGAAATTTATAAAAGAAGCATGGAACTACAAAAACGAGCCGGTTATGGTTGTGTTGGATTCACAGGGGACTGTCACAAACCCAAATGCAATTGACATGCTATTTATCTGGGGTCCCAAGGCATACCCTTTTTCAGCTTCAAGAGAAGAAGAACTTTGGCAAGAGCAGAATTGGACACTGCAATTTATGATGGATGAAATTGACCTCTTGCTGACTAAGTGGGTAAGAGTCTTAAACTGTATGCTCTTCCATATACTAATTGGCTTAATCTTTTTTCCTTTTTTGTGTGCTTAAGCTCATAACATTGCATTGATTTCAGGTAGAAGAAGGCAGAAACATTTGCATCTATGGAAGTGACAGCATAGACTGGATAGTAGAATTCACTGCCAAGATGGAGATTATCAAAAGCGCAGGAGTGCAGCTTGAGACGGTGTATGTTGGCAAGAGGAACTCAAGCCAACAAGACATGAGGAACATGTCAGCCACGGTTAGCTATAAAAAACTAAGCAGTGCATTGCCTCCCATGAAAACACAATTCTTCTGGCTTCGTTTGGAAAGTATAAGAAGATCAAAACTCCAGCTAGGAAAGAAGGCGAATAGTACTGACAAAGTTCTAGATGAGGTGTCAGCACTGCTAGATGCTGATGACAATGACAAGAATTGGGCAGTAATAGGGAGAGGATCTGATTCCATGATGCAGGATATAGCAAGACTTGAAGGGCCAGATCTTGTGGAATGCTTAAACAAGTTTCCAAAGTGGGGTGAAAATGTGGGAGAGTTGGGGTTCTGGGGTGCACTTAGACATGCCCTTGAACCATCTGTTCTTCCTGAGCCCTGTGGTCACTTTGAAGTCACTCTCCCTGGTAAAGAACAAGGAGAAGGAGGGGTAGTTTGTGGCCAGTGTAAGCACCCTATGAAGAAGTTTGTTGTCTACAAATGATGTAATTGCTCCAAAATGATGGTTTTTCTGTTTGTCCGTGAATAAATTATACATTAAATTCTCACAGGTTGTGTTGCTAACACATTTGCTCATCCATATATTTGTATTCTCCTATAACAACTACAAAACCAGAATCCAACAGTAAGACTAGGGCATTACATTTGCAACCGCACCTACTGAGAAAGACATATAAAAGAGGCTTTGGGCACAACCAGGTCCACATTTTAAAATTTAATCTTTTACTCAAGCAATATCATTCAAAATTTCATGAAAACTGGAGTATGAAGATCAAATTTATGGGTGTGGATATTCTTTTCCAGTTTTGTACGTTGTGGGCCCAACTTAATGAACCTTGTGCTTTTCTGGGTTGCGAAAGAATGTGGTTCCCCCCAAGTAGACTGCCCTTTTCCTCTCGCATATAGCCTTTTCTCTGTTTTTATCTTGTCATGCATAGTATATACCCAACGCTTTTACTTTTGTTTCCTACCAAACCACAAATCATTGCTTTGGAAACTGTAAGCAAAGCACCTGGTCCCTCTTGAGGAGCAGGGCCAAAGTTTTGGAATCTTATACACTCAAAAGAAAAGAAAAAAGTTTAGGCAGCTTCATGAACGCGGGTGTTTTATTTCAATTCTTGATTTGTTTTCATTTTATTTTCCTTCCAAGGTTCCATTCGTTCAGTTGGCTATAATATTCTACCAACTTATATGCGTTTCTTGGTAAAAAATATCCAATATATTATACTTTGAGTACAAAAGGCACCAAACTATTTCAAAAGTATACTTGTGAAAATTAATCAAGGCCACTCTATTACTCTGATAGAATTATCGACGGTGAAATAAATCATGAAGCCAATGAACTTTCTAATTGATTTTTCTTCTTTCCGTATTCTAAGTTCTTTTCTTGGTTGGTTCCTCACTCTCTCTTAGTTAGAGCATCTCCAACTTAACATTTTTAATCAGTAAAAAAAGATGCTCAGACTCATTCCAACCGAAATGTTAAATCCTATGTGGAATAATATTCTCTCTTTTGCTGTAATTTTTGTTGTTTCACCTTCTGATGTTATTTTATTATTATTTTTCAATTAATGTGTCTAGATCTTTTTTTTTTTTTTTTTTTTTGAGAAAGAAAATCATTCATAGAACCAAAGACGTATACAGAACGATATGACACAGTGGCCTCGTTAAAACCTTTCTAAGACAACCTCATAGGACAAACTCCAAGAGAGGAAAGAGTACCACACATGTCATGGACTAACAAGAAAGTCATATTCAAGTCACTTTAGAACATTACAATAAAAGAACAAATCAAAAACGAAAACTAACACATAGACCTCCAACGAGAACCGCAACTATAGACCAACACAATAGACCCACATGAGAGGACCGCAAAACATCACAACTGTCAAAAGAAGCCTTCTATGAGCAAAATCATAGTCCTTTGACACCCACACAAATTGCAAGACATACCATAGCAGAAACCCGGAGAGAACACGCAATAGGAACACATAAGTAACAATAAAATGGCCCCTGAGAAGCACTCCACTTAAACTCAAAACCGGACATTAAAAAAAACCTCTTATGACCAAGCATAGTTCTTTGAACATCGCAAAGTAGAGAAGAGCACCACATTCCAACAACAACCACCAATGTCGTTGCTGCCGCGACTGTTGAAACATAAACAAAACATCAATCACCAAGTATCACAACTCTCCTAAGGAGAGACATAATCCAACGTCACCACTATAGCCGCCGTTAAGACAAAGACAACACTAGCCACATAGAGCACTGTAAAAACAATCAAATAAAACAAACAGACAAACAGACCTAGATCCAAACATATCTAGACTATCTGGGAAGGGGAAGGTGAGGAGAAGAGTGGATAAGAGGAAGGGAAAAGATGGGAGAAAAAGAAGGGAGATGAGGAGAGGAAGAGGAGATGGCCGGAGGGTAGAGGAGGGCCAGTGGCCACCTCTCCCTTTAGCTTCCTTGCGGTTGGTTGTTGGCAAGGAGAAAGGGGACCAGAGTACCGTTATGGTTTTTTTTTTTAGAGGAAGAACAAATTAACCAGTCAGACCACACGACACCTTAATGTGCCTAGTTGTAAACCAATAAACAATATGTAATAAATTAATATTTTAATTTGACATATCTGGTGTGGTGGGAGTAATTTTTGGGTGGTCTGGGTACACCACGTGGCTGGTGTACCATCCAATAGAAGTAGGACATGTGAAATATTTCTAATGCAGCAAGTCACAAGTCATAAAAAGCAATGCAATAAGTTGGAAAATAATTTGACATGACTTATGTGTATTGGATCGTACACGGAACATATAAAAATTTCTCATCAAGTGAAATGTAAAATTCTATTATATATCCAACTTAAATTCAAATTTAATATTTGATATTTAGATGTTGGGAAAAGCCTCTAAGAAAATAATAATAATAATAATAAGAAGCTAGTTATCCTAAGATGGACTCTCAAAGTAACATTGAAGAAACACAACATATGTTTCTCTCGACAGCCATAATTAAAAATTATTCCTAGAGTAGGAATAGATATAAGGATTGCTAACCTTTCGTGTAGGTGAAAAAAGATTTTGAAGGCGACCAAACACATAAATATCCATCCCCTTGTCTCAAAAAACAATATTATAAATTCCTTCCACTCTCTCTCTACTGGCACTTTTTGGATAAAACCCCAATGGAAGCAAGGTAGCAGCAAGCACGCTATATGCATCGACTATATAAGGCCTAGCTATCCTAGCTTGAACCAAAACCAACACACTCACAGAAACCTTTGCTCTTCTTCTCCCCCTCCCCTCACACCTAGCTCACAGTCTCAACCTTCCTCAAAATGGCCCTCGCCCCTCAGAATTTTAATAGGGCCCCTGCACCACCTCAAATTTATAACAACCCTGTGCCAACTGCTCAAAATTTTAACACCGCCCCTCTACCAGCTGCTCAGAACTATAACACAACACCTCAACCAGCTGCTCAGAACTATAACACAGCACCTCAACCCGCTGCTCAGAACTATAGCACGGCTCCTGTACCGGCTGCTCAGAAGTACAACACGGCACCTCCAGCTGCTCAGAATTACAATCCGGCCCTTGCACCAGCAGCTCAGAGTTATGATCCGGCCCTTGCACCAGCTGCTCAGAGTTATAATCCTGCCTTTGCACCAGCTGCTCAGAATTATAATCCAGCATTTGCACCTGCTGCTCAGAATTATTATAAGCCGCCCACCACAACACGCGGAGGACGAGACAGTTACAACCGTCCTCCTCTGCTCAGAGATGGGCGCCGCCAATTTTCAGCAACTTCTGATGACAGTGCATTGACTAACCAAATTCTGGCTACTGATCGGTCTCGTGACCGTCCCTATGATGTCAAGTCCGTTCCTCTTAAACATATTCTTCAAACTGTTGACGTCATCCTTGCCCGTGTCACGAAACCTGACATCCATGGTGCCTTTCTGGTTCCGGTACGTCCATGCCTGATTATATATATGTCACTTGCTCATCTTGATCATCAGGGTTTACTAATTACGATGTTACTAATCATGCACAATTGTTTCTGATTTTTTTTGGGTGTATGAATGAACTAGGGAGCTGTAGGTGCACATGATGCTCTAAATTTGGAACATGAGAAGGCCCTCCATGCTTCCCTGAGTAGCCTCCAAGACAACTACGATGTTCCAACCGGCCTGTTTAATGCCATCTCCTGCGAGGTTTATATTACATATACTATAAGCTTATAATTAAATGTGATGTTCATGTGATCGTAGATAATTTGTATGAGTGCAAAACAATCTGCATTATGCTTAACTTGTTCCTTTAATTGATCTTGCAAAATTATAAATGGGTTAAATGATCACAGATATTCGGCAAGTGGCTGTCTGGGGAAGATCCCAACAAGACAACCATGGAGATATTGGACATTGTGCAACACCATGATTGGGATGAGAAAGTGGTGCTTGTCTTGGGAGCTTTTGCTGTGAAAGATGGTGAGTTTTGGCTTGTGGCTCAGCTTTACACCACCAACCCACTGGCCAAAGCGATTGGACAGCTTAAGCAAGTGCAAGAGATATTGGAACGTGCTGGGACTACCTTGAAGCCCAAGTTTGACTCCTACAACAATCTGGTTAGGGCCATCATCAATGTCACCAAGTGCGTTGTTCAGTTGCATGACCTTCAGCGTGATCCGCACGTGACCACCGAACATGAATCCGCAGCCACCACTGCTCATATCCCCACCGCTGTTTACTGGACGATTCGGAGTATTGTCGTTGCTGCATCACAACTACTGGGGATCACTGGCATGGGCCCCGAGTAAGTGGTTCATATTCACAGTCTGACAATATTGTTTCATTAATTCTTTTTATTTGCCAAAAGACAGTGATAAATTCCTTGTGTTCCACTTTTATTTGGCTTCTATAAGGTATCTGACAGAGGCATGGGAACTATCATCCTTGGCTCATAAGCTCGAAAACATACACAGCCACCTCCAGGAGAACCTCGACAGATTATATGAAATCATCAGTGAGTCTAATTCATTTTTATATTAGAGGTAGCTTGTCCTATTTGTTTATTCATGCCCAACTAGAAGATATTTTTAATGGTGTGATGCAGAGAGGAAGAAAGATGATGAAGCCTTGGCTGCCATTGCATACATCTTAGAAACACCACACATTGATAACGTCAAGCCTCTGAGGGTCTTGTTTTACAAGGATGATCTGCCAGCACTCTATGATTGCTACAACAAGAAGAGGGTTCGCTCTGAAACCTCACTTCTCTTCTATCCCCACAATATATATAATCAACTAGAATTGGTCAACCAAGATCATTTTCAATATCATCAGGTCAACTAAACCTTAATTAGACAAAAAAAAAATCTAAGAAGGAAGTACAAGTTTGGATCATGACTTCAAGTTACTAATAGTCACATTTGGCAGAAAATTCATGTCAAATTAAGTCCTGGTTTCAATAATGTTGTGCTCCCAATTAATTAACCAACCTCCTCATGCCCCCATGAATACATGAAACAGGTGGACATTGATGTCTTGAAGAGGAAGACTGTGATCCTGTTCATTTCAGACCTCGACGTCGTCAATGAAAACGAGTATATGATTGTCCAAAATATGTACATGGAAAAACGGCAAAGCCCAGCAAGGCCAGAGAGCCAGTACGAGGTTGTGTGGGTTCCAATTGTGGACACGTGGACTGATGCCAAGTACCAGCACTTTGAGGACCTTAGGAGAAACATGGAATGGTACACAGTGTTCCACCCTTCAGTGGTCTCTCCAACTGTGATCAGGTACATCAGGAAGAAGGACAAATGGAACTTTCAAAAGAAGCCTCTGCTTGTGGTAATGGACCCGCAAGGCAAAATAGTGCACACCAACGCTGTTCACATGATGTGTATTTGGGGAAGCATAGCCTTCCCTTTCACCAGCAGCAAAGAGAAATTGCTCTGGGAGGAAGAGACCTGGAGGATTGAACTTTTGGCTGACTCCATCGATCAAAATCTCATTAACTGGGTACGTTCTATTGTTATATATGTATACGTTGTCAAACTGTCAATCTGAATAGTGTGTTTAAGCAAAATCATATATTCTAACCATGAAATAGTCCATGTGAGACTGTTTTTGTCAAGAGGACTAATTTTTCGGATGATGAATTTCAGATTGCAGAGGGGAAGTACATCTGCTTGTATGGTGGGGAAGATATGGAATGGATCAGGAATTTCACAAGGGCAGCTAAAAAAGTGGCTGCGGAATCTGGGATCCAGTTGGAGTTGCTGTATGTGGGGAAGAGCAAACCAAAGGAGAAAGTGGTGAAGAACATCATGACCGCCATTCAATTTGAGAAGCTAAGCCACACCCTCGAGTGGAACCTCATCTGGTTCTTCTGGGTACGTCTGGAGAGCATGTGGCAGTCTAGGGGACAACAGCTTCAGACAGAGGCTCTGAGATCAGGTCGTCTTACCGACAGCTTGAAAAGCGACCCGGTGATGCAGGGGATCATATCAATGCTCAGCTTCGGCTCGAGTGACCGTGGATGGGCTGTCATTGGGACAGGCTCAGCTGGCATGTCCAAGGCCAATGGGGAGCACATGTTCAGAAGCTTGAATGAGTTTAACTTGTGGAATAGAAGGGTGAATGAGATAGGCTTTGTGCCTGCATTGAATGAGTACTTGGATGGGGTGTATAAACAAGCACCACATCACTGCACCAATCTCATACTGCCCGCTACCGGGCTCATGCCTGAGACCGTGGCCTGCGCTGAATGTGGCCGGCTCATGGAGAGGTTCACCATGTTCCGCTGCTGCACTGACTGATCTACATGAACTTGTTGCATTGCACCAGACCACCAGAGTGATTTTTATGATATATTGAGGAGTTCCATTATGGAGTTTCTACTACTTATGTATGATAATAAACGTGACATCTAAATTAAGGTGGTGCTTTAGCTAGGTGCCGCCTAGTGTGTGTTTCTTATGATGCAATCTTATTGAAATCAATAAATTTCAAGTATTCCTTCTTAATTTGCTTTCATTTTACTTCTCTATATATGTTATTATTTTTCATGGTCACATTGCATGTCAAGATCAATATGTACAGAGAAGTAGAGGAAGGGGAGAAAAAAGAAGGGAGATTCACTATTATACCCAATATAGGAGCCCAAATTATAAAAAAAAACTCTATATTAAATGGATTTTAGAAACACACCCAAAACTCATTTACAATATAACAAAAAGGCTTTTAACTTCTTTTAAATTACAAAATTGCCATTGATTTCTTAAAATAAACCCAACCTCAAAACCTTATAAAAAAAAGCCCAAAACACTCAATAGGGCATCAAAGTAATTTAATAATCAAAATTAAATTCAATATGTACAACTGTCATTTTTTGAGTTTTTTTTGGGCATGTTTATAAAAATTAAATAGTGTAGAGTTTATTTATAGTTTTAATACTAAGAATGGGTATATGACTAAATATCTCAAAAAGGAATGAACAATTTGTTTGATTTAGAGAATTAACAGAGATATTATCTTGATTATTTAATTTGTTGTCCTATTTGACTTGCAAAGAAGCCAATGACATTGACAAACAAAACGCAGAACCTACAAAATGTCTGATTCTAGATTAAAATGAGACACTCCACTGGCTCATCTATTCTTGTTTTATGTTCAAAAATTATAAAAAGTTTCACTTTACAACTTATAAGTAGGGCATCAATCCAGCCGAACTGATTAAACTGACTGATTCAAACTGTAATTATCGTTTTGGTTTGGTTTTGACTAGGAAAAATTTAAACGGTTTAAAATTCGAATTGAACCGTATATTGGTTGGTTTGGTTTGGTTTTTAACTTTTATAAACCAACTTAAACTGGACCGAACCGTCTATTTATATATTTATTTATTTATATTTTATTTTTCACGTGCAGTCCTCTAATTAGATAATAATTAGACCCTCTATTTATATATTTATGTATTTATATTTTCTTTTACACTTGTAGTCCTATAATTAGATTATATATATATATATATATATATGTGAATGTTGAATTTGAAGTTAGATGGACCTTTATAGTTGTTGATATTTAAAATTGTAGCTATATTAGTTATTGAAATTTGAAGTTTTATGGCATATTGAGTTTTAGGATGGTTTTTTTTTTTTTTTTTTTTTTTTTTTTTTTTTTTTTTTTTTGTTTAGGTGGATAGGATGGTGTTTGTTGATACACATCAATGAAAAAAAGTATGTAAAGTTGTGATTTTTTTTAGTTGTAATTGGGTTAATAATGTTGAAAAATGCAAAAGGAAAGATAATTGGGCTTTAGGCCCAAACCGGCCAAACCAAACCATTTTAAATATATTGGTTTGGCTGGTTTGATTTTCTTAATAATTTTTGTCAAAATCAAACCAAACCGTTATATTATAATTAGTTCGGTCGCGATTTGAAGGTGAAATCGATCCAATCCAGACCATACCCACTCCTACTTATAAGTACTTCAAATTATCCGGCTCATGATTTTAATAGAACCTGAATAAACTGAAGTAAATGAATGGAGTAAAATTTTGGTCAATGATTCATAATATAAAAAATTGACTATCAAGAAAAAGAAAATTTGATAAATGCATAAGAAAAAAGGAGTCCCAACACATATCGAAACAAAAGGAACATGCAGGCTTATACCCTTACGCACAACAGCAGACAGAGACTGTTGCCAGTCAATGTTTTATTTATTTTTAGTTTAGGGTTTTTTTGGTTTTGGTTTTTTTTTTTACTCTCACAGTTTGATATTAGGATTGTTCATTCCGTCTTAAAAGTTCTCAAACTAATTATCCTTTGATGAATTGTATCTTTCAATTCGGTTTTGGCTGATTATAGTGGACAAGTTTCCAGCTTAATCATTGCCATTTCAAAATTAAATTAGTGTAATTTAACGAGTCTAGTGATCGAGCATTTTTGCTCACCAATTTAACCCAAGGTGTATATACAAAGTAAAAAGTTACCTATGGACACATGTTAAGTATAATAACAATACACCTTAAGTTAAAATGATGAGCAAAAATATTTCCATCAATGATATTGTAATATGTAATTCTTGACCCTATTTCTTTGGCTGAAGTTTTGTTTTGGGGGAATTATTTGGCTAAATCCGATACACAAACTTTTGCAAGAAAAATTCTAAGCAGAAAACTTTTCCTCCATCCATTTTTTGCCTTGGAAAATATGGAGCCTTACCATGAGAAAAATCTGACCAAAACGGGAAATGCCGAATGAGGCCCAAATTGAGGGTCTAAACAAAGAGAGTGGATATTCAAGATCTCGTCACAGCTCAGAAGTAGAAGAAGGTCCAAAATGAGGCCCAACTATCTAGATAAAGAAGGAACAAAACAACAACGTTCAAGAATCCTAGGAGGACAGCATGCATAGTAAAAGGAAAAACAGAAAGAAAAAAAACCATTCAATGATGTAGCTTGAGGCAAACTCTTCAATGTAAACCGTAACTGTGAACAAAACATGTGTATCACGACTGGCTGCAGCAAACAAAAAATATTCCTGGAGTAAGAATATCTGGACTCAAGTTTCGTAAAGGTGAAAAAATATTTTGAATGGCGACAAGAGCCGAAGCCCCTTATCCGAAGATCAGTATCTATATATTCTCTCCACTGATATAGGCTAGCAACCCGCTTTATGATTTAAACCCCAACGCAAGCAAGGTAGCAGCTTTTTATCTGGTAACATGCATCAACTATATAAGGACTAGCTGGCTACACCTAAACCCAAACCATTTCTCCTCTTCTACCAATTTTCCCTCTCAGATAAGCTTAGAGCCTTCCCTTTGCAAATGGCCCTTGTACCTCAGAGTAAGTTCACTGCAGTAAGCAGAGGAGACAACCGTGCTCGTGCTCCGGCTCTCAGAGATGGCCGTCGTCAGTTTTCGTCAACATCAGATGACAGTGCTTTGGTGAACCAAATTCTGCTCACTGATAAGTCTCATGACCGTCCCTACGAGGTGTCTTCTCTTGCAGTCAAGAACATTCTCCAAACCATTGAGGCCATTCTGTCTCGTGTCATGAAACCTGACACCCATGGCGCCATTGTGCTGCCGGTACGTCCATGCCTGATTGTAATTTTGTGTCATTTCACTTGATTGCTCTTCAACCTCTGTTGATTAATTATATGTACAAAGAATATTCAGCTTAGCTGGATGACAATTCAGTTTATTTACATGTTGTTCATCTGTTGTATTGTGTTGACCTCTTGTGTATTATAATTAGGGAACACTGGTACCGGCAGCTTCACACGCGGATGCTTTGGAACATGAGAAGGGCCTCCATGCTAGCCTCAGCACCCTTAGTGAAAGCTTCGATGTTCCAAACCACGTGTTTAATGCAATTTCTTGCGAGGTAAGTGAGATTCAGATTGATAGTTTAACAGCATAACATAACCCATGTGCATATAAATTTTGTTGATTGATGTATTGGGAGACAGATATTATGCAAGTCGCTGGGTGGGGAAGATGCAAACAAGACAACCATGGATATACTAGAAATTGTGCAAAACTATGATTGGGATGAAAAGGTGGTGCTTGCCTTGGGAGCTTTTGCTGTGAAAGATGGTGAATTTTGGCTTGTGGCTCAGCTCTACACCTCCAACCCACTGGCCAAAGCTGTTGGACAGCTTAAGCAAGTGCAAGAAATATTGGAACGTGCTGGGACAATCTTGAAGCCTAAATTTGACGGCTACAACAATCTGGTTAAGGCCGTGCTCAAAGTGACAAAGAGCATTATTCAATTACAAGAGCTTCAGAATGATCCCCACTTGACCCCCGAAATCAAATCTGCAGCTTCCACCGCTCATATCCCCACTGCTGTTTACTGGACAATTCGGAGTATCGTAGTTGCTGCATCCCAACTTTTGGGGATCACAGGCTCCGAACCAGAGTAAGTTGTTTTATAATGTGCTATAATCTTGTCCAGAATGAAACTGTTTGTACCGTCTCAACTGACCACATGGTGTATCAGGTATGTAACAGAGGCATGGGAACTATCATCTTTGGCCCATAAGCTCGAAAACATATTCAACCACCTCCAGGAGAATCTCAACAAACTAAACCAAATCATCCGTGAGTCTTACCCTAAAAACAAAACAGAGTACATGGCTTGTCCTGTATATGCGTTTGTGGCTAACTAGATATCAATGGTATGTGATGCAGAGAAGATCAAAGACGAGGATGCTTTCAATGCAATTGCACGCATTCTAGAATCACCACACATTGACAACAGCAAGCCTCTAAGGGTTTTGTTTTACAAGGATGACCAGCCTGCTCTCTATGACGGCCTCAACAAGAAGAGGGTTTGCTTTAAAATCTATCTTTCTCTTCTCATTTAGAAGCCACCAAGTTTGCAATGTCTGTACCCCAATTCATTTTTAAAAATTGAAACAGGTTGACATTGATGTGCTCAAGAGGAAGGTAGTGATTCTGTTCATCAGTGACCTAGACGTTGTCAATGGGAACGAGTACATGATTGTCCAAAACATGTACATGGAAAAACGGCAGAACCTGGGAAGGCCAGAGAGCCAGTTCGAGATTGTGTGGGTTCCAATCACGGATGAGTGGACTGCAGCCAAGTACCAGCAATTTGAGAACCTCAGAGATAATATGGAATGGTACAGTGTGTTCCACCCTTCGGTGGTGTCTCCTATTGTAGTCCGGTACATCAGGGACCAGAGGAAATGGAACTTTGTGAAGAAGCCTCTGCTAGTTGTCATGGACCCTCAAGGCAAAATAGTGCACCAGAATGCTATTCACATGATGTGTATTTGGGGAAGCCTAGCCTACCCTTTCACAAGCACCAAAGAGAGATTGCTCTGGGACGAAGAGAGCTGGAGGATTGAGCTTTTGGCAGATAACTTACATCCTAATTTATTTACTTGGGTACAAATACTCATCAATCATATGCATATCTAAAACTGTTACTTGTAATCTGGTCAGCTAACATGACAACAAAACTTTGGTATCAATTTCAGATCACAGATAGGAAGTACGTTTGCTTGTATGGTGGAGAGGACATAGAGTGGATCAGGAACTTCACAAGGGCTGCAAAAAGTGTGGCTCTTGAAGCAGGGATTCCATTGGAATTGCTTTACGTGGGGAGGAGCAAGCCTAAGGAGAAAGTGGCGAAGCAGATCCTGAGCATCATCCAAGCTGAGAATCTAAGCCACGCTCTTGAGTGGAACACCACCATTTGGTACTTCTGGGTTCGTCTCGAGAGCATGTGGCAATCCAAAGGACAACTTCTGAGAGAGCAATCAACAACCCATTTCAAGACAGACAATTTGAAAAATGATCCTATAATGCAGGGGATCATATCAATGCTGAGCTTCGGATCGAGCGACCGTGGGTGGGCTGTGATCGGCATTCCCTCAGCAGACATGGCTAAGGCCAATGGAGACCACATGTTGAAAAGCCTGAAGGAGTTTACCGACTGGAAGATCAGGGCAGCCGACGTAGGGTTCACCCCGGCGCTGAATGAACACCTAGAAGGAGTGTTCAAACAAGCTCCCCATCACTGCACTAATCTTATTTTGCCTGCAACCGGAATCATGCCTGAGACGGTGGCCTGCGCTGAATGCGGCCGTCTCATGGAGAGGTTTTCCATGTTCCGCTGCTGCACCGATTGAGTGAAATCACGCCCAAACCCTACCCCATCAGCTGCAGCTGCTGCTGCTTCTTCTACTTCGCTACTATTTTGATAATAATTACAGCTTCTAAAAGGTCCCAAGCATAGCCTCGATGGTGCTTCAGGGGCACAGTGTGTGATTCATTACTTTATTAATGTTCCATATTATTATTATAAGTATCAATAAAATTTGATTACCCCTTTCATTTGCAAGTTAAATTTATTCAAATCCCTTGGAGATCTGATGAAGAACTATCGCAAGCAGAGATAAGAAAACAAGAAATGACAAGTGAGCTCAGACATATCCCTTACTAATCAGCTTCTGGTTGTCTAAGACCAGATCATAACTACAGCCAAGGGTTTGTTAATCATCACTGCTCACCCATAAATTATTATTTAATTTTAATCCAAGAGAATTAAAAACTGTACCAGGAGACAGGTAGCGCAGTGCAAAACGCACGGTGCTGTTTAATACTGGTGTGATTTTTAATCTATGCTTCGGAAACTTGAACATCCCCAACCAATCGAAATTTACAGGGCGTTCACCATAAGAAGCAACGAATTTATTTACAGACGAAAATGTCACGACCCGAATCGGCCCAAAACCATTAACGACACTACAATGCGTAGGCTGTTTTTGATCAATTGGGTTAGGATCGAATTTGAATCTACGCTTCCGTTGACACGTCCCTCTGGATTTGAAAACCAGCCGATGAACGTAACGCCTATCGAAAGCGACTCGAAAGAGAGAAAAGAAAAAACCCCTAAATTTGTTCTAGTTCTACTGAAAGTAATCTAAGCCGAAATGTTTACATTGAGGAGGAGCGGCGTTAGGGTTGGGGATTGGTAGGGCGGGATTTATAGAAGCGCTTGGCGGATTGGACGCATAAACGTACCCCTCTATGTTAATAATATAACGAGAATGCCATCCAGGGAGCTCTTGTGTGTCTGGGCTTCTTCCGTAGTTGTGTAATGTTGCAATGGGCCCAACTAAATTTCGGGGATGATTATATTGGGCTTAGTTTTGGAGAGATGAACCCAAATTTTAAATTTATATTAGTAGCAGAAGGAACAGAGTTGCCTACAAGTTTTGAGAACTTTCAAACATACCCAAAATTTGATCACTGCATCCGTCATTTAAAATTATCGATACAAATAAACCTTTGGAATATATCTGGGTTAGGCCAATTGATCAAGGCAATGCGCCCGATCTTTTGCACTCGAGTTCGATTTTCCTCCACACAGATTAGACATCGTTAAATATCGCTCAGTCAAAAGAAAAAACAAACAAACAAAAAAATCCCCTTGGATGGAATTGATTGAAAGATTAAGAGTAAATTAGAGAAGTTAAATTGGTCAGTTTTAAATTTGTCTTATTGGATATGCATAGATGATTCATAGCCCATAACCTTTTATGGGTATGGATTCATTTTGGTAAGGCCAGCCAGAGGTCTTTTTTAAGGTAAAGTTAAGCCCGGCAGCGCAAGTAACATGAAATATGTAAAAAATAAAAAATAAAACATGCCCCCATGCAGGATCGAACTACAGACCTTCAGTTTACAAGACTGACGCTCTACCACTGAGCTATAGGGGCTTGTTGATCCTGTATGCGAACTTTGACATATTTTAATTTTAATTTGTTTCTTAAAACCTAATTAACTAGCTGGTGGGTGACTTGAAGCTGAAGCTAGGTCATTTAGCATATTGCCCGTTTTATTCAAACACTGTAACACTGTAACACTGAAATTAATTAGGAACTTCTCACTGAGACTCACTCTCTCTCTCTCTCTCTCTCTCTTTGCATGAATCATTATTATTAATGACAGTAGTCCTCTATCTAGTCTGTTGATAGGGAGAATGGTTCTCCTATTAGATTAATATGATGTGGTATAATATGAACCATTAGGTTATTGGAGTGGACCAAATTTTATGAAATGCACGATAACTAAATACAAAGACTCAAAATTTCATGATTGATAATAGTCTATATATAATCCAATTCAAAATGCATTGCGTTGTTAATTACAATGATTTTGAATAAGGTCACATTAGTCGTCGATAATGATTTAAAACGGAGGATTGTCCTCTAGTAATTATTTCTTAATTTAGTTTCAATCTAAATTAATTACTTCAAATTGGTGCTGTTTAAATCGCCCTTCTTTTCAGAGACAATGAGGAGACAGCTCGCATTTACTAATTGTCATTATTCGATAAGACAAAGGAGAAAATGATATACTTGGGAATTTGTCCAGTACCATTGTATTTAAGAAACCGAGATTGATGAACCGCTCAACCACCCACTACCTAAGCATCAAAGGCTGAAACAAAATTATTTTTCTTCATTTATTATTTTATTTATACAAACACTAGTCTAACAAATTACTTTAATATATTCAAAAAAGAGACTCGAACTTGAGTGCAATGGGAGTGACTTGAGCACCTTGAACAACTTGCCTTCCCCGCATCTGCTTTCTGTATATATTCCCTAATTAATTAGTAATGACGTGCAAGTGTACTAAGTTCATTTTTAATTAAATGCGTGGAAACAAATTAAGGCACAATGCATGGAGCTAGCTAGATATGCCATGCGTGGATTGGGATAGAAATGAACGCCATATGCTTGTTAATCTGTTTTTCTTATGGACGTATATACCAATCCAGAAAACAAATAACTACAAACTGGCGGGGCGGTAATCTCGGGCATGATATCAAAGATTGAAAAGAGGACGGTTGTTGTATAATGAATCGCGTTCTTGGAGGGTGTTGTGCAGCAAAACACATGGAATTCGCAAAGTTGTTTTTTGTCTTCATCGGCTGAGGACTTGCTCTCTCTTCTTCTTCCCATTAAATACTGAATATAATATGCTTCTTTCAGTCGATCGGATAAAGTGATGACATCTTCTTCATTAGATATATAATATTTCACATTTCTAAATCTATAACCAACGTACCAAAACAAGTCTGTATTAAACACACCAATGATTATGGTATCTACATATCTAACAAATCACATCTTCACCAAAAATAAAATATAAAATCTAGCAAATCACATCCAGAAAAAAAATCAGATAATGATCGTCGGCTGCGGCGGGGCTACTGCCGCAGTAGATTCTATGGTACTTGCTGTACGTAATTATTTTCTTACATTTTCAACTCACACACTGGATTAATATTCTCACTGTTCCCATTCGAAATCGACACATGCCACACCTTCACCTCTCCGTCTAAGCTTCCGCTGTAAACTGAAACGACACCGTTTGAACCACCGTCCGCAACCGCCACCAACGACTTCACCGGCCTCACGTGCCCCTCCAAAACCGCCAAACAGCTAAAACTCCCGTCTCCCCCACGCTGCCACATCCTGACCGTCCGATCAGCGGACCCACTCAACAACATGTCCCCGACGTTGATTAAACACAGTATAGCTTTTCCGTGCCCTCTCAACGCCCCCGTCACCGCCATGTGGTTCGCACTGTCCTCTCTCTCCCACACCAAGATTGAACGGTCACAAGCCCCAGAAAACAGCACCGATCCGTCGTCATTTAGGGCCAGAGCATTCACCGCTGACTTGTGCTTCTCCAAAGTCGCCACCAGCACGTGGCGCTTTTCTCCAAATGGTTTGGCCCACACCCGGATCCGCCGATCCGCCGACCCGGTGTAAACCGTCCCGTCGTTCGAGACCGCCACTGCGTTCACGGCGTCCTCGTGCGCCTTAACGGACTCAACGCAGCGGAGATCGGTCTCCCGCCAAATCTTCAAGCTCTTGTCCCAGGAAACTGAGTAAATCAAGCCGTTATTAACGGCGATGCCTGTAACGGCATCAGCGTGTTCGATCCAGAGCCGTTTCTTGTGGCGGCGGATGGTGACGTAGTTCTTGGGGAGGACGAAACGGCGCAGGCGGTCGGTGACGGTTGGGAGGACGGTTAAAAGCTTGTGCCGTTTAGTCGCCGTCGTCAACTGCCAGGCTCTAATTTTAGAATCTTGGTGCGAAGTGAGCACCTTGCCGTCAGAAAAACTAACGGCCTTAACTGAACCGGCATCGCGGGAGCTGAATGACTCGAGATGCGTGCAGGCAGTTCGATCGTAGATGTTGATCTCGTGGCCCGATGCGGCGTACAGAAGGTCGCCGTGCACCGCGAGGCAGGTGATCGGGAGAGAGGGCTGTCGGGGTGTGAGAGTGGTGAAGCAGAGGTGGGAGACGGAGAGGTCGAGGGCGTCGAGAGGGGAGAGCTTCTGGAGGGAGGGGAGAGATGGCAGCGTCTGGAGGGAGAGATTGCTTTGGAGGCTGCTACTGGAGGTGTCGCTAGTACTGGTACTGGGAAAATCGGAGGAGCTGCTGGTATCAGAACCTCCGAGTTTCGGCCGAGACGACGGCGATGGCTCGGTTTTAGAGAAGGGAATGATTGAGTCGTGAGTTGTGGAGCAGATGGCTAGCCATGATTGGACCCTCATGATGATCCGTTGCCGGCTTTGGAGATAGAGAGACTGTGAGACTGACTCGGCCGATGGAAAAGCTGAGTGGAGCCTTGTGTGTGGTTTTTATATAGAAATAAAATTTTAGACTTTGGAGGGTGGTGGTGCCACGTGGAGGTGGAGAATGGGAAAATAGAAAATTGGTACGAAGCTCAAAGGTTCACAAAGGAGGAGTTTGCCGGTAGGGCTAGTCTGGTAGTTCTAGAGGGGATGAGGAAGTGGGGTCCATATTGCTTAGCTTTACAGACCGAATTATACGAAATACGACTGGGGACAACAAGGAAGAGGCTGGCTTTGCCGATTGTCATCTTTGGGGGCTTTGAAAGGAGAAAGAATATGCTAAAGCCGTAAAGCGAGATATTGCTGGTCAAAACTGGGCCTTCGGTTATCCAGTGTGTGCGTGAGCTGTCACCATGATCACGCTAATGACGTAAAATTAGAGGAAAATACTTGAGGAGCCATTCTTCTTGCAGATAAATTACAGTCATGTTCTCGCGTTATTTCTCCTCTAATTTATCTGTAACAAAAAATAACTCCTTACAACAAGTAAAGAGTGGAGCAATATCCAGAATAGAAATAAGTAAATTGATATGCAATTTAAATGATTTATTACGACATTAATATGAACAACCTTATAGATGCTTCAAGAGCCTTAATGTAGAGGACATTTACATCTACTTCAACTGAGACCGAATAAAGTTTATAATAATATGCAGTAGGTTTCATCAATGTTTGAAACTTTGGGTTGAACGAAAGTCACTATACAAGAAAATACAAAGTCACTATATACGGTCGGAGTAATAAGTATGGATAATTCAAATTATAAATTAGTTTCTTTCTTAATCATGTTTTATCATCTGCTGACTCATTGCTTAGAATATAGTCAATAATTATTAATACCCCACTTGCAAATGTGATATCGTGTTTGCAAGGGTTGACCCATTACAGTACAAAATATGAGTCAATTTTAGCAAGAATTGGAGCGCCAAGATCCCTTCTCTATATGCTCAAAACCAAGTGGATGCATCTTCTTGTTTTGCTGAAAGTTTAGTAAATATAAGTACCCCAAAATTTAAAATGATAAAAAAATGTTCGTGAATATTCTCCTGCCATATTGTTTCACAATCCATCATATAGTTTTCTTTTTTTTTAAAGTACAAGTCATAGTCAAAATTAGAACGGAAGGAAATTTCTCACATAAATACACAAACGATGTCATAGAGGTTTGAAATCTAAGACCTCTTGTTTGCAACTCAAGGCTTTTTTCCACTGGCTAGACTTCGTTGACATCATATGTGAGAGAGATAAACCGCAGGAGGAGTAGGAGCTGAAGCTATTTATGAGTTTCTTGGCAATGTTTGAGCAAACCAACTTTCTTATCTTATGTTTGGTAACAGATTATAAATAGTCAAAATATTTTTTGTTTGACCATGGGCAGTGTATACGGATCGATTTATAGCAAAGTAGATTCCTTTTATTGTCTTCAACTATTGCTTTGACCGCAAAATTACAAATAAAGCTCACGCCAAACTAATAAGATCAACGAATATCTGCTTAATTAGTTCCTTTTTAGCATCTAATTAACTGATTAAACTTGAATTGTCCCCTTGGAGTGGAACAATTAGTGGCAGCAGGTTAATCAAATCATTCTAATTAATAGTTTTTCTTTATATATTTATTACATTTTAAGAAAGAGCTGTGGAGTTAAAAAGTGGCATTAGAGCTTTATGTCAAATCATATGACGGCCATTCCCGAGAAAGACTTTCCATCTCACATCCTCACAAGACAGGACAAGACAGGATTGATAGCCGCCGTCTCCACTCCAATTCCTCCTAGTACTAGTGGGGTTTGGTCGGTTGGATTATTGTGGGATGAATTGTAAACGAAGATATTAAGTTATTAACTGATCAAATTCTTCCCCCATATTTGTGATATTTGATTTAACTATTGCACACTGCCGGTCCTGAATTTTTCACTTCCAGGCTCCTATATATTTAAATTTAATTCACTTTCATTTTTCAATCAAGGTCTAATCTATCTAAATTAACTAAAAATTTAACATTCAAGACAAATAAATTATATCATTTCAAATTTCAATATATAAAAATTCATAATAAAACACTACATTGTATAAACAAGATAAATACTTGCAACAATTCAATAAGTTCTTTTTCATCCAGCAATAAGCAACCAGCAAAACAAAAATTTCTCTGCATGCTCAATAGCCGAAGCAAAACAACATTAATCTACTTGAAATTCCTTTGCTTCCTCAACAACCAATAAAAAAAAAATGTCTTTGCATCCTCAATAGCCAAAGCAAACAGCAGCAGCCTATTTGAAATCTCTTTGCATGCTCAGCAACTAGCAAAACAAAAATGTCTTTGAATCCTCTAGCCAAAGCAAACAATAGCAGCCCACTTAAAATCCCTTTGCATCCTCAACAACCAGCAAAACATCAACATCACCACATGCAAGATAAGGTGAAAAACAACAAAATCACAACTAAAAAAAGTAATATTTAAATGATTTTCTTCTTGCATTTTAAGAAGCAAAATCCTCAATGATGCTTTCAAATTCAAGCTTTTTTAACTTCTCCTTTTCAATGGATAAAATTGCTATCCTATTTAGCCTTTCTTGTGACATGGTAGACGTGAAGTAAGATTTCTATAATTTTAATTTTGAAAACTTCTTTCTACATATGCTACAGTCACAGGTATAATCAATAGTATTATATAGGCAACCAAAATATTTGGAAAATAGTCCATATCTTTTACAAACTCTACAATTTCAAGTGTTCACTACTACAAAAATCAAAATAGACGACGGGAAACCACCGTCGTGTAAAAGGTTTTCCACCCGTCGTGAAATCGACTGCCGTCTATTTGGGTTTCAAACTACGACGGCTTTTCACCGTCGTTGTTTATCTGTAAAGACGACGGTTTTTAAAGAAAATCGTCGTTGTTTAGAGGTAAAGATTGTTAATTATAGGAGGAAAGACGATTGTTTTTAATAAAACCGTCGTTTATTGTATGTAAAGATGATGGTTTTTCATAAAAACCGTCATGGATTGTTTATAAAGACGACGGTTTTTTTATAAAAAAAACCGTCATCTTTACATACAATAAACGACCCTTTAAAAAAAAAAGGTCATCTTTACCTATAATAGACGACACTTTTTTATAAAAACCGTCGTTAATTATCTATAAAGACCATGATTTATTATAAAAACCGTCGTCTAATAAGTTTCCAAACTGCTACATTTTAGTTCTTTTTGATTTCCTATGATGCTATCCAACGATTTTAACTAGAAAACCAACCATAATGCTTTATTAATGAATATATACACAAATAGTTTCTTTCATAAAACTTGAAGATTCAATAGTTATTACATAGTTAACCAATCTTTATTCTAGAACAAACATAATTCCTAACAAGACCTAAGTACTCATAATCCAAGCATTCCTCATCCAAACATACAAATGATGCACAACTGAAGTCTCCTCCATCATCCCTGTAAATAAATCAAAATGACAAAGAGAGAAAAAAAGCTAAGATTATAAACATAAAACATTAGATGGAAGAGAAATTTTACCATTGGTCCATATTTCCATAGAAAACTTGTAAAATGAGCATAAAAAAGACCATCGAGAACTTGCAAAAGGAAAAATATATAAATAAAATGATGGTGAAAAGAGAAGGTAACAAATTTTCAACAACAAAAAAACATATGACTCACATAGAAAATCTGCAAAAGAAAAAGTTATAAATCTGCAAGCTTCCTCATTATCTCCTGATAACCAAATCAGAAAATCTAAAAAGAAACCAGAAATATAAAAATATATATAAACAAACCAGACAAATCAAGAGAGACAAAATCTGAAATTAGGGAGATAAAGAACATACCAGAAACGCAAAGAGATTAATCCAGAATTCACTAGCAAGATATAGAAGGGTATTTTAGAGAGTTTCATGAGGGTGTTTTAGAGAGTGCATGAGGGTTTTAAGGAGGGAGAGATAAGGTTTTCAGAGACGGGGGAAAATCTGAAAATTTGTCGAGCGCGAATTCACTTAAGTAGCCTTTTTTTAGCGTGTTTTAAAAGACGACGCTTGTTAATGAGAGATAAGGTTTTCAAAGACGGGTGAAAATTTGAAAATTTTTCGAGCGCGAATTCACTTAAGCGGCCATTTTTTAGCGTGTTTTAAAAGACGACGCTTTTTAAAAAAAGATCGTCATCTTTACATAAAATAGACAACCCTTTAAAAAAAAACCGTCGTCTTTACTTCATAAAACAATGGAAGCAGAAGGGATGTAGCGGGAATTTGCAGTTTTGTCGTCTAAGCTCTGATTGAGGTTCATGATACCTTTCTGAAAAGGGAATGAAGCCAGGAATCAGACTCAGTGTTTTACACTGACATATGGTGGTTTTTGGCCATTTGAGGTCGTTTAGCCTTCCAAAAACGCATTTAAAGAGTTGAAAGTAAAGACGACGGTTTTTTTAAAAAAAGAGTCGTCTATTATAGGTAAAGACGACCCTTTTTTAAAAAACAGTCGTCTTTACCTATAATAGACGACTCTTTTTAAAAAAAAATTGTCGTCTTTACTTTCAACTCTTTAAATGCGTTTTTGGAAGGCTAAGTGCATGTTTGACATTGCTTATTTGGAGCAAAAATCACTTTCTTATAAAGTTTTCTTCCACCTAGTTGTTTGGTAAATGAAAAAATAATCTGATTATATGAATAATTGCTGTTAGCCACAGCGATTTGAGGAAGCTGGTCAGGAGGTGATTTTATTTCCGCTTATGAGGAAAGCGGATGGGGAACCGGTGCTCTTTAATGAATTTTTTTAAAATGCCCAAATTATCCTCATTGGCTTTTGTAAATTACATCCACTGTCCTCTTCATTTGATCCTGTATTCTTGAATTGTTCCTTTCTCTCCTCTCGCGTTACATGGTGAGTTCAGTTCTTCTTCTTCTCTTCACACCTTTCTTCTTTAATTTGTCTCCAAGATTCCTGCAACCACAGATCTAAAGTTTGTTTATTATCTTTTTTCATTCTGGATTTGGGGCAGTTTCAAGGTCCTTTCTGATGGTCCAATCCTGTTAGTCGTGCCGCTAGTTCTCAACAAAGAACAAATCTTAGTGGTCCTTCAAATCAACGGATTGGATCCAGTATCAATTTCATCATTTTGGGTCTTCAGATGTTGGGTTTTCAGTGCAACAAAGTGATAATGTTTTAAACTATTTCTCATTTACATGCTATATTGTTTTCTCGTGTTTGATGGGTTGCAATGAATTTGTAGGTTCTGGGTTGTATCCCCTGTGTTCTCTCTTTCTGGGTTTCTCTTGTTCTAGTCCTCATTTGCAACTTTATCCAAATTGTTTTTTATAAATTCTCTGATCACAACCTTATTATTTTTAATATTCATTCTAAACTCGGTTCCTTCAATCTTGTTTTTTGTTTTCAAAATCATTGGCCCTATAACCTAGAGTTTTCTCAATTACTTGTTACTGCTGGGTTTCAATGAAATGCTATATTAATTGACAACAAACAAAACAAAACAAAACAATGTAGGATGAGCCCACATAACGCATCTGGAAGAAAGAGGAGGAGAATGGTCTTAATTTCTAAATTTACTTAAACAATAAGGAAAGGAATGCATGTATGCAAGTATGACTGTATGAGTAGCAACATATATACTCTATGGGAATTGGCAATTGGTTGTCGACCATGGAGTTAAATGGTGTGAAAAAAATTACTAATGAAGAGGCAAGAGGGCACTGAATATCGGAATCGTGATAGGAAGATTTTAGGTTGTTATTATATTCATTTGTGAATTACAATCGTTGAGTTTTCCAATTGGTCATAATTTTCAGGTTTTAGGTATTGCAATAAAAATAATAACCGCATGTCCTTTCTAGTCATTATACATAGTCTAAACACTTTTACACAAAAATTTACCAAACACTCATAAACTGATTATTATTTCAACATCACTTTTAACAAAAAGTTTACCAAACACCAAACTGATTTATTTCACAGCTGATTTCTCATACAGCAAATTTGACAGTGATTATCTTCACAGCACAGCAATGCTAAACTGACCCTAAATAACCTCAAATGGCCAAAAACCACCATATACCAGTGCAAAGCACTGTGTCTGATTCCTAGCTTCATTCCCTTTTCAGAAAGGTATCATGGACCTCAATCAGAGCTCGGACGACAAAACTGCAAATTCCCGCTACGTCCCTTCTGCTTCCACTGTTTTTATGCATCAAAACTGGATAACAGCCCTATACTTGTTACATGCCTCTTGAAAACATTATTTGGTAGCCCTTTATTGAATGTAACAGCCCCATACTAGTTACATACATCTTTACATATAATAGACGACCCTTTTTCCAGAACAAACCGTCATCTTTACTTCATAATAGACGACCCTTTTTTAAACAAACCATCATCTTTACATATAATAGACGACCCTTTTTTTTATAAAAAGGATCGTCTTTACTTCATAATAGACGACCCTTTTTAAAAAAAAACCATCATCTTTACATATAATAGATTACAGTTCTTTCAAAACAACCATGTCTTTACCAAAAAAAGGACACTTAGTTTTTAAAAGACGATACTTGTCATACCTGCTGTGGTTGTTTTTTGGTCAGATTTTAACTCTGAAAAAAACCTTTTTAATAAGACGACGTTTTTTTATTTGTGTGCGTCGTTATAAAAAAAAATATTCAACAGTACCTTCGTTTTTTAGTTGTTTAAGTCACTTATCCACGATGGTTTTTTGTTACCGTCGTCTTTTTAAATACAACGACGGTTTTTTCTTCTACATCGTCTTTTTCACTTTTTGTAGTAGTGGTTGTGTTTACTTCTGCTAGTAAAAGCAATTGCTGCACCTGTAACTTTGAAAACAAATCACTTGCAACAACATCAAAAGACTCACCATTTCTTAAAGTAGTTTCAAGCTTCACACAACAATTTTTCAATTCCTCATCACCCAATGAAGTTAACAAGAACCCAAAAATACCTTCATATGTTTGCATTTGTTCAAATCTACTCCCAAGACACCCTAGTATTTCTTGTTTCCACTCTGGTGCATTCATTTGCAATAAATGCCAAGGGGAAGAGGAAGGATAAGAACCGTCCGATAACTTTTTGATGTCAGAATCATCATACTGCTGCATTTCGAATGAGTTTGGAATACTGGGGGAAAATACCGGAATGACTGCATACTCTGGGTTGTTTTGCAGGCTTGATCTCACACTTTTTGGTGTCTGTTGATGCTTCATTTTGTGGTCTATAATGTCTTGTACATTATAGGGTGTAGGAAAAGTGAGTGCTAAATTGCTATAAAATAAATAAATAAACACTACAAACAAAACAGATTTTTACAACAACATAATGGAATTACAAGAACCTTAATTGAGTCGAGGCAAGTGTTGGACACTCTGACCTTAAGACGAATTACGCCCCACACTGGTGCTTATGGTTCAGTAGCGTTCACCTCCCAGGATACAACGACTCTCCTCCTTATGAAAGAAGCACTACAATTCACAAGGAACTTTGAACCAAAATTATGCAGGAACCTCTCTTTATGAAACTCTAATGCTCTATATGTTTGAAAGTATGTATGTAGAGAATTGATTGAATGATTAAAACTGCAGGAGGATTGGTCTATTTATAGATGATGAAATACCCTTTCCAAAAAGGTATCCCAATCTGAAAAGGCAAACAATACATCCCTTGGTCTTGAAGAGTTATCACCCCAAACAATGTATTCCTTAGTTCGAAGAGTTGTCACCCCCCAATTGAATATGTCTTTAACCCAAGGGTCATGTCCTTAACCCAATGGATTTTATTAATTTCCATTCAAATAGAAAATTAATATTAAATATAATATTAAATTTCTCACAATCCCCCACATGAATGGAAATTAGTTTCAACAATATGCAAATGATAATGCAGACTTAGAGAGAGTTCCTATTAGAAGAATATGGCATTTGGATAGGTAGCTTTTGGCTTTGAACCTTCCATAGTGAAGTACTATCGGATTTACTTGGCTAATCAGTGAACGTGATGTCTTGAACTGTTCAGCTGTTCGTGTAAACCCAGACAATAATACTCACACAATACCCTTCTAGACATATTTGGTTCGATCGGTTGTGCTCGTTTTGGCCCTGAGCAACTCCTGGCATTCATAAGCGCTTTAGAGAATTGAGCCCTAAAAATTCTCATGGAAACGGCCCCATTTCACACTTATATAGGTGATTTCCTATTGGTAATATCCTCTCATATCTTACTCGGATAATCAAGGTATAGGAATCATTAAAAGCATAGCTTAACCTAAACATACTTCATACAACACTGTGTCATCATAGGATATGGGTAAGAGAATATATCTCCGCAGTGTTATTTTGGAGTTATCATAATTTAGTTGTCCCTTTTGAACCTAGATCTTGGGATCTCCAGTCAACTAGGTTGGGTTTCCACTATGACGACTCATTTGACATGGGCTTTAACCCCATTCCCCTCGATGATCTATAAACTTGCTCTCCGTTCAAACCTTTAGTAAACGGATCCGCCAAATTATCTCTTGACTTTATGTAGTCAATGGTAATTATACCACTGGAGAGCAGTTGCTTAACGGTGTTGTGTCTTCGACGTATATGTCGAGACTTGCCGTTGTACATATTGTTTTGTGCCCTTGCAATTGTAGATTGACTATCACAATGTATACATATAGCAGGCACTGGTTTTGGCCAACATGGAATATCTTCTAAGAAATTACGTAGCCATTCAGCTTCCTCACCAGCTTTATCTAATGCTATGAACTCAGATTCCATAGTAGATCTAGCTATAACAGTTTGCTTAGTAGATCTCCATGATATAGCCGCACCTCCAATTGTAAAGACATATCCACTTGTAGAATTGGAGTCTTTAGTATCAGATATCCAATTAGCATCACTATATCCTTCAAGTACAGCTGGATATCTTGTATAATGCAATCCAACATTTTTGGTGTATCTTAAGTATCTTAGAATTCTGACTATAGCTTTCCAATGATCCTTTCCAGGATTACTAGTGTATCTACTTAATCTATTAACAGAGTAAGCTATATCAGGCCTTGTGCAATTCGTAAGATACATGAGACTTCCAATGATACGAGCATATTCTAGTTGTGATACGCCATGACCTATATTCTTCACAAGATTAAGATTTGGATCATAAGGTGTTCTTACTGGACTAGTATCATACTTGCTAAACTTTGCAAGTATTTTCTCAATATAATGTGATTGGGATAAAACTAGTCCATTAGATGTTCTAGAAATTTTAATTCCTAGAATCACATCTGCTACTCCCAAATCTTTCATGTCAAAATTTTTGGTCAACATTTTCTTGGTAGATTTAATCATCCCAATATTGCTACCAATAATTAACATATCATCAACATAAAGACAAATAATGATAAAACCATCTTGAGTGCTTTTCATATAAACACATTTATCACACTCATTGATCTTGAAACCATTTGACATTAGTGCATTGTCAAATTTCAGATGCCACTGTTTTGGTGCTTGCTTTAAACCGTACAGAGACTTAACAAGCTTACATACTTTATTTTCTTGTCCAGGAACAATAAACCCTTCAGGTTGTTCCATATAAATTTCCTCATCTAAATCACCATTTAGAAAAGCCGTTTTCACATCCATTTGATGTATCTCAAGATTATGCAATGCTGCAATTGCAATTAACATTCTTATTGATGTTATCCTCGTAACTGGTGAATATGTGTCAAAGTAATCCAATCCTTCTTTTTGTTTATAACCTTTGACAACAAGCCTTGCCTTATATTTTTCAATTGATCCATCAGCTTTCATCTTCTTCTTAAAAATCCATTTATAACCCAATGGTTTATTTCCAGGAGGAAGATCCACAAGTTCCCAAGTGTGATTCTGCATAATGGATTCAACTTCGGCATTAATAGCCTCTTTCCATAAAGGAGCTTCAGGAGAAGTCATGGCTTCTTTGTAAGTTTGAGGCTCATTTTCTAACAAATAAGTTAGAAACTCAGGACCAAAGGATTTGGTTATCTTAGCTCTCTTACTACGCCTGGGTTCATGTTCAGGTTCTGGTTCAGCAGTCTCTTGGTCTATATTTTCTTGATGACCTTCTTGGCTATCGCTATTAACAGTATCATAGGTTCTTTTACGTGTATTTCTTTCTTGTGCATCTTTATAAGGAAATACATTTTCAAAGAAAGATGCATTCCTTGATTCAATAATCGTATTCACATGTACATCTAATATATCAGATTTGTGTACAAGGAAACGATATGCACTACTGTTAATGGCATAACCGATAAAGATACAGTCAATAGTTTTTGGTCCAATCTTAACCTTTTTAGGGGTTGGAACAGCAACTTTAGCTAGACACCCCCACACTTTCAAGTATTTATAGGAAGGCTTGTGACCTTTCCATAACTCATAAGGTGTTTTGTCTAACTTTTTATGAGGCAATTTGTTGAGAATGTAGTTAGCAGAAAGTAAAGCTTCCCCCCACAAATTCTGGGGTGCTCCAGAACTTACTAGCAAAGCATTCATCATTTCTTTTAAAGTACGATTTTTACGTTCAGCAATACCATTTTGCTGAGGTGAGTATGGAGCAGTAGTTTGGTGAATAATTCCGTGTTGGGAACAAAACTTACTAAAAGGTGATTCATATTCACCACCTCTATCACTTCTTAATATCTTTATTTTCTTGCTAAGTTGATTCTCAACTTCATTTTTATAATGTTTGAACATTTCTATGGCCTCATCTTTGCTTCTTAGCAAATATATTTGACAATATCTTGTACAATCATCAATAAAAGTAATAAAATACTTTTTACCACCTCTAGTTTGTACAAATTTCAAGTCACAAATATCACTGTGAATTAATTCTAGAGGTTCTGTACTTCTTTCTATAGACTGGAATGATGATCTAGTTAGTTTTGCTTCAACACAGGTTTCACATTTATTATGGAAATCAATATGAAACTTAGGTATTAGTTCCATGTTAATTAATTGACGCAATTTGTCATAATTAACATGCCCTAATCTTCCATGCCACAAATCAGATGACTCAAGCATATAAGCAGAACTAACTTTATTATTATTAACTTTGTGTACAACAGTCATTACATTCATCTTGAAGAGTCCATCAGTAAGGTACCCTTTCCCCACATACATTCCATTCTTAGTAAGTACAAACTTATCAGACTCAAAGACTAGCTTGAACCCATTCTTGCTAAGCAGTGATCCAGAAACCAAGTTCTTCCGGATGTCAGGGACGTGAAGTACATTATTGAGAGTGACTTCCTTTCCAGATGTCATCTTTAGAATTATTTTCCCTTGGCCATGAATTTTGGAGGTGGAGGAGTTTCCCATGAATAAAGGCTCTCCTTGATCATTTGCTTCATATGTAGAAAACATCTTCCTTTCAGAACATATGTGGCGTGTAGCTCCAGTATCCACCCACCATTCCTTGGTGTTACCCACCAAGTTCACTTCAGACACGACTGCAGAAAGATTAATATCTGACAAATCAGTTGAAAGCTTATCTTCTTCAGTCATGTGTACTTCAGTCTTGCCCTTTTTCTTTTGGTTGCCTTGTCCATTTCTACTTCGGCAATCCGCAGCTCGATGCCCTTGCTTGTTGCAATTGAAGCATTTTCCCTTAAACTCCTTGGACTTCTTGGAGTTCCCTTGATTTGAGCCTTCTCCAGAGTGCTTCCTCTTCTTGTTATTTCTTGACTCTTTTTCCACTATGTTAGCCTTAGCTTCCATTATAGATCCAGATTTTTTGTCAGCACGGCGATTGTCCTCTTCGATCCGTAGCCTTACTATCAAATCCTCAAGTCCCATCTCCTTACGCTTATGCTTAAGGTAGTTTTTGAAATCCTTCCAAGAGGGTGGTAATTTTTCAATGACAGCAGCCACTTGGAAAGACTCACTCAATTTCATCTTTTCTGCATGTATCTCATGTAGAATGAGTTGGAGTTCTTGGACTTGACTTATGACAGTCTTGGAGTCTACCATCTTGTAGTCAAGAAACCGACCGACAATAAATTTCTTCATTCCTGCATCTTCGGTCCGATATTTCTTGTCTAGTGACTCCCATAAAGCTTTGGCAGTCTGAATTGGACTATACACATTGTATAGTGCATCACTTAAACCATTTAGGATGTAGTTCCTGCAAAGGAAATCCGACTGGTTCCATGCATCAGAAGCAGCCACTGTTTCTATTGTATCACCAGGTGCAGGAGGATCTGCTTTCAGGATATGAGCCAAATTCAATGTGGTGATGTAGAACAACATCTTTTGTTGCCATCTCTTAAAATCTATCCCATTAAATTTTTCAGGCTTCTCTGCATAATTATGGGATGAAGGCAACACAACAGCAGGTGCACTTGTCTTCACAGAAGGACCCACTTTCTGTATCTCATTCGACATTTTCCTTAATTGAGTGAACAATCTTAATGTCAATAAACAAATATTTGGCAGTCTTTAATAGATAAATAATGAATCGCAATAGTGTGTTACAACAAAACACAACCAAAAATTAATAACACAATACCAATAAAAAGTATAGCAAACGCAATATGCAATTATTCAAGATAACAGTAATACGGAATGCTATAATTCACAGGTACAGTGAAATTAATGTATATGGATAAATATAATCAGAATTTTATAAACAGAATAATAAAAATGATGCCAAATAGAAAACAGATTCCAAATATTAAAAAAAAACCGATGCTGTATAAGTAGACTTTGTCTAACAATAGAAACAGAAGGCAATCAGTGTTTGTGGCAAACTTTATTGAAAGGTCCCGATTATTATAACTTAGATTTGTTTAACTTTGAATTGTATAAAACAAAAGAAACTAACAGGAAACCAATTCAATAGAATAGACAACTAATTAAAAAATGTTTTGCTGTTTGTACAAAATCAAACCTTTTGCAACGTTAACATTTAAATGCACAAACACAGATGAATGCATATGGCAATTAAACACAGATTAATGTATATAGCAATTAACACATATAATTCGTCTTAAGATTGTAGGAAAAGTGAGTGCTAAATTGCTATAAAATAAATAAATAAACACTACAAACAAAACAGATTTTTACAACAACAGAATGGAATTACAAGAACCTTAATTGAGTCGAGGCAAGTGTTGGACACTCTGACCTTAAGACGAATTACGCCCCACACTGGTGCTTATGGTTCAGTAGTGTTCACCTCCCAGGATACAACGACTCTCCTCCTTATGAAAGAAGCATTACAATTCACAAGGAACTTTGAACCAAAATTATGCAGGAACCTCTCTTTATGAAACTCTAATGCTCTATATGTTTGAAAGTATGTATGTAGAGAATTGATTGAATGATTAAAACTGCAGGAGGATTGGTCTATTTATAGATGATGAAATACCCTTTCCAAAAAGGTATCCCAATCTGAAAAGGCAAACAATACATCCCTTGGTCTTGAAGAGTTATCACCCCAAACAATGTATTCCTTAGTTCGAAGAGTTGTCACCCCCCAATTGAATATGTCTTTAACCCAAGGGTCATGTCCTTAACCCAATGGATTTTATTAATTTCCATTCAAATAGAAAATTAATATTAAATATAATATTAAATTTCTCACATAGGGAATGTCAGGGCAACCATTGTGCATGGTTTTTTGCTGTATGCTCCACCTTCTCCATTGTTCACAGGGACCAACTCATCGTCAGATCTTATTTCAATCACTCTCCCTGATTGAAGAACCACTATCAAATCAGCCTCGCAAATAGTGGTGAGGCGCTGAGCTATGACAATAGTTGTTCTTCCTTGTGAAGCTTGGTTTAAGGCTTCTTGTACCATTTTTTCAGATTGAGCATCCAAAGCACTTGTGGCTTCATCAAGCAAAATAATTTCCGGGTCTCTGATTATTGCTCTTGCTATGGAAATCCTTTGCTTTTGTCCTCCAGACAATTGGACTCCAAATTGCCCAACCTGAAGTGAAGGTAAAATATATCTAGTCATATATAGCTATAAATAGTACTACTTTTGATGGAAACTTGGAATGAGTAGAATATTGTGGCATACTTAAGTGTCATATCCTTGAGGTAGTTTAACAATTGAGTCATGTGCTTTTGCAGCCTTAGATGCACTTATTAGGTGTTCCATTGGAGCTCCTTCCTTTCCGAATAAGATATTCTCTTTTATGGATGTTGCAAAGAGAATTGGCTCTTGATTGACCAGTCCCTCTGGGATCTCAACCATTGCAGTTGAAAGTTCTTTAACATGTGTCCATCAAGGGAATGTCTCCATTCACTGGATCATAAAATCTTTCAAGCAAAGAAATGATTGTTGACTTGCCAGAACCACTGCCTCCAACTAGACCCACCATCTTACCAGCTTGGACTTTAAGATTGAGGCTACCATCTGAGGGTACAAAATCAACATCTCTAAATTCGATATCTCCTTTCACATATGGTAAAACTTTTCCCTTTTCATCCTTTGAGTCAATAACAGGAATGCGGTCAATCATCTCAAATATCCAGGTAGCAGCGCCTCAGTGATGAAAGAGAGATTTGGAAGCACATTCATTATGGACCTGAAATACATGATTGAAGATGTGCGTTGATTCTTACAAGAGTTTTTGAACTTAGAAAATTTATTGTTTTTTTTTCTTTTTGTTGAGTTTAGGAAGCTTACAATCCTCCCATAATTACACAGATTCCAGAAATAAAAACATGGCCACCTTTTTCTCCTTCCCCAGTAACAAGTTTGCAACCAACCCAAGCCTGAAAAGCCCAAGCAGCATGAATCATTCCCATGCTCCCTATCAGTAATCCCTTTGAGAAACCTTGCTTTATGCCAAGTTGTGTACTTTTTTCAAGAGCAATGTTGAACCTATTTAGTGTTTGATGCTCCCCAACATATGAACAAACAGTGCTTGTTCTGCAATACCTCCAACGACCCCATAGGCACCATTTATCTTAGCTCCCAAGTCCTTGAGTACCTTCCGAAATACAAATCCTGGAATGATAAACATGAGCGAGAATGGAAGAGAAACCACTGCCAGTCGCCAAGAAAGTACAAATCCAAATGAAAAGCAGATGATAAATGATGAGAGGTGAGCCAGGCAATTCGGTATCTACAAAAACAGAGGAAATACAGGTTGATCAATTCAAGATTACAGAGTGAAGAAGAAGAAGAAGAGCAAGGCCCATAAACAATTGAAAACCTTCTCGGTTATTGTGTCATGGATTAAATGGGCATCAGAAGAGATAGTAGAAATGACTTTGAAGATCATGGAAGAATTAGCTTGTTTGTCAAAGAAGGCAACTTCTTGCCTGAGGACTGATTTGAAGTATTCCATTCTCATGCGAGATGCCTGTCTCTCAGCAGTTCCGGTCCAACAAATTCCTTCTGCAAATCCTGAATGTTGACAGGTCAATAACATTAATCACACAACATTCAAAATGATACAATCAAATGAGTGTTGTTGAAATACATGTTTTCAGGGGTAAAGACTTGGCCACAAAAACCAGTAAGGCTCAAAGTTAGCATAATACCAATGAAAGCAGATATTCCAACTCCAATTGCAACAAAGAGCAGCCTGAGTGAGTACTGTAAAGAAAATGTGTTGCACTTTCTTAGCCATATGAACTGGTAAGACTAACCAAAATTCAATACCTCAGGACAGTTTGAAAGCCATGACAGTTAGTTCCATGATTTTGCATACCTTGTCCACAACGTCATTGAAGAAAGTACCGCCTCCGTATTCATTGATCACACGGCTGAGGACCAGCATCATCAACGGTGTCATCAACCCATATCCAATGCTACCCAGAGTCCCCAAAACCAATAATAACTTGTCCACACCATCTGCATACCTGAAAATTCTACCTTTCTTCGCCATCTTACAAGCTGCTGCATGTAGGACAGTGTCACTTACAAAGAGCAAAACCTTAAGTCTCCATCTTATGAAATTTCATGCCACCATGCAATGAACATTAGGCTTACCTTCTTGTATTTTCTGACATTTTAACTTCTGATATGAAATATATTTATAGTTGGAGATTGTAATCCATGTCAGACTCTAGTTTTCTATTGTAGTCTACATATTTTTTTCTTGTTGATTAAGTTCCACTGCACCTTATATATATATTTTTGTCCTCAAATGAATTGGTGAGTCCGCATATAATGTCATATTTTTAAAAGTAATTGTCACACCCCAATTTTTTTTTGGAAGTGTGAGGTAAAAGAAAAACTAAAACTAAAAATTTAAATATCAAGAAACATGAAGATTGAACATAAACTTCTATTTAAGTCGAAGTAATTTACATTGTAATTTTACAAGCAAAATAACAAGAAAGTAACAAACTTTCAACAAAACATTCAAAACTATCCACAACCCGTTCTTGTTTCCTCGGCAAAAACTAAACTTCAGATTCAAAGCCTGCAATAGATTCAATAAGGGGTGAGCATTACATGCCCAGTAAGGGGTCCTGTGTCTTATGTGATTAGTGAGATTGATAATGTACAATTTATGCAATGCATGAATGAACTTCAATTCTACCCAACCCGTTAATTTATATAATAGGGACAAGCAAATCTGCATGTCCCATACCATGCATTTTACCATTGTGATTTCCGAATGCCCCATTATATAAACTAACACCCATCTCAGTTATCCCATAATTTCCCTTTTGCTAGTCATCTTGTCTACATCATTGATTTCCAAGCCCAAATCACCCAATCGACAATTATACCGCCGATTTCCTAATCTACTGTGCTCACGGGCTCTCCTGGACTTGGTCCCTACAATGGTTAGACTCAACTACACAAAAGATTCTTCCCATTATCCTCTTTTCCATAATTTCTTTATCAACCCAAGAATTCCAACTACCACTGACCATATATGAACATGTCAATATTAATCAAATTATGATGATAATTGACAACACGTAAACATCCAATATCAAGGATAACAATCAAATAATATTACCAAGCATAATATAGTAATAATAATCAAATAATATTACCAAGCATAATATAGTGTTCACAATATTTAATTAAATCAATTTATGCAAAGCCCTCCCCAAGAAAAACCTCTACCTCAAATCCAAATCTATTGTACAACTCCCAGTTGAGCTTTCCAAAATCTTACCACACTTAGTTTTCACTCTTTTTTTTACGAATTTTAGGAAACTAACACAACTTTGAAGAACCTATGATTCAAGAACTATTAGGTAAGCTATTTATAGTAAGCTAGAGTCAGCAAAAATATATAGATGAAGCTTAACATTGTTGTGCCACATAACTAGCCTAGGGATTTCTAGACTACATCCTAGGGTGACTACATGGGTGGCTTGAAATTAAACTGCCACCCCAATTAATCCTTAGGTGCTGGCTCTGTCGAGTGCTTAGTGAGCACTTTGCCAATTACGTTTATTTATATAAGAATATCTATCATTCTTACACCTTATGCCAAAACATACCACCTCATGCTTCAATTGTTTTTAGAAGACTCCATAATGCAACACGTCACTTTTAAGAGAAAGCTTAGTAAGCAACAACACCTTTCTAAAAGCTTTTGTGTGTATAGAATAATATTAAATGAATTGCTATAGTTAAATCCATACAATAAGATTTGATAGGCTATAGCTAGATTCACGTAGCTTGCCATACAACTAACTAATATATATATATATATATATATGTTTTGAAAACTAATAATTATAAATAATTAATTTTATGAAATATTAATATACATGTTTAAAAATATGGGGTTTCACAGTAATCATTCAGTTTCGGACTAAAATCTTTGCTTATAGTTTTTCTTTTGATCATTTAGGAAGGGCGGATTGGAACTGGGACCTCTTCTAACATTGAGAAGAGAAGTATCACTACACCAATAGGTAGTGGGTAAGTCTTTGCTTATAGTTAATACTCGTTTCAGAATAAATTGGCATTTTGTTGATTACATGAGACTGGTGTAGAAATGTCTTCACAAGTCCAGCTTCTGTGTTTCTTGTTTTTTGGATTTGCCTCTTTCCTCCTTGCAACATTGGGAAATATAGAAGAAAAACAAAGAATTCCTGTGACTCATGAATGGCGTCTTATATCTCCTAATTCTGGCTAGCTTCCTCCTGTTTGATGGCTTTTGTAGTTTGTCCCCTTCTTTTCTGGGGTTTTTGAAGTTGGTTTGCTTTAGTTTCTGGCTTTGGTTTTTTTTTTTTTTTTGTTGGCCAGGATGCTTTGGTCTAGCGGAAGTTTTGTCAAGTTGCCCAAATTTTATGGTTCAAATGATGCTTAATCCACTATCATAGCAAAATATCTTGTACCTTTACTGATTTCAGTATACATTTTCACAAAAGAAATTGTCACTTATTCCCATCTCTGCATCTAACTAAGAATTCGCGTTTATCAATTAATTATCATAGATACTTGTCATTTTACGTTTTAAAGTTAACATATGCCCCGTTTATGTGCCTTGTGTTTTTGGTTTATATTTAAGCAGCTATGCATTTTTACTTGATAAGTTATGTGCCTATAGATCCGAGGAAAAGCAAATGAGCATTGAAACAATTATTTTTGGTGAAATATTGAACCAGTGGTTTGACTGGAAAATTTGATTGCAGAAAACAATTTGTTAGTAGTCAAGACAAAATGTTGATTGCGAGAATTTGCAGAGAACAAAACATGACAACATCATCAACCTTATTGTGTTTCATCAATTCAGGAAAACTTTGTTTAATAATTATGGAAGTTTACCCCGGCCTTCATGTTGAACTTGAAAGCCATGGGATTCTACGAGTTCATGCAGCTCCATATATATGCCTTTTTCTTTTTTGTTTTATTTTTTTTGGGTAATTTCTACTGCTTTACCAAAAACTTCCACCACAGGCATTACATGGACCGTCCTCAACTTACACCTGCATGGACAAATGGTGTGGAGACTGATTGCTTTGCACTTTTATCAGAGAATGGTAGGCACCGCCACGTCCGATAGCAAGTAGCTCATGGTGTGATCCTTTTTCTGCTACTTTCCCATTCACTATCACAGCAATGGAGTCTGCTTTTTGTATAGTTGACAACCTGTGAGCTACAACAACACATGTTCTGCCAACCATCATCTTCTCCAGTGCTTCCTGGACTAAATTCTCTGACACACTATCAAGTGCACTGGTTGCTTCATCCAGCAGAAGGATTGTTGGGTTCTTTAGTATCGCTCGTGCAAGTGCTATCCTCTGCTTCTGCCCTCCTGATAGTTGAACTCCTCTTTCTCCACAGTAAGTCTCATATCCCTCTTCCATAGAGCTGCAACATTTTTATTTTAAAAAAAGCATTTTCATTAGGATCAACAATTTAGATGTTAATGTGGAGAAAAATGTAGCCGTACCTTATAAATTCATGAGCATTGGCAAGCTTTGCTGCCTTTCTTACTTCAGCTACTGTTGCATTTTCTTTACCATAGACTATGTTTTCATGGATGGTTCCTCCAAAAAGAGTAGGCTCCTGGCTTACTAAAGCTATTTGTGACCTCAACTTTCTCAAATTATAGAGCTTGATGTCACATCCATCTATGGATACTGATCCATTTAGTGGGTCGTAAAATCTTTCAATCAAGCCAATGACAGTGGATTTTCCAGAACCACTCTGTCCCACTAGTGCCATTGTTTTTCCAGCTTCTATCTTGAGATTCAGGCCCTTGAAGATCATCTGGTCAGGCCTGACTGGGTAAGCAAATACAACATTCTTTAGTTCTATGTGACCCTTGAAAGTCTTTTTTATCCCTTCAAGCTCTTCTGATGAAATTTCACTTTCTCTGTCTAGGATGGAGAATATTGATTTGATGGCTCTCCCCCCTCTTGCTAGATCAGAAGTCATGCTTCCTGCATCTGCAATGTTTTTACCAGTGCTCATTAAGATGAAGAAAACTTGAAACAGGTGTTTTGCCGATACTAAATTTTGATTCATTAGCCTCCCCCCATACCAATAAGTCAAGGCTATTGCAGCTGTTGTCAAGAATTGGGAGCTGAACAGACCAAAACCTGAAATCCATGACTGTTTGATGTTCTCCTTCCTAGGCCCTCTCATTGCATCTCCAAACAGATTTAATATCCTATTCTGAGAGGAAAATGCAGTGATAGTTCTGTGGTTGAAAGCAGCTTCACTAGCTAGTTGGCTGCCCTCAGCCTGTGCTTTCTGTGCTTTTATAGACATACTCTTCATTAGAACACTCCTTGAATAGAAGCTTCCTATGAGCAAAGGTTGTATCGCAATCATTACAATGGCTATCCTCCATGTCACTATCAGTCCAATCACAAAAGCTATGGAGGCACTGAAAAAGACCTGAACCAACAATGATATACGATCTGCAGTTAGGGATCTAACCATGTTTGCTTCAGTGGTTAGCCGTGCACAGATGGCAGCACTTGTGTTTTCATCCTGATCAAACCACCCTATCTCAAAGGTGAGAATTTTTTCGAGCATTTTTATTCGAACCCTTTTGGATAAACGCTCTCCCATAACTGCAAAATTGTAATGTTGGAGGAGATTAGCAATGAAGCTGAAAACTGCTAGGCTTAAGAAGATGTAGCAGTAGAATCTGGTTTCTGATTTGATGGTGGAATTGTTTGTTTGGAAGTAAACTGCTACAACTGTTCCTAAGCAATAGGCATGAATTGGCTGAATAGATCCAAAGCCAGCAGCCCCCAGACACCCTAGTATTGCTTGCTTCCACTCAGGTGCATTCATTTTAAATAAACACCAAGTAGAAGAGGAAGGATAAGAGCTGTCTTGTGACATTTCATCGTCAAATTCATCATACTGGCCCGCTTGAAAGGAGTTTGTAATGCTGATGGAGAATATTGGGGTGATTGGATATGCCGGGCTGTTTTGCCAGCTTGATCTTACATTCCTTGGTACCGGGCTGTTTTGCCAGCTTGATCTCGCACTCCTCAGTGCAGGGCTGTTTTGCAAGCTTGATCTCACACTATTTGGTGTATGTGGAGTTCGTGGATGTTTGATTATAATATCCTCTGGATGATAGGAAATGTCAGGACCATTCTGCATTGCTTGTTGCTGCAATTGCAGCATTTTACTGTATACTCCACCTTCTCCATCGTTCTTGTGGACCAAATCCTCATGAGATCCCATTTCCACCACTCTACCTGATTGAAGAACCACTATCAAATCAGCCTTGCGGATTGTGGTGAGGCGGTGAGCTATGACAATTGTTGTTCTTCCTTGTGAAGCTTGGTCCAAGGCTTCTTGCACAACTTTTTCAGATTGCGCATCCAAAGCACTTGTGGCTTCATCAAGCAAAAGAATTTTTGGGTCTCTGATTATTGCTCTTGCTATAGAAATCCTTTGCTTTTGTCCTCCAGACAATTGAACTCCAAATTGCCCAACCTGAAGTAAGAGGTAAAAAACTTTCAATTCAAATATAGCAATAACTACATTGAATAATACTAGTTTTGCTTGAAACTTGGAATGAGTATAATATTGTGGCATACTTGAGTGTCAAATCCTAGGGGGAGTTTGACAATGAAGTCATGTGCATTTGCAGCCTTAGCTGCACTTATTACATGTTCCATTGAAGCTCCTTCCTTTCCAAATAAAATATTCTCTTTTATGGATGTTGCAAAGAGAATTGGCTCTTGATTGACCAGTCCCATCTGGGATCTCAACCATTGCAGCTGAAATTTATTTAACTTGTATCCGTCAACGAGAATATCTCCTTTTACCGGATCATAAAATCTTTCAAGTAAAGAAATGATTGTTGACTTGCCAGAACCACTGCCTCCAACAAGACCCACCATCTTACCAGCTTGGACTTTAAGGTTGAGTCCTTGAAGAACTGGGGTATCAGGTCTTGATGGATAGCAGAAATCAACTTTTCTAAATTCGATATCGCCCTTCACATATGCTAAAACTTTTCCCCTTTCATCTTCAGAGTTAATGGCGGGAATGCGGTCAATCATTTCAAGTATTCTGGTAGCAGCATCAGTAGCCTGGGTGATAAAAGAGAGATTTGGAAGCGCATTCATAATGGCCCTGAAAATATAAGATTGAAGCCGTTAGTTGAGACAAATGAGGGGAAAAAAAGAGAGGAGATTCCTAGGGAAAGAGAGGCGTATCAGTTCTTACAAGAGTCTTATAACACACAAGAAACATCAAGGTAATTGAATGCAGTTCATATCAAATGACATACATATGTTCAAACACGTATGCATATACTGATATATTCTGATATGTTTATATACCTGAAGTGATAGACATGTGGTTGCATATAGAAAAGAAGTATAAAGAAAAGTAACTTACAATCCTCCCAGAATTACACAGATTCCAGAAATAAAAACAAGACCACCTTTTTCTCCTCTCTCAGTAACAAGTTTGCTACCAACCCAAGCCTGAAAAGCCCAAACAGCATAAATCATTCCCATGCTCCCCATGAGCAGTCCCTTTGTGAAACCTTGTTTTATGCCGAGCTCTGTACTTTTTTCAAGAGCAATACTGAACTTTTTTAGTGTTTGATTTTCCCCAACATACGAATAAACTGTACGGATGGATGAGATTGCTTGTTCCGCAATCCCTCCAGCAACCCTATAGGCACCGTTTGTCTCAGCTCCCAAGTCCTTGAGCACCTTCCCAAATCCAATTCCAGGAATCAAAAACATGAGCGAGAATGGAAGAGCAGCCAGTGCCAGCCGCCAAGAAAGCATGAAGGCAACAGGAAAGCAGAAGAGGAATGATGAGAGGTGAGCCAGGCAGTTCGGTATCTACATAAAAGGAGAAATACAGGTGATCAATACATGTTTACAAAATGAAGAAGAAAGAAGAAGAACAAGGCATGCCAAAGGCAATTGAAAACCTTTTCAGCTATTGTGTCTTGGATTAAATGGGCATCAGACGAGATAGTAGAAATGACTTGGAAGGTCATGGAAGAATTAGCTTGACTGTCAAAGAAGGCAACTTCTTGCCTGAGGACTGACTTCAAGTATTCCATTCTCATCCGAGACGTCTGTCTCTCAGCAGTTCTGGTCCAACAAATTCCTTCTGCAAGTTACCAATGCTAACAAGTATATATAATATGCATCACTGGAAATGGTATGTGGTTCTTCAACTTATGTTCACTCAAGTGTGTATATACTATATAGTCTGCAGATTATGTTCACTCAAGATGATTTGACAACTCTAAAACCAGAAAACCCAGTGTTGCAGGTTCAGAGCTCTAGAAGCCTATCATGTTTGTAGAGACTAAAGAAACCGAAGCACCAAACAAACCCCTGAAAGAGAAACAAAAATAGAAATTTAAAGTTGACATAATACCAATGAAAGCAGATACTCCAACTCCAATTGCAACAATGAGCAGCCTGAGTGAGTACTGTGAATCAAAGAAAACGAGTTGGCACCTTGTTAGCCTTGGCCATACAAAATGGAAATATATAAACCAACCAAAATTCATAGTCTGAAGACAGGACAGTTTGGTAAAACTAGCAAATTAACCTTGTCGACAATGGCATTGGAGAAATTAAGAGTGCCTTGTCCACCTCCATATTCATTGATCACACGGCTGAGAACAAGCATTGTAAGAGGTGTCATCAACCCATCTCCAATGCTGCCCAAAGTCCCAAACACCATCAGCAACTTGTCCACACCATCTGCATACTTGAAAAGCCCTCCCTTCTTCCTCATCTTACAAGCTACATAATACAAATCACATCAATCACTTGCAAATTAATAGCAATAAAATTCACATTGTTTAAGAGATGAGATAGCTTAGTGGCTGGCTTAGTTAGTAACCCAAAAACGAAAAACAAAAAAACCATGGTTAAGAGATAAGATTACTTACTAGAGGTGGCCTTCCCTTGTTGTATTTTATGACATTTTCAACTTCACTGATACCAAATGGATCATATATAGCTAATAACTTAATGCACGTTTTAGAATAAGTCGGCATTTTGTTTGATTACTAAGGACTTGTCGAAATGTTGGTTTCCATAAATTCCAACGGTCTATGTTTCTGGTTTTCTTGGCATTCCTCTTGCCTTCATGCAACATTGGGAAATATAACATGCCAAAATCTTTTTGTCTTTTCTTAGTTTTTTTAATTCTTCAAACATGTCAGGCCAAAAAGTCAAAGGAAAATTCTTCAAACATGGGTCATCAACCGGCCTGGGTGAATCTTTGAGATGCATATTAATTTGACACGTGTGAGTAGATTATGTGGAACTCAATTTTGATTCTTAAGTTTCATCATCAACTCTGAGCCAAACTTACTAGATTGTGCTGTTGGAAGTATGCCCCTTGTCCTTGAACACATTTTGAGTTAATGATTGGCTAAAAAAACGCATCTCAGATTTTGAAAAAAAAAAAAAAAAAAAAAAAAAAAAAAACTTAGATTTTGTTAGCATCTGCTTGTATATTTTCAGGCTCATCCCAAAGGAGTTTTGCTGACTTAAAAAAAGAAAAGGCATCATCAAAACAATATATAAACATGTTGTCCAACGACAGGTCGTTTGTTTCAACCTTTCCAGGTTGGTCATGCCCCCTTACTTCTTATTGAAACATAGCATTCCTTCCTTAAAGCGTTACATATTAAATCTATCTCCTATGCCATTTCCATTTCTGTGAGTGGAGTAAAAACTCAGCTGTTAAGCAGAGTGGCTGTTTTGAAGCTGAATAAATATGCTCCTCCACGTCCAATGGCAAGTAGCTCATTGTGAGAACCTTGTTCCACAACCTTTCCATTCTCTATCACAGAAATGGAGTCTGCCTTCTGTATCGTGGATAGCCGATGAGCTACCACTACACATGTTCTACCAACCATCATCTTGTCAAGCGCTTCCTGGACTAGAGTCTCCAATACGCTATCAAGAGCACTGGTTGCTTCATCTAATAGGAGAATTCTCGGGTTCTTGAGTATCGCTCAAGCAAGTACTATTCTATGCTTTTGACCCCCTGAGAGTTGCACTCCTCTTTCTCCACATTAAGGTTGATATCTATCTTTCATACCACTGGATTATATATAGACTATGCCTTGTTAAAGAACAAATAAAAGTAACAAAATTTTGTGTGCCTCAGTTTCAATAAGAAAGTTAGGAAGATATATATGTTTGTACCTTATAAATTCATAAGCATTGGCAAGACTTGCTGTCCTTCTTACTTCAGATTCCCTGTAATTCTTTTTGGAAGTAAACTGAGGCAATTGATCCCATGCAATAGGAGTGAAATGCCTGTATAGCTCCAAAGCCAGCAGCACCTAGACACCCAAGTAATGCTTGCTTCCACTCAGGTGCATTCATTCGATACAAACGCAATTGGGATGGAGGAGGATAAGAAGTATTTTCTTGCTTTACATAGTTGAAGTTACCATAAAGGTGCAATTGGGAAATATCTGCAACGCTTAAGGAATATACTGAGCTGAATTGGTGGGCTGGGCTGTTTTGCCAGCTTGATCTTATGCTGATTGGTGAAGGTCTTATGCTAAATGGTGAAGGTCTTATGCTAATTGGTGAAGGTCTTACACTAGTCATCATTTTTAGGTGGCTTATATCTTCGGCTGGATGTCTGGGGCCATTCGGTGCTTCATTTTGCATGGCTAATTGCTGCAAGTGCACCATTTTGCTGTATGCACCCCCTTCTTCACCTTCTCCGTTTTTCATATGCATCAGCTCCTCATGGGAGCCTGACTCAATTACTTTCCCAGATTGAAGAACCACTACCAAATCTGCTTTGCAAATTGTGGTAAGCCGATGAGCAACAATAAGTGTTGTCCTTCCGATCGAAGCATGGTCCAGTGCTTCCTGCACTATACTTTCAGATTGTGCATCCAAAGCGCTTGTGGCTTCATCAAGCAGAAGGATTCTTGGATTTCTAAGCAATGCCCTTGCTATAGCAACCCTTTGCTTTTGCCCTCCAGACAATTGAACTCCAAATTGGCCCACCTAAAGGAACACTGGTCAAAATTAGTAACTGTAATCAAATAATGTATTGATTTAAAGGACTAAATTTTTTTGGCTTACTTGAGTATCATATCCATCAGGTAACTTAATGATGAAGTCATGTGCATTTGCTGTCTTAGCTGCACTTATGACATGCTCCATTGCAGCTCCTTCTTTTGCAAATAAAATGTTTTCTTTTATAGATGTTGCAAAGAGAACTGGTTCTTGATTAACAAGTCCCATCTGGGGTCTCAACCATTTAAGCTGAAGTCTCTTTATATCATATCCATCAAGCAGAATTTTCCCTTTGTCAAGGTCATAAAATCTTTCGAGTAATGAAATGATTGTAGATTTTCCAGAACCACTGCCTCCAACAAAACCTACAGTTTTTCTAGCCTGTATGGTAAGATTGAGTCCTTGAAGAACCGGGGTATCAGGTATCGATGGATAACTAAAGTACACCTCTTTAGAACTCCACTTTTCCTTTGCCATGTCCTAAAACTTTTCCTCTCTTTTGAGTGTCTATAGCAGGATCTCGTTCAATCGTCTGTAACATCCGAGCAATAACACTTGTTGCCTCCAAAATGAAAGAGAGATTCGGGAGCGCAGTCATGATGGACCTGAAGATACGAAGATTTGTGATTTCGGATGAATTAAAAGATGACAAAGTAAAGAAATTCAGCAAAAAGAAAAGAAACTCACAGTCCTGACGCAGATGTGACAATTGTATAGCCAATATTAATATATATCTGAGTCTGTGTCTTTTAAGGGTAGTTAGGTCTTTTACTTATCTAGGGCATCTTTACATGCCTATATATTGTAAGCGTACAGCAGCTGTATAATTCAATTTGTTTTATGTGAATATATTGGCATTCTCTGCTTCTGCTTGAATTGTTCACATGGTATCAGAGCCATCCTCCTGTGTTGCTGCCGGTTTTTTTTGTTCTTCCCCCCTAAGTCTTCTTGATTCATGTCGCTGCGTTTCCTTGTTGATTTGCTGCTGCGTTTGCTGGTGTCGTCTGCTCTAGTCTTCTTGGTTTTTCATCTATTTTGGTTTTCGCTGCTTTTGGTTCTTGTCTCTTCTATATTGTTTTCCACATGGCTAGTGAAAACGATGATTCACTTCAAGTCTTCCCACCCAAACGATCTCCAACAGCTGCAGTTGTTTCATCCTATCGCGAATCTTTCGCCAGTCCTACAATGTCGCTTACTGCAGAGCAATTTCAGAAGCTTTGTTCTACCCATCAGCGTGATGTCTTGTCCATGATTTCCCATTCTTCAGGTTTGCCTTCCTCATCTTCTTCAGGTATATCCCCATCCACTTGGGTCTTTGACTCAGGCGCTACACATCATATGACTAGTGATTTGTCATTGTTTACTTCATTGTCTTCTTTGTCTACGTCGATTTCTGTTTTGACTGCCAATGGCACTTCTATGTCATTGGCTGGTATCGGCTCTATCACAACTTCTGGCCTATGTCTATCTAATGTCTATTATATTCCTCAACTCACCTTGAATTTGATTTCTATTAGTCAATTATGTGCTTCTGGCTATGTTGTTTAATTTTCTTCTACTTCATGTTATGTACAGGATCCTCACTTCAAGAAGCTGATTGTGACAGGCCGTAGAAAGGGAGGATTATATGTGTTGGAGAAGCTCCAGATTCTTGCCTTGGTGGCTTCGTCTATTGATTTGTCGTCTTTTTGTCTGAGTCCTAAATCGTCTAATTTTTACCTTTGGCATTCTCGTCTTGGTCATGTCTCTGGTTCTCGTTTGAAATATTTAGTTTCTACAGGAGCTTTAGGCAATTTCAATTGTCATGACATTTCAGATTGTAGTGGATGTAAACTTGCCAAATTTTCTGCATTACCTTCTACTAGAAGTTCCTCTATTTCTTTAGCACCATTTGATTTAATTCACTCTGATGTCTGGGGCCCAACTCCTATTTCTAGTAAAGGGGGCGCTAGATATTATGTTTCATTTATTGATGACTACTCTCGTTATTGTTGGATTTACCTTATGAAACGCCGGTATGATTTCTTTACTAACTTTCAAAATTTTCGCGCCCTTGTTCATACACAATTTTCTATTGTCATTAAATGTTTTCGGTGTGACTTGAGTGGTGAATATACCTCTCGTGCTTTCACTGACTTGCTTGCCTCAGATGGTACCACACACCAATTCTCTTGCACTGCCACTCCTAAACAAAATGGTGTTGCCGAAAGAAAACATCAACATATTGTTGAAACTGCCAGGTCTATGTTGCTTTCTGCTGATGTCCCAAAATTTTTTTGGGGCAAAGTAGTTCTGACTGAAAATCATGTGATTAATCGTATTCCCACATCTCTCACCTCTGGCATATCTCCGTTTGAAAGATTGTATGGTAACCGTCCTGATTATTTCTCATTGAAAGTGTTTGGTTGTACTTGTTTTGTTATTCGTCCTCCTGTCGAACAGACAAAATTATCTGCTCGTTCTGCTATGTGTGTTTTTCTTGGTTATGGTGAAGGACAAAAAGGTTATCGTTGTTATGATCCTAGTGCACAAAAATTGTATGTCTCTCGTCATGTGGTTTTTCCTGAGCATATTCCTTTTTTCTCCATTCCTACTAGTTCTCATACTTTATCGAATTCTGAGCTCATGTATATCGATCCTTTTTCACCTACTAATGATGATTTCTCTTCTTCTGACAATGTTAACATTTCTCCTGTTTCTAGTTCCCCTTCTAATCCTTGTGTTACTTCTCCTCCTATTACTCAAGTGTATTCTCGCAGGAAACAAGTCATCAGTTCTGACACTAATAATCCTTCTTCTCCTTTGGCGCCTGCTTCAACTTCTGTGGATGTGGATCCCATAGCACCTCGTTATCCTTCGCGCACTCATAAGCCCCCTAATCGGTTTGGTTATTCTTATAATGATTTTAGTTATTCTTGTTATTCTCATGATTTCTCTTCTTTCTTATCCTCTATACATACTCTCTCTGAACCCACCTCCTACAAGGAGGCTATATGTAATCCTCTTTGGCAACAGGCTATGAATGAAGAACTTTCTGCTCTACATAAAACTGGCACATGGGATTTGGTTCCTCTTCCTCCCAGTAAACATGCAGTTGGATGTCGATGGGTTTATAAAATTAAGACTAAGTCTTATGGTTCTCTTAAGAGATATAAGGCTCGTTTGGTTGCCAAGGGATTTACATAGGAATATGGCCTTGATTATGAAGAGACCTTTGCTCCAGTGGCCAAGATGACTTCTGCTCGTACCTTACTTGCTGTTGCATCAGTTCATCAATGGATTTTATCACAAATGGATGTTAAAAATGCCTTTTTGAATGGGGATCTTTTCGAAGAGGTGTATATGGTTCCCCCTCCAGGTGTTCTTCATAATCCCGAGGAGGTGTGTCGTTTACGGAAAGCTTTGTATGGTCTTAAACAAGCTCCTCGTGCTTGGTTTGAGAAATTCTCTGCTGTTATTAGTTCTCTTGGTTTTCAATCAAGTGCTCATGATCCTGGCTTGTTTGTTCGTTCTACCTCTGTTGGTCGTATCCTTATGCTCCTTTATGTTGATGACATGATTCTTACGGGTGATGATTTGGATGGTATCACCCAATTAAAATTGGCTTTACATGATCGATTTGAAATGAAGGATTTAGGTCCCTTACGTTATTTCCTTGGCATTGAAGTTGCATAATCCCCTAAAGGTTATCTCATGTCTCAGCCTAAGTATGCTGCTGACATTCTTCAAAAAGCTCGTATTATGGATACTAGAGTGGCTGATACTCCTCTTGAGCTCAGTGTGCGTTATTCCCCGTCTGATGGTACCCCTTTGGATGATCCTACTCTTTATCGTAGTATTGTTGGGAGCTTGGTTTATCTCACAATTACTCGCCCTGATATTTCATATGATGTTCATATTGTTAATCAGTTTGTCTCTTCTCCCACTACTCTTCACTGGGCTGCTGTAATTCGTATTTTACGCTATCTTCGAGGGACTTGTTTCAAAGCTTATTGCTTCCTTCCACCTCAACTTTGGAGCTTCGAGCCTTTTCTAATGCTAGTTGGGCTGGCGATCCTTTTGATCGAAAATCTACTACTGGTTATTGCATTTTTCTTGGTGATTCCCTTATCTCCTGGAAGAGTAAGAAACAATCAGTTGTTTCTCGTTCTTCTGCTGAGGCTGAGTATCGTGCTATGGCCTCTACTGCTGCTGAAATTGTTTGGCTTCGGTGGTTGCTTCAAGATATGGGTGTTTCTCTCTCTATACCTGCTTCTATGTATTGTGATAATAAAAGTGCCATTCAAATTGCTCACAACTCTATCTTTCATGAGCGCACAAAGCACATCGAATTGGACTGTCACTTTGTCCGCCATCATTTCCAGCAAGGCACCATCTCTCTTCCTTTTGTCTCCTCCACCATGTAATTGGCTGACTTCACCAAGTCTCACACTCTTGCTCGCTTCCGCTTTCTTCTTAGCAAACTCTCGATGCTTAATACTGTAACATCGTGAGTTTGATAGGGGGTGTGACAATTGTATAGCCAATATTAATATATATCTAAGTCTGTGTCTTTTAAGGGTAGTTAGGTCTTTTACTTATCTAGGGCATCTTTACATGCCTATATATTGTAAGCGTACAACAGCTGTATAATTCAATTTGTTTTATGTGAATATATTGGCATTCTCTGCTTCTGCTTGAATTGTTCACAGCAGATTCTGCAAGCGAAAATAAGGCCACCTTGTTCTCCTCTCTCAATAATGATTATGCTACCAATCCAAGCCTGGAAAGCCCAATTAGCATAAACCATTCCCATGCTGCCTATCAGCATTTCCTTTATCAAACCCTACTTTACACCAAGCTCCATACTTTTTTGAAGGGCACTATTGAATCTATCTAGTGTTTGATGCTCCCTAACATATGAATAAACAGTCCGTATTGATGAAATTGCTTGTTCAGCAATTCCACCAGCAACCCCATACTCGCCATTCGATTTACTTCCGAAGTCCTTCAGTACCCTTCCAAATCCCAGTGCTGGAACAATAAACAATACAGAGAATGGAAGAGCTGCAATTGTAAGTCGCCAAGAAGCGAAAATGCAACTCCTAGGCTAATGAAAAAGGATGATAACTGAGCCACACAGTTGGGAATCTACAACAAAGGAAATGGAGGTGATGTCAGCACAAAAGAGTAAGGGCAGGAGGGAAACAAGCACGCCTGCACACACACAATCAGAAAGAGAAGGGATTGAAAATCTTCTCAGCTATAGTGTCTTGGATCAAATGTGCATTAGAAGAGATGGTAGAAATCACTTGGAAGGTAGTGGAAGCAGCATCTTGGTTATCAAAGTAACCAACATCTTGCCTGAGGACTAATTTCAAGTATTCTATTCTCATCATCTGAGATGTTTGTCTTTCTGCAGTTCTTGTCCAACAAACTCCTTCTGCAAAATATGAATTATATGTCTTCAGGATAAGTATATCATAAACCGGTTATTAAATTTGTGTATTGTTATACTATGTCCAAGTGTTTCTTATGCCTTTTACCAAATACCAAGTACAAGTTTTTATGTAGATCAAAAGCAGAGCAAATCTAAAGCCACTTTTCCTACAGCCTTGCAGCTATTATTGCATTGTATCCTTCCTTGTTTATACAGAGGAAAAGCCTTAAGCCACATAGATACGTACCCACGAACGCAGAAATTCCAACTCCAATGACAAGATACAACATATTCAGGGAGTACTATAAAAAAAAAGGGAAAGGATGCAGGTTAGTTGGCTAAACAATTAAAATGAATAAATTGTAATTAAGCAGTTATTATACTCTCTCTTAGATTTCTTGTGACATCTAATGAAAGAAGTATCATCACACAATACATGAGTTATGAGGTAATCTGCTATATATTTTTGTAGAAAATATATTTTCTTGTATTAAACAGATTACACAAAGTCCCTATTTATACTGATACAAGATATCTACTTAAGATAGGAAATAATATAGACATGAATACAATCCGATTTACAGCAGGAAATGCTAATTACTGTGAGGAGATTGTGAAGTTGACTTCCGTGTGTGCTAGGAAAGGAAAGTTGCGTTAACACCCTCTCGCAAACTGGGCGTCACAGGATGCACAAGTTTAGAAGACATATACTGATGGTGTGGTCTGTGAAGGGCTTTGGTAAATAGGTCCGCAGTTGGTCGACAAAAGGAACAAAGCAAACTTGATGACTTCCAAGAGCAACCTTTTCACGGACAAAATGATAGTCCAACTCAATGTGACGTGTGCGGGCATGGAAAACTGGATTGGCAGCCATGTACGTGGTGCTGAGATTGTCACAAAAGAGAAAGACCTGGAACTGAAAAAGCACACCCAATTCATTAAGAATGGAGCAGAGCCAAGTGGTTTCGGCACAAGCATGAGAAAGGGCACGATATTCCGATTCTGTACTAGAGCGCAAGACTATGGGCTATTTCTTGGAACGCCATAAGATGAGGTTAGTTCCAAGAGTAATCACATATCCATTGGTCGACCGACAAGAATCAGGGCACCCAGCCCAATCCGCATCAGAGTATGCAGTGAGGCGAGCTGCAACATTTTGAGGAGTGAAGGTGAGGCCGAGATCAATAGTGCCCTTGTTGTACCTAAGTATCCATTTGGCAGCAACAAAGTAAGGGGTGTGAGGGGCACTCATGTACTGAGCAACAGTGTTGACGGAAAAAGATATGTCAAGGTGAGTAAGAGTGAAATACTGTAAACTGCCAACAAGCTCATGCTTGGTTGGGTTGGAGATGAGAGCACCATCAGAGACAGAGAGGAGAACCTTGGCAACCAATGGAGGATATGTGGGTTTGGAGTTGAGAAGATTGGCTTTCTCTAAAAGATCATGTGCATATTTGAGTTGAATAATGTGGAGAGTACCATCCTTATGAAGAACCTGTAAACCCAAGAAATAGCTTAGCAGACCAAGGTCTTTGATGTCAAAGTGGCCATCTAAAATAGAGACGAATGGTTTGAGATGGGTGGAATCACTGCCAGTTACCACGATGTCGTCGACATATAGAAAAATAAAGATGGTATGGGAGGCCTGTTGAAAAATAAATAATGAAGTGTCAACTTGGCTCCATTTAGCTTATAGAGTGAAGGAAAGTACTAATGCGATGGAAACAAGCACGAGGTGCTTGTTTGAGGCCATAGAGTGCTTTGTGGAGCTTGCAAACATAAGAAGGACAAGTAGGATCAATGAAACTAGGGGGTTGAGCCTTGTAGACATCTTCTTAAAGAAACCCATGGAGAAAGGCATTTTTGACATCAAGTTGACGAAGGAACCAACCACGAGAAACTGCAAGACTGAGAACAGTGCAAATAGTGGCAAGCTTGACAACAGGACTGAAGGTTTCAACATAGTTTATGCCTGGACGTTGGTGAAAACCTTTGGCAACTAGACGAGCTTTGTAGCATTCAATGGAGCCATCAGAGTGATGCTTAATCCGAAAAACCCACTTGCACCCAACCAAGTTCTAAGAAAGAAATAAGGGAACCAAAGACCATGTATGATTTTTGAGAAGTGCATTGATCTCTTCAGTCATGGTGTCATGCCATTCAGGATGTTTAGTGGCCTGTGAAAAACAAGTAGGCTCAGTATGATCAACAATAGTTAATTAGACATGGAGAATAGGGTATTTAACAGTACTATCGGTATAAAGCTTGGGCTTTTGAATGCCATCTTGAAGGTGGGTGCGCATGTGAGGAACAATGGCAGGAGTGAGAGATTACGGAGTTGCTGGAACTTAGGGGTCCTGAGCTACTAGAACTAGGGGTTCCTAGGTGCTGGAATTGTGGGGTTCAGAGTTATTGGAACAGGGGCAGGAACAAGTGAAGATAGATGTATGTGAGGGCGTCGGGAGTAAGTTTGGAGGAATGGCTGGGCTGACGTAGAAGAAGTGTTGTGGAGTGGACTAAGGGGTGTGGCGGGGCAGGGGTCATGGCTTGTGACTGCAGCAGCTGGAAAGGTGCACATTATGGAGGTGCCGTGAGTTTGCGAGTATGGGTTTGGGGTATGAGTGATCGATTCGGGCCCAAGTGCGGAGGAGGGCAGAATTGGATGGAATTCAATATCCACATACTCTGAAGAAGATAATACCTGTAAATGCTCAAATGGAAAATGCATTTCGTTAAATAAAACATGACGGGACATGTAAACATGGCCCGTGGAGGGATGTAAACAACGGTAACCTTTGTGGTGAGAACTGTACCCAAGGAAAACATATTCAATGGTGCGTTTAGTGAGTTTATTTTCAGTATATGGTCCAAGGTAAGGAAAACAAGAACACCCAAACACTCGAATATGAGAGTAGGAGGGAGGATGTTGGAAAAGTCGTGTATAGGGTGCCTCATTGAAGATTAAAAATAGGTAGGAAGTTGATGAGATGGTCAGCAGTGAGGGCAGCTTCAACCCAAAGATTGTGGGGAGTGTGAGAAATGGTAAGGAGGGTACGGATCATTGTGGCAATGTGTCTGTGTTTAAGTTCAGCTAGGCCATTTTGTTGGGGAGTGTGGGGACATGAGAAACGTTGGTGGATGCCTAGTTGACTACAAAGATCAGGGAAATCATTATTAACATATTCAGTGCCATTATCACTTTGAAGGATTTGCATAATGGTGTGAAATTGATTTTTAACCATGGCAAGAAAGGTTTGAAAATGAGAAAATACCTTAATTTTACAGTGCCTAGGATAGATCTAAGAGTAACGGGAAAAATCATATGTAAACAAGACATAATAGTGATAACCAGTGACAGAAATGAACGGGGACATCCATACATCATAGTGAATTAAATAAAAGGGAGATGGGGCAAAAGTTTTATTACTAATAAAGGATAGTTTTGTGGATTTGCTTAGTGCACAATCCTTATAGAAAGCATGAGAAACTTTAAAGCCTATAGATGACGCTAAGTGAGAGAGCACAGGACGGGATGGATGGCCAAGGCAACGATGCCAAGCATGAGAATGCATGGTGGTAAGGGCATGGGGGACGGTGGATGAGTGAGAGGAGAGGGAAAATGGGTAAAGACCATCTTTAGGAGGGCCCTGAAAGAGTAACAAACCAATATGTAAGTTATAAATTTGATAAAAGTCAGGAGTAAAGACAAAGAAAACTAAATTATCACGAGTAAAATGGGCAACAGAAAGAAGATTAGTACGAAGAGAGGGAAGACAAAAGACATTTTGAAGAGAAAATTTGTGAGAAGGACTACCAGCCATGTGATGAGTGGCACCTGTGTCAGGGTACCAAGTGGAGTCAGGTGGCTGCATGAATTGAGCCCCAGTAAATGAAGGAAAGGATTCTGGGTCATTGTAGTGATGGGGACATGTTGCAATAGTATGTTGATTGGTATTGCAGGTGGTGCACCAAGTAGGTCCCAAGACACCAAGAGTTGAGTTAGGTCGGACAGAGTGTTTGCTAGAAGCCCCAGATTGGGCCCAAGGGGGCTGAAATGAAGGCAAGTTGCTTTTATGTCCAGAACTTGAAGTAAAAGGAGGCCACAGTTGATTAGGCCATTGAGGATGTTGGGAGCCATTCCACGGGTTGCTCCAAGAAGGTGAGAAGTTACGCTAACCACCACGGTCATGATCGCACTAGACACCGCGGCCACCACACTTGTTGTTGGAGGAACCACCACCACGGTGAGAATTGAAGGAAGTATAACCGGTGGTGTGAATAGAAGATTGGGTAGCCATTAGCGTTGTGTTTTGATCAAGAAAGATTCGAGGAGCATGTGCATCGAAAACTAACAAAAGAGCACAAAGATCAGCAAAGTCAGGAAACGAAGGAAAATTGAGAATTGTCGTGACGAGCATTATGTAATCGGGTCCTAAACCACGGAGCACAATAATGAAAAGTTTTTTTGGAGGGACAGGTTAATTGATGGCAGCCAATGAATCAACAAGGGACTTAGCATGACGAAGGTAAGCATCAATGGGTTGAGAGTCTTTTTGCATGTCCATGAGTTGAAAACGAATAGTAGACTCACTGGCCATACTGGATTGATAGAAGTGGAGTTGGAGACACTCCTAGAGATCCCGGGCAGAGGTGTAGCTGACGGTGAGATAGAGAATGGACTCAAAGAGTATACTGGTGATGTAGCTAACAATGAGTTGGTCTTGTTGATACCACTGAGCATGGGTGGGATTGGTTTGGGTAAGAGTGGCAGTGGTGGTTGTGGGTGTTAAGGTGGTAGAAGTGGAGATTTGGGCAGAAGGTTGTTTATGAGTGCCATCGATAAATTTCCAGAGGTCATGACTGACTAAAAAGTTTTTGAGTTGGCAGAGCCAAATGAGATAGTTGGAGTCAGTAAGCTTGATAAAATTAGAATAGTTGGTTAGGGAAGGAGATGGTGGATTCATACGAAGCCATAAGGTTGACCTAAAGGAGAGGATTGGATCGAATATGGGAGAGGGAGGAAACCCTAGGTTAGGCTGATACCATGTAGAAAATATATTTCCTTGTATTAAACAGATTACACAAAGGGTTTGAGTTGTTTATGAGTGCCATTGATAAATTTCCAGAGGTCATGACCGACTAAAAAGGGTTTGAGTTGGCAGAGCCAAAGGAGATAGTTGGAGTCAGTAAACTTGATAAAATTAGAAGAGTTGGTTAGGGAAGGAGATGGTGGATTCAGACGACGCCATGAGGTGGACCTAAAGGAGAGGATTGGATCGAATATGGGAGAGGGAGGAAACCCTAGGTTAGGCTGATGCCATGTAGAAAATATATTTCCTTGTATTAAACAGATTACACAAAGGGTTTGAGTTGTTTATGAGTGCCATCGATAAATTTTCAGAGGTCATGACCGACTAAAAAGGGTTTGAGTTGGCAGAGCCAAAGGAGATAGTTGGAGTCAGTAAGCTTGATAAAATTAGAAGAGTTGGTTAGGGAAGGAGATGGTGGATTCAGACGAAGCCATGAGGTGGACCTAAAGGAGAGGATTGGATCGAATATGGGAGAGGGAGGAAACCCTAGGTTAGGCTGATACCATGTAGAAAATACATTTCCTTGTATTAAACAGATTACACAAAGTCCCTATTTATATTGATACATGATGTCTATTTAAGGTAGGAAATAATATAGACATAAATACAATCCGATTTACAGGCTAATTGCTAGGAGGATATTGTGAAGTTGACTTCCTTGTGTGCTAGGAAAGGAAAGCTGCGTTAACAATTTTACATGGTATAAATTTTCATCTTGAAGCATTTTCAACATTATAGCAATCCATTTCTTGAACAACCGTCCGGGAAAATGTTCATTAACATGCTGGTAGATTTCCTACCTTTTTTGTCTCTATGAATATATTATTAGTTTCTTTACCTCATTCAGAGTCTCATTGGAGGGAATAGAACGTCCATGCTCATTGATCATCCCACCAAGAACAACCATGGTTAACGGGGTCATGGAACCATCTCCTATGCTACCCAAAGTCCCAAAAAACAACAGTAACCTGTCTATGCCGTCGGCATATCCAAAGAGGCTTCCTTTGCTCCCCATATTGCAGGCCACAAACAACAACACAGACCTCACTAAGAAAATTCACTGTCTCAATTGAAACTCAAATGGATGGTTAAACTCATTCTTGATATATACAAACATATATATATTGGTACACATATCAGTTGACCCTTGTGCCAGTGGTATTGTAACATCTTGCACATACTCTTCCAGCCTTTCATGTATTTATATAATGTCATTGGCCTCCTATACAAACTAGATACAATTTTATTGCCATTCTGTTGCCTCTACAGTAATAGAAACCAATAGTCAAATCAGCCACATTGATGTTACTGATGTAGAACGAGAGGAATCGGATCTTAGTTTATCTGATTGCTTAGGCACAAAATGCCAACAATCCCATTGAAATAACTTTTGAATGCTTACCCTAAAGAGATGTCAACTTGTTTGTATAAGAATTTAGAATTGTGGGGTTCAGTTGTGAAGTACATATCATTCTACTATTAATGGCTTTACTCAGTCCAGAATATTTAGCTCCAAAAATCAGTTTCCTCCTCTCCTCTGCACCGAAAAGAGTCAGTTTCATTTCCTACCACAGCATTAAACGCCGAGAAATCAAAATATTAGCATTTGCTGCTTAGATGAATCTACTGGGCAGTCCATTAAATTAGAAGGGAAAATTTGTACACATTTGCTGTTTGTATCAGCTTAATTTTGTTTTTTTTTAGGGAACAACTGTTGTGACAATTCAAAGAGAAGGGCAAATTCTTGTCCCTTGATAACTTTACATGGCATATGTTAAAAGGTAGCCAGAAACAAGGGGTTGCGTTTAAGTGAGTTTCCTTGGAGATGTTATGTTGTTCTGTCGCTTACTTTGCTTCTTGTTGGCAAGCCAAATGTTAAAAATTTACCAACCATTACTAATAACTTAGGCAGGTACAGCCAAACATCCGAAATTTGATCTACATTTATCATAGGTTACACTACTATAATGATGGGAAATTCCTGGCTGGCCTGCGAAACTTACAGTGCTCTCATTTTTCACTCAATCTAAGGTGGCTAGTCAAATCATCCACAACAATTTTCTAGCGTACACATCCTACACATTAAAACAATCAGAATAATATGATGGAAAAAGAGGATTTGGATTTCATTTTTCATCGTATTTTCATGCGTGGATGCATCTTATTTTCATTTTTTAAAATTACAAGCAAATGGGAGGGTGGTTTCTCACACACACACACACACACACACACACACACACTACTAATGTGTCATGAGAGTTCGAATCTGAGACCACTCAAATGCAAGTCAAGGTCTCAATATGTCGGAAACAAATGTTCTTTCATCAAATAGTCTACCATATTATTGAGTTAAATTATTAATCTTCTAAATTTTTTACCCAAAAATTTGTCAATCTAAATCGCAAATTATATGCGTAATCTTTGCTTATAAACATCCCTAATAATAGATTATTTGCTAACAATAAGTTCCACTTTAACCTCTCTTTTTTTAGAGATATGGTTCCATTTTATAAGTATTGTATAATCAGATAACCTTAAAATGTTTGTTCCATACAAGGTCTAAAATATTGAGAGTTATGGAAATATCAGTGGTCCAAAAACACGGATATATCGATGGAAATAGTGAGGAAATATTGATATCAATAAAAATTGAATAATAATCACGGAAATTGTGAGAAAAACTTGGAAATTTTTATTGAAATTTTAGAGAATGTTTACTTAGTCAATTGTCTATTATTTTATCACAAAAAATTGGAAGGAAATATATGGTATGGTGGGTTTGAGTGATTTAAGTTGATTATGTAGAGACCTGACAAACACTGTAACTTTAGAAAATATGTAGTAATTAGTGAAAGAAAATTAAACACACCATAAATTTTTAGTTATAATAATTTACTACAATGTATTACACTTATATGATAAGATTTATGAGCTTGAAAAAAAAACAAAGATAAAATGTATAAGTAACTTAGTACCACATAGAAAGAATTCTTATTGAAGTTCAAACTTAGTATCACGTATAATGTACAATATTAAAACTCAATACTAAATAATAATACAACTCCATAATATATAACCCAAAAAAAAACAACAACAACTCCATAATAAAATAATAAATAACATAACATATGCCTAAATTTATCCTTAGAGAATTTTTTTATATGGAAATTTATCCTAGGTAATATTAGTTTGCAGACATTTTAAAGACCTTATAAATATTATGAATAATGCTACTCTTACCACATTCATATACCATCTTATGTGGCAAATGAGGTAGATAGCCACATCAATTAAAATTATTTAATATTTTCTTTTCTTTTATGATTTATTCCAGTATTTGTTTTTCTAATTGTCTTAATTAAAATACACTTCATTGATTTAATTGATGTGGCATATAATATGGACATGTCACATCATGTGGTATAAAAATGTGGGATAAAAATGCGGTAAGTGTAGCATTACTCAAATATTACATGCTATAGATATGTTCACAAACTCATCCGCAGTGGGTTGGATAAGGCTCAAAAGGTGGTTGGGAAATGGAGGGGTTTGAATCCTTCTGTGCGCAAGAGCGTGATTTCTCAACATTTTCATTTATTTTTCGGTCTCATCACGATATGTTGTCCAAATAATGCATGAGCGTGTAGGAAATTATCGTCTCCGACATTATCGCAATAATATCAATATTTCATACTATGGTTCCATCTCATTATATTATCAAATATCAAACAGTGCACACAGACAAGTACAAGTCTAGATCGATCTTTGAGTAGCTGCCCAAAATAATAATAGAAAAATTAGGTATTAGACATAAAAATCTTCTGATACACCAAAAAAGAAAATCGACAAAGTGCAGGAGACAAAGAATCACGCAAGTTTTACTCCCAAGTAGCCAACCTTTGGAAAAGTTTTCGGTTTTGAACAAAGACAGGAAAGTCCGTAGGCTTGCAAGAAATCGTGCCACAACATAACCCATGTGTCACCATATATAAACAAGTTAAACAAGGTAACGTGGATGGCATGTAGGCTGTAGATATAAACCAACAAAATACAAACCCCACCTCCATAAATATATACAACTTCTAACAAGAATGTCATATTTTCCCAAGATTTTATGTCTAAAGCTATAAAGTTGAGACCTCGGCCAATATAGCAAGCTACGTACACACTTCATGTAGAGCTCTAGTGCCAATCAATCCCTACCAACCAAAATTGTCTATAAAGGGTATGCTTTGCATTGATCAAAGCAATCAAACAGCTTCATCTCCCATAATTCTCAAAACCCATTTTCCTTAAACTCCAACATTTCTTGATTCAAATTTGGAAATCTTTGTTAGAGTGATTGATTGACATGAGGAAGTTCATCTTGGTTGCTCTGTTTTTGGCTCCGGTTATTGGCCTGGCTGAGAGCTTTGAGTTTCAGGAGAAGGACCTGGCCTCTGAAGAGAGTCTCTGGGACTTGTATGAGAGGTGGAGGAGCCACCATACAATTTCCCATGGCCTCAGAGAGAATGAAAAGCGCTTCAATGTCTTCAAGGAGAATGTGAAGCATGTGCACAAGGTGAACCAGATGAGCAAGCCTTACAAGCTGAAGCTGAACAAGTTTGCAGGCATGACCAACCATGAGTTTGTGAGTTCCTATGCTGGCTCAAAAGTTAGCCACTACAGGTCTTTGCATGGCAGCCGAAGGGAAACTGCCTTCACACATGAGAACACTGACAATCTTCCGCCAAATGTTGATTGGAGGAAGAATGGAGCAGTCACTGGAGTTAAAGACCAAGGCAAATGCGGTAAGTCTCAGATTTACGTACATGACCAAAGATTTTCATGTGACAATTTTCATTGAAATATTTTGAAAGTTTATGCAAATTTTGTGTTACGATTGCTAGTTGATGGGGAAAATATGCAGTCCATTTCATGAATAAATGTTACAACTTTCATGTTGATCAAAATCAAGAGATGATTAAAATTTACTGCATGTTGTTGATGTTACAGGTAGCTGCTGGGCATTTTCAACTGTAGTTGCAGTGGAGGGTATCAATCAAATCAAAACCAAGGCCCTAGTCTCTCTGTCTGAGCAAGAGCTGGTTGACTGCAATAGAGACCCCAACGAAGGGTGCGACGGTGGCTTGATGGAAAAGGCATTTGATTTCATAAAGAAAAATGGCGGCATAACAACAGAGCAGAACTACCCTTACAGAGCCAGTGATGGGCCTTGTGACTCAACCAAGGTGAAGAAAGAACCAACTAATTACCCCACATCAATAAAATATCATGTTACTTCATACATGTGAAAAAAAAAAAGGGCATGCTTTGTTTTGGTTCTTGCAGATGATGAATGCTCCTCTGGTGCAAATTGATGGCTATGAAAGCGTACCCGAAAACAATGAAAATGCCTTGATGAAAGCTGTTGCAAACCAACCTGTATCTGTTGCAATAGATGCTGGTGGCAGAGACTTCCAATTTTACTCAGAGGTATAAAAATACAACTGCTTTCAAATTAGTTAACTAAACACAAGGATGAGAGCTAAATCATGGGTTAATTAATTTTGCAGGGTGTGTTTAATGGGGACTGTGGAACAGAGCTAAACCATGGCGTGGCAGTTGTGGGGTATGAAACAACTCTGGATGGGACCAAGTACTGGATTGTGAAGAACTCTTGGGGAGAAGAGTGGGGAGAGAAGGGATACATAAGGATCCAACGTGGAGTTGATGCAGAAGAAGGGCTGTGTGGAATTGCAAAAGATCCCTCTTACCCCATGAAGTCTTCCCCAAGCAACACAAAAAGAAGAAGCTCCTCCTCCTTCAAGGATGAACTCTAAAGCTCTATGCTATGTGCTGCTGATACGCATGATATAGTATAGTTTAGTAGATTTCGTTTGCCAATTTAGTTATCAGTGATCAAGCTTTGTCCTAAAAGAGGCATATGAATCTTAGGTGCTTATATATACAGTGTGTGGTGTACTGAATTTACGCTTTCGTTTTGGATGAAAATAAATGTTTGTTTGATGCTGAAATATGAAATAAAAGGTTGAGAGTTTGATGAACGTGCATATGATTATGTGATCAAAGAACTAACACACAGGCTTCGCTCTGAATTTTATTTATTTATTTTTATGGGCCCAACTAGCTAATTTAGCCCGTTCATGTTTTTGTTGAGTTCAAAATCATGTAGCAATTATTCTTTGATCCAATCCATCCATAAAGGACAACTGCTGCAACAAATTAGGTCCACTCTTCCAACCTACCTAAAAGGAGTCTACTGGTCGGCAAACCTATACCGCCACAATAAAATTAGACACACCTAATTATGTATTGAAACTCATCACAAATATATCAAATTCATCATAAGTCGTTTTAGCTATCCACATGAGTCGAACATGAGTAGACAAATACCACTAAACGAATGCTCACTAATTTATGGTCAATTAAGGATTTAAATGCAAATCTTAATTACCATGTGATAAAATAAAAAAATTGGACGCAGTTTAAGCTTATATAAAGACAGTCATCATCCTAGATCCTAGAAAATGCAAACGGCCGTACAAGTGTTTTTCTGAAGTTGTGCATCGTATCAAGTGTGTTAATCTTATAAATTAAGGAAACAAAAAATAGGTTTATTGGGTTCCAAAACAGATTCGATTAAATTAAGAAGATAGGTGTTGAAGAGGCCAACCCTGTGGCCTTGATCAGCTCAAAAAGACTCACAGGGCCGCACGCATGCCACAGTTTCCATTGGACCATGGTGGGCTGCCAAATCTTTGACCATCTCTGCTACCGGCATTTCCCTGTTCCCGGTCAACAAAATCCCTAAACTAAAGCCTAAACAATTACTACAAAATATATATACTTGGGAAAGGACAGAGAATCCCCTTCATGCAACCTTTTGTAGTTGTAACTTGTAGCTCTAGGCTCACTACTTTTGCTGTTAATTATAAATTTTGTGTGCTTCAACTGGATCTTTGTCGGCCTTTAATTGTGATGAAGACCTGTAATTCTATGCTTATATCAGTATGGGCTACATTCTCTCATTATTACAATTATAATACGAAAGAACCTAAAGAATTACGAGGACAGCAACATAATTACCCCTCTCACAAAGGCCTCTCCCTTTAACTCACCAAGGTCCGGTGACAGGAATTTCCATTGATTCTTTGTTGATTTCGGTCCAACTCACGTAATCCTCACCGTCTCGGCGAGCTCTTCCTCTATATGATTCTCGTTTGTCTCAAATCTCAACCAACTTTGTACAATCAACGTATCTCACACTTTGCGATCTTAGATTGTGTTTGTTGATATTTGAATATCCAAATAAGTAATTAAGTTTTTAATTCGAATTAAGTTGTAGCACTTCAATATGATTTTGTTGTGCGGGTTCGTAGTCTCTCCTAATGAGAGTTTTAGGTTTATATGTTTTTTGTTGTGTGTTGTGAAAGTTTGTCTTGCATGCATGCATATCATATGCATGAATTGGTCAAAACGCAGAGTTTATACACAACACAAAACAATACGAGGTAAATAAGTTGGGGCAAAGACAGCGAGAGATGCGCACACACAACACAACACAACACCACATAAGGCACCCAGAGAGGGTACTACGTGGGGGGCATCAGGTGGTCCATGTGTCAAATCCCCAGAGCATCAGAGAAAAAGCATAAAGAGACGGGCAAAGCCTGAGCCTGACAAACAGGAAGAGGAGGAAGGAGGGGACGGAGGGAGGAGGCCCACAACAACAACAACAAGACATGGGCAGCAGCATTAAATGGGCGGTCACTCTTTCTCCCATCTCCTAGCTATATATATATATATATATATATACACTGTGCACAAAGTGGAGACCACTGTTCAACGAACTGTTCAAATCAAAGGATATATAGTGGAGGACAAACATGCTCTCTCTCTCTCTCTCTCTCTCTCTCTCTAATATCAAAACTAATGGTCCGATGGGTGTGGCTCTCACTGGCTCTGGCATTGTAGCACATAGCCTTGAATGGGAATGGGGACATGGACAACAAGGCTTTTCATTCGGTATATCTGATGACGTGGAGGGGTGAGAAATTTAAAGTGACCTGCCACTCTGCAATTGCAACCCTACAAGCACAGCTCCTGCTGCTGGTACGGATCAAGGTCAAAGGCTCTACTGCCACCTCATCTCCAGCACTTTCCCACGTGGCATCGGATTCTTACCTGTCAACAACTTGACGAGGAGGAGGATGAAGAGGAGGAAGAGAAGCAAAGCCCCTCTCTCTCTCTTTCTATACATATGTCCATGAATATCTGTGGTAATTTTATTTTATGCAGATAAGATAACCGAGCCAGAGAAGAACTCAAGGCAAAAAGAGATGGCCTATTGCAGCGAAAGTGATGTGTTTTAAAAAGAAAGAAAGGGCAGGCTTTTAGGCTTTGTGATGCTCGTTACGAGGACATATATATAAACATTCTCGTAGAGTCATGTTGCCTCCCTCAACAGTATATTGAAGCCATGAAAAGTACTATTCCCTTTTACTCAATCAATCTCCTTTCCTTTTTATACCAAAACTAACAAATAAATAGAAAGTATTATTCATACCAGCCAAGTTCGACAGTAGCGAGAAAGACTTTCATGAAATAGAGATGACACTATTTTACAACACGTGTGATAACACTTTTACGTTGCATACTTATTGGCCACGCCATGGGGCCAGGGATAGAAACAACTAAGTTTTTCTCCAAGTTATGACCCTTCATTCCAACATTGAATCATAGCAAGGTCTCACATTGCAAAAATTTACTAGTGAGGCGAAATCCTAAATGTTCAACTTTGTATCATTTGAATTGCCTACCCTTGGTTCTAAATAAAACCTATAAATCTGCCACCTATATAGAAATAAATGATATTGAACAAGCATTTGATTTTGATGAATTAGATCTAATTAATTGCAATTTTGAACGGGGAAACACCACATCAAATATACGTTGTTGATGGATCCACAACCACAACATCTGTACATAATTTTGTACGTGTCCGTTCAACAAACAACTTACCATTTCTGTCATGCATCTGACATGGCAAGGACAATTCAACGGGCATTTCTCGGTCTCTTGTGTTCCGTGGATCTTTGAATTTTAACGGTGAAAAAAAGAAAAAAAACAATTGAATTTTTACAGTTGAATATTAATGTTCAATGTACATACATTTTCATACGTTAAAAATATGTTTATCCCACCCATCATCCAAGAATTTAAATTTGCTTAAAATAAAAAGAAAGAAGAGGAAAAATTATACTAGAAAACTACAATCTGTAATTAGCAAAACAAGAAACTCTAATTAAACACTAGGATTACATTTTTCCTAAAATACAAACAGCACAAAGTTGACACAACTGGTCAAATTTGAAAAAGAAAAACAAGAACAGAGAGCGAGAGAGAGCTAGTAATAAATGAAAATGATGGAGGCTGGTTCTGGTGCAGATATTAAGCGGAAGCTAATCTAGAGGGAGGGAGGCAGGCAGCTATAAGATCAGATCAGATCAATGTGAGATTTGCAGACTGAAACTGATGAGACAGACAGATTTACATGGAGGCCAGGGTGGAGGTTTTTATATTAATATATTATTAGAGGGTATTATAGGTATAGCCTTTTGTTTCTAGGGAGGCGCTAGCTGTCTGTCTGTCTCGTTCGTCATCATCATCATCATCATCGTCGTCGTCGTCGTCGTCGGGCATGAAAACGCCGCCGCTTCGACTGCTGTCTTCGTCGTCATCGTCGTCGTCGTCGTCAGAGTCGCAGGTAGACACGGGCGCATCCATATCATGGTCGTGTTGATCGTGAAGATGAGGCGGCACAGGAGGGAGCAAGAGAGAAACGGGGGAGGAGGAAGAGGAGGAGATATTAATATTAATATTGTTATTAAGGGTTTGGGCGCCAACAATGGGAAGTGGGTGGGTGAGTTGCCGCCCGTCCCGAGGCGGTGAAAACACCACTGGCAGGTAATGCTCCATCTCGCACGGGAACTTCGAGTTCTTGAAATGCTCTTTCAACGCTTCCAGTCCCTTCAATTATAATAAATAATTCCACTTCATTTAATTTCCATTTCCATTTCATTTAATTACTCTCTCTCTCTCTCTTTCCTTACTCCAAAAATACAAATGCATTGCATTTAATTCATTTAATGAAAATGACCAAAATTAAAAAAGTACCTGAACTCTAGCGTAGGTGACTTCGCAGATCTTTCTGGAATTGAAGACCTCCCAATGCTGAAGATGGAAGGCCTTGTACAGCCTCCACGTTGCCTCCGGCGACGTCATGTTCACAAACCCATATCCCACATTGCACTTGTTACTGTTCATTTCCCCGAACAAACAAACACCCGCATATAATTTGTAACAGAATTTTAAAATCAAATCAAACTTAATTAAAAATTTGAAAAGAAATCATACTTGAAATCAATGGGAAGATATACGAAATCGTAGGAGGAGAAAGGCTGCTTCTGCTCATCATCATCACCATCATCACCGCCGCCGTTGGCAACAACCTGCTCGTTGCAGTGAATACAGTGGTTGTCCAGCATATTCAATAGTAGCTTCTGACTGCCACACCCCCCACCCACACAAAATTACAATTTCATTATTCAAACCACTCAGAACAACACAAAATTACTGTCCAGCATGTTCAATGTTACCTGTACTTATTGGGAATGTTCTTGATCATGACGGTGGTCCTCGTATCTGCGCTGCTGGATTCCGCCATCGCTTCTTCTTTTATTAGAAATTTAGAATCCATCTTCTTCCCTTGCCTTCCTTTCCTTCCCCTACTGCTCTTCGCTTGCTGCGGCCGCGGTGGACTCATAACAACCTGGTTCTGGCTGTTTTGGCAGCTCTTCTTTGAAGACGAGCAAGACCTTTTCGTCTGCCCCGGTACCAAATGGCTCTCTTCAACTGCACCACCCAAATTCAAACCTCCCATTTGAGCTTCAACGCTCAACGAATTCGACCTCCTCAAGCTCCCATTAGCCCCCACATTTCCCTTGCTGCTACAAATATTCGTTGATTTGTTCCTACTCGATGGAAATTGGATTTGTGGCGAGAGGCTAGCGTACAAACGGGGCGGGGGCGGGGGCGGCGGCGCCGCCAAGTTCAAACTATTGGGCCGTCTTGAGAATTTTCCGACCAGTTTCCCGCGACGTAGAAGGCGGGTAACTAACTAGAGCGTTGTTAGAATGAAGGGGTGCAATTATATTGGTAGGCGAGACCAGCGTTGGGGTGGTGTTGCCCACCGCATTCAAGTACTTCCTGCTGTGGCCTCCGGGTCGACTGAATTCGATGACAACTGGTTTGCCGTTGATTTCTTTTCCGTTCATTTCCTTGAGAGCTTTCGCAGCATCTCTCACGTCGAAGAACTCGATGAACCTTTGGTGCTTTTTCGAAGGCGTCTCTCTCAATTCCTTTACAGGCCCTGAGGAATATGTAAACACACAGCCAATTATGAAAAATTGAAACAAAAAGAGAAGAATCTAGGGCACCATGTGCCTATTGGGCATAGAAAGTAGGAGAAAGAGACCCATGAGAATTAAAAGCAAGCTTCCCCACATGAATATAAACACACCCAAAAAAAAATCCGAAAGCAAAACAAACAGAAGATGAAAGAGACTAGCGGCGGTTAATATTACCAAAAGCTTGGAAGGTGTCTTTGAGAGTGGAGGTGGTGACCGCCGAGTCCAAATTGAAAATCACGATGGTGCCTTGGTTATGGCCGTCCGGGACGGCTTTCAAGGCCGGAATCACGAATTGGGCCCACACGGGTTGACCAGCGATGAGCCCACGACCTGGAGTAACCGGAAGAAGCTGGCTAGACAAATTATTGGGCGGCAGCGGAGGCGGAGTGTTGGGGATGAAAGGATAGGAGGCGTAGTTGTTGCGAAGCCTGGTCTGCTGCTGTTGCATGTTCTGCTCCCGAAACTCCCTCAAGGCCCGCTCTGCATGCCGCAGATCGTAGAAATGGACGGTCACGATCCCTTCGCACACCCTCTCCATCTGCACCCACCTCACCTCCCCGAACCCCTCCACCTCCCTCCTCACCGTCCCCTCGCTCACGTCACTCGGCACCGAGCTCAACAGCACAGCCCGCGTCGCGGCCGCAGATGAAGGTGGAATCGGCACGCAAACGGTTGGCGCGGCACTAGCATACGCCGGGGGCGCAGCGTACTGAGCGTACGGTACGACTTCGCTGATTGGCGGGTACGGATAGAAAACTTGGTGCGGAGGCGGTGGTAGCGGTTGCGGTGGAGGAGGCCCGAAGAGGGTTAGTTGGTTCGGGTTTCTGGGTATGAACTCTTGGGCTCCCGGGTCCAGGCTTCCCGGAAACCGGACAAGACCGGTTTCTGCCATGTTGGGGGGATTTCGCTAGTCGGAAAACCACTTGGGGTAAGTGTAAATAAGGAAACAAGTGGTTTTCCGGTGAAGTGAAGAGTGAGAGGATTAGTTGGTTTTCAGGCACTGGTCAAATTCATGGCTCATCTTCCCGAGTAATACAGTACACCTCTCTCTCGCTCTCGCTCTCTCTCTCTCTCTCTCTCTCCAGCTTTCTCTCTCTGTCTTTCTGTCTTTCTGTCTCTCTGTTTGAGTCTTCTGTGTGGAAAATGGCCTGGCCTGTACTGTGATTTTAATTGTAGCTACGCATAGTAGAAAAAGCAGGCATAACAGCACAGATGGGTTTTCGCTTGGCTTTTTTCCTTTTCCACTACTTTCTTTTTCAAACCAAAGTTGCTAAAAATGTAATTTTGCCATCTAAACAAGTCGGAGAAATTACAATACTACCCCAGTGTTATTAATGATGTGTTTATAGATAAAGAATTGGAATTCTCATTGAAAATTGAATTCCAACTACAGAGGATTCTTGTGTTTACTTCACATCAAGAAATTAAAAGTATTTGGGGCCCACAAAAAATTAGAAATTGAATTCCTGATTTTGGAGGAATTAAATTCTTGAGTGAGAAGTGGTATTCTAATTCACAAAGAATTAACCCATTAGGAATTCATCTTTTTTACTCATTATATCCTCACACAATTTTAAAATTTTCAAATTCGTCATCTATTTTAACCCAACAACAATGACATTTTAGTAATTAATATCACTCCTACTCAAATTCCATATGATTTAGTAAACAACTTCAATAGGAATACAAAATCTAACTATCTTCAATCCATATAATTTAGTAAACAACTTCAATAGGAAAGCGGAATCTAATTCTCCTCAATTTAAAGAAAAATTAATGTTGGGATTGTGATGGGGTAATTTACGTTGGGTAAGGATGAGAATGGATGCGGGCCGTACACGTGGCTGATTGGACGAATGTAGTGTGTGATGATGCGCGATTGAAGGGGATGGGAAGGGAGCCTAAGACTAGAGAGGGAGGTAAAGGTACAAGTAAATAAGTTGTGCACAAAAAGGACATTTTGCCAAAACCGGACCATAATTATTGCTCTGCTGCATGGTACTTTTTATCGTGCCTGTTTTGACTAATCACAATGCTTTGCTTTATTTATTTTGTTTATTATATATTTAGAGAAGAAAATAATAAAATGTCCTTCATATCACATGTAGATTTGGGTTTTCATTCTACAAATTATTATTATCCTTCATGGGTAGCAATCAATAAAGGCAATAGGAGGACTATCTGAAAAAGTTTTCTACATAGCTTTCTCACTATTCACATGTCACATATGCACATTTTTATGGGGATTTATGTTGGTTTTTTTATTTATTTATTTATTTATATTTTTAAACAAAGGAATTGATTTGATTTTGTGAGTCAAACAATGAGAGAGAATAATAGCATATGGTCCTGCAAGTGCATCCATGCAATATGGGAAACAGGGAAAGCTATGCTTGCTTCCTCCAAGAATGTCCGCTGCTTCTTCCTGTTGGCTTTGCCAATCTAATTATTAATTTGTAGATTTAAAAGGAGTTTAATCGTGGTTGGTTTAGGGCTGCAAGCCTGCAAGGAAGCTGGTTCCGATAATCCATAACACAACTCAATTTAACCACCTGTTTCGGAGTTTAATTAAGTTTCAATATTTGTCAAGCAGACATTATTAGTTCAATAAATTCCAAATATTTTGAACTTAAGTATAAACATGCGAGCTCACTATCATTACATAACCAACTGTCCTAATTCATGTCTACAACTGTATCATATTTATCTTAATTACATATATCTTATTTAAATCAATGAAGATATAATATCATTCACCCATTCTTAGTTAATCCACCCACATGAGCTCAAATTTCGAATTACTTCCACCAAAATTGCTTTCTTTATTTTCGAGACATGAATCATTTAAAAAATTAAAATTAAAAAAAAAAAAAAAAAAAAAAAAAACAAACTGCAAACGCAGTGCAAGAGTGAGCACACGTGCGCACGCGAGTTTCCAGTATAGGGGTCCAACTCCAACATGAGACTTCTTCCAATGCCGTCACGACCACATTATTATTAGCCAAACCAAACAATTTTACAAATTAATATATGCATATATGTCTTGTCTTCGATACTTCGCATGCTCTTGTCTCGTCTCCCCCCATCCACGTTTTCCGCTATCTCTGCTATGCTAGTGTTATATTTGTCTTAAATATAAGACATGCATGTTGCATCCAAGCTACTATATATACATATATATATTTTTTGGGCCAGAAAGCTACTATAGTTTGTGTGGCACAATTCAAACATTTCGATATCCCAAAAAAACTTATAAAATATAGTTGACCTTATTAAATTTAATTTTTATTATTAAATTACTTTGATGCCTTATTGAGTGTTTTAGATTTTTTTTAATGAGGTTTTGGAGTTTGATTTGTTTTAAGAAATCGATAATAGTTTTGTAATTTATAGGAAGATCGAAGCTTCTTTATTATATTGTAAATAGGCTTTTGTGTGTTTTTAAAGTCCATTTCATATAGAGTTTTTATTTATTTATTATTATAATAATTTGGGCCCTTATATTTGGTATAATAATGAATCTCCCTTTATTTATTTACCACGCCCCTCCTCATTATGGTCTATCTGCATTATTTATTTTACTCCTCCCCAATGTTTTTTAGTGTGGTAAATTACAGTATGTTACATATATTAATGTCTCCCGCACAAATGAAATGGACATTTTCTTTACCATTTTTTAATAATAATGTGGAAGGAGGATTTCCAATGTAATTAAGGTTAGATTATATTATTAACGGTAATTAGGATAACTGTCTTCTATATAAGTGAATAATTCCCACACATATTTGACACGAACATGACAATTACAAAATGTCGATGTTTCTAAAGCAAATGTCATAGAATTACTTCAAGATAAATCCACCATCTTTGTTACTACTAGTGCTCGAATATGTTTAAGAACATGCTTTATATTGGTCACGTTTAGTCCCTAATTATTTTATAAATAGTGGCTAACTAGTTATGTTACTGTGTCCCCCATTTGCTTCACATAATTCGTGGGTCACCATACTCTCTCTCCTGCATTATATCAAGAACCCTTTTCCACGCCCACAAAAAGTAAGTGAAAGGGATGTTTCCCCTTTTAATTTTTTTATGTTTTTGTTTAAGGAGGCTACTCTCTATCAAAGTATGGTGAAAAAGTTTCCAAGCCAGCAGGCAACACACATGGAGACATTCCCTATGCTGCTCTGCTATGCTTGTTTGTAACTCAATTCTTTAGTCCATACCAAAAGCAGTGTAAATATAAAGAAAGGTCATCACTATGGATAAGGTCGAATGTAATAAAACCCTGTAGAAATCCCATGAACATTCTCATTATGCATCAACTGTTAGTAGTCGTCTGTTAACATACGAGTAACTATTTGAGAAAAGAACTCTTAGAAAGCATCCCCACTTTGATTGGCCAAGTTGGAATTGCACACAATTTGGCTCTACATTTATAAGTGGGTGGAGAATTTTGGGAGAGACAAGAAGTCCTGGAGACCATCAAGTTTTGCTTTCCCCTTGGTACCAGGAATGTTGCCTGCTCTTGTTCGTGGCTTTGGTTTGCCACCAGCCCACCACAAAACACACAAACTTTAGTGCTAGTGGTTTCTTTCTGGTTGGTGTGTAAAAATACTAAATATAAACTACACAATTATTCAGAGACCAAAAAAACCAAGTAGAATCTTGGAGAGCGTGTGCGCATTGCGGACCATGTCGTGTCCTGCAACTGTGGCGAATCGTTTTGCAACTGCCACGTAGGCAAATATACATATTCATACATACACACGTTATATTTATACATACATACATGCGTTGGGAGGAGGGTTCCTTTCCTAGTGTTTTTCTTATTTGGGTAAGAGATTCTAGGTAGCTTTTTTTATATGTTAATTTAGTTTATTATAACATTAACACCATGATCAAGAATGTTCATTGATAAAATTAATCCCGGTAAGCAGCCCAATGTGGAAAGAAGAAGTACTTTTTTACCGCCCAGATTTACAGTCCCAGAGAGAGACAGAGAGCCATGACTTTGTGCCTTGTTGTGGAATGGCACATGCAACAAGCAAATAAGCATGAGCCAAGAGGTATGATCTACCAAGAATTTCAGAAGCCCAATTCATGCTTTTGGGCCATGGTCTGGGTTTGTATTTCTGTAGTTTGTTAAACAGGTTTTATAAGGGGATCGGTCCGGAGCCCGATTTTATATGCAGTATGATCTCTAGCCCGGCCCATACACAATCATCCCTTGAGACCAAAGCTAACACTCAGTCACTGCTCAAAACACCTTGACAAGTGACCTTAAAGAATATTTCACTACAACTTCTCAAAATCAATTGAAAGTTGGATGGAGATACAAAGGTATGAATTTGAACTGTTCAAATGAATCCAGTGAACTCAGCTACCTGTTTAGTTGGAAAGCCCAGCTTTGAGGTTAGAGAAGTAAGATTTGTATCTCTGTGCTAATCCAAACATGCCTAGAGTGCCTCCAGTGTGAAGCATCACCACTGTTGCACCACCTCCTTCTGCTTCCTGTTCACGAAGGACCGTTGACATCTCCCACGCAGCAAGTGTATACACTGGATCCACTAATATACCAGTTTGTTGTGCAATGTGTTGACATGCCTCTACCTCCCCTTCTAAAACATTGCCAAACCTGAGAAATTAGGGGCGGGTTTGAATTATATATATTTTAAATAATAGTGAACTACATATGAAGAGTTGTATACATAGAATCTGGCATTTGCTTGCATGAATTAATACAAATCGTTTATGATTTTATATTTTATAAAGATAAATATACAATTGAAACATTGCAGAAGTTGTGAAGATGATGACAGCCTACTCACTTTCTTGGATGGCAACGTTCTACCCAGTGCACAAGTCCTCTATCTATTTCATCAAAGCAGTGGTCAATTTGTAGACCAAAATGCCTCTTGAAATCGGAAATCAAACGCTTCTCTTGACGTCTATACCCATCAATTGTATCAGCCAGCATCACTGCAGTTACCTCCCATGGGAGCCTGACAGGAGGCAATAACAATATTTAAAATGCCGCAACAGAAAATAGTCTGCATCACTGCAGTTATTTAGATGATCATCTCAACACACATGAAAAATATTAGATACAAGAACACACCCCAAACATTTGGCTCCAAGTCCTAAACCAACAGCTGTTGTCCCAGTTCCAGCATCTACAACAAGCTTCAAGGGCCTTTCTTTCCCAAGTATGTGATTCTGGGATAAGTACTGCACTAGGCGAATCAGGCCTACGAATAAGACAATATGAACTTCACTATCAATAACATCAAAAAAACTAGGAGAAAGTAACACCAAGCCCTCAAAGATGTGTGGAATTACATATACGAGACATAAGGAAGAATGTTGGGGGATTGGGTGCAAAAACTAGATTGTGCTTACTTGACATGTAACCACTATATAACAACCCCCTCCCCCAATGGAAAACAAGAACACACAAGAGATGCAGATATGTATACATGGAAGCATAACCAAAAAGATGATTCTTTATTCCAAATCCAGTAAAGTTACCTAGTAATGCTACAACATCTCCTGCACCTTCGTTAACAATTACGATTTTCCGAGGATGGTCACTTCTATAAGCATCCTTTTGCAAAAAGCTCATAGCACCATCATTTTCACTCAAAGAAGCCTCCAAAATATCATCAAACCATATGACATTACCACTGCTGCCTGCCAAATAATCAGCATGGCTCTTTAACATCTTTTCCCTATTGGCATAAAGAGATCTTGGAACATATGTGACATTTCCATATATTGTTGACATCAAGTTATAGCCTGTTAGTATTTCAGGCTGCTCCCCTCGTAGAAGTAAATGTGATTTTAGTCCTCTCTCCGAACATGAAACAGCTGCAAAACACACAAGTCACCACATAGGAACTATTACACCAAACCAAATGAAGAGAGAGAGAGAGAGAGAGAGAGAGAGAGAGAGAGAGAGAGCATATCGGAGAGTATCATCTAGTAATTTCAGCGAGAATTTACATACCAACAGCTGCCGCATGTGCACTTTGACAACCTCCACATGTGACCTAAAAAATAAAAAATCAGTTGAATGTTACTTGGTCTTCAAGCGAACTCAGTTTTAACGACTAACAATCCTGAAAGTGGAACACAAGTTTGCATATGCAATGCAATTCGCCAAATAAAGAACAGGAAATTTGCTATAAAAAGTATCTAGAATCCAATAACAAAGCACCAGAATATGGAGACCAAATGAAGTAACAAGCATTTCCGAGATGCAATTTAAATCTAATAAGGATCATAATAATCTCACCACATGAGTCACTGAGTGATCTTCGACAAGGGGAATCAATCCATCCAATTTTCTAGCTTTATTACCATTTATCAACGGATGCAACAGGTCATCCCTCACAATAAAGAAAGAAGGTTCTCGATCGTCCTTGTCCATCAAACCATGACTAAAATATGGGTTAATTTTGTTGAAGAAGGAAACATCAGAGAAGGCTCTGCCTGGTTGTGATACTTTGCTAGTGGAGAGCATTACTTGGTGAATTTTGGCATCTGGGTGGGGCAATGTCCATCTTCTATCAAGCAATTTTGACACAAAATCTTCACCATCCAATTTGACATTGGAAACACACTGACATGAGCGGCAAAACATTAATCAATTATCATGTGAATGAAAACTGGGCAGCAATATTTAACTAACCATAAAATCCAAAAATCAATACAACCCATTACTTGCAAGAGAAAACTAGCTCCAATTGTGCCTGTGTGTGACTATGGTTGTAACTTGTATGAGATAGAGAGAGAACCTGACTCTGAAAGCCGCGTTTGATTGCTGAAATGGTGCTTTTACTGGGAAAGCCTTCAACTTTCATACTCCTTAGGACTGGACTGGACAAATAAATCTATTAGAATCCCAAACAATAACTACAATGCAGCGCTGGGGAACTCCAGAGCTTCCATACTTCTCCTGTCTGTTTTTTTCTTCCTGTTCGTGCTCTCTTCCCACTCCTTCTCTTCCTGTTTTTTTCTTCAACTTCTTTCTTCCCGGTAATTGGGTGGGAGTTCTGTGTGGTGCAATCGTCTAACTTAGTTTGCTGGTTGTATTGCAATTTGCAACAACATTGAGGTTAGTTTTAACAAATATTCTGCAGAATCTTTTTGGGTTTTGATTTGGGGTTTTCTAGGGCAAAGGGTGTGGGTTAGTTAGTTGTGCTACACTCCGTACCATAGATGTCTCTCTTTTGCTTTGTAGATAGATATCAGATTCAGACTTACACTGAATTTGAGTATTTGAGGCTTCATCTGAATTTATCAGGCTTTTTAAATGAAGGTTGGTCAAGGAAGTGATGATTTAACTCTATGCTCATTTATCTTGTATTCCTATTGGGGAAGTTGCAGGTTTGTCTAGAAGCAGGCCAAAACTCTGCAATTAGGGAGTTAAGTCAGAGGCTTTATCTTGTATGGCACCAAACAACAGACTCAAAAATTCTGGTCCAATCCTAGCCAGCCCAATCCAATCCTGTCTTGTCCAATCCGACTCACCACGGCCTAAATTCCCTAAAGTTTATAGGGTTTAAGGTTTATCAGTTTAGCCTCTAAACACCAAACCCCCACAATGAATTCTCACCGCACCCTTACCGGCATGTCGCCCGAGCAACTCTCAGCCTCGGGCTCCGAGAAGCTGAGCTTGCCTTCGCTTCAGTCGAAGATGAAGTGCGACCCGGAGGGGTACGAGTCGGAGCTTCACCTGATCTATAATCAATTCAAGTCGTCGCTGGAGCTCTTCAAGCAACAAGCGGATCTTGGGTTCAAGTCGGTTAGCGGCATTAGGAATGACCCGGCCGTGGCGAAGGACCTTGGCGATCGGGCCATGTTCTTGGCTCACGTCACCCCTTTTTACCCGACCCATCTGGCCCATTTCCCCGCTCAGCTCGCCGAATTTCTCCGCTCCTCCGCCCGAACACTTCCGTCGGGGCTCTGCTTGCACGTCACCCAAGCTCTCATTCTTCTCATGAATCGAAAGGTGCATGTAACGGATGTGAATTGTAGAATTTGTTGAAAATATTGGGACTTTAGCGTTGAGCTGTGTTTGGTTGCTGAGAAAGTGTGCAAAATACTAAAATTATCTTGCTTAATTCCAGTTTTTCCTTTTTGGTTGTGTTTGTAGATGGTGGATATGGGAGACAATCTAGCTTTGTTCATGGAGCTACAGACTTTTGGCAATAAGGCATTGAGAAACCTGGCATATTCTCATGTGGTTCATAGCATTAAGAGAATGAATCAGAAACATAAGAATGAAGTGAAGAATCGGGCACTTCAGAATGTCTTGTTTGAGATGCTTCGGGTTTGTTAATGCGTTTTCTTTCTTGTCAAAATTTCAGGACTTTGTTAGTCTGGTTCTTGTAATTTTTTTTTTTTTTTTTTTTTTTTTTTTTTTTTTCTTTTTGTAGAAGGATGAAACAAAAGCGAAGAGGGCGCTTATCACGCTACGAGAGCTTCACCAGAGAAAGTTGTGGTTCGATGAAAGAACAGCCAATGCAATTTGTACTGCATGCTTTCATCCATCGTCAAGGTATGCATTGCTTTTTTTTGGGTGGTTTCTGTGTCATTTGTAATGTTGTGTGCGAAAGCTTACAATTTGTGTTTGAATTTGTTAGGATAATGATTGCTTGCCTCTCATTTCTGCTGGATTACGAGAAGTTTGAAGATGATGATAGTGATGCATCAAGTAGCGAAGATGAAGCTCCTCACACACCTCAAATAGTCCTTAGTAGAGAGTCTATTTATAAGGTCAGTTTTGCACTATTACTTTAATGTTATTTCCAACCAGTTTAGTTGATGGCACTAGGGTTGAGTTACACTATTTTGGGGCATTTGATTGAATTCTAATGAGAACTCGCATAAGTACAATCAACCGTGTTCTTTTCATTGTCTTTTAGGCACACCATCAAGGTACAATTGCTAGCAAGAAGAAAAAGAAAGCAAAACTACAGCGTGCCATGCGCAGTATGAAAAAACAGCAACGCCTGTCATCAGAAAAAAGTAATTCAAATTATCATACGCCACTTAATCATTTGAAAGATCCACAGGTTTGTCTGATTTTATCATCTAGCTCATATTTGTCAATCTTTCTCTTTATTAAGAAGGATGTTTGACAGTTCATTCTTCCTGAAGGGATTTGCTGAGAAGCTATTCTCCCGCCTTCAAACCTGCAATGAACGATTTGAGGTAAATAGTTACATTTGTAGAATTAACAAAGAACATCATACATGTACACTTGTCTTTTGGAGAAAGTTGTATATTGCTTGCCCAATTATTGGAATACTATCATAGCAAATGAATACTAACTGTGTTGGATCTTTTAATTTTGGATTTTTTATTCATTCGGCTCTCAATTATGTCATAACAACGAGTAGAGCCAAACACTTACGTATGCGAGAATTTTGTGTCTTGTTTCTATCTAATTAGTTTACATTGTTAATGAATTGATGCTGGACATTACACTTAAGGTCAAGATGATGATGTTGAAAGTAATTGCTCGCACGATTGGGCTTCACCGCTTGATTTTGCTGAATTTTTATCCTTTCCTTCAGAAATATATTCAGGTACATTATTTGACCCATTCACTGAATGTAATGTATTATTCTCTTGAGAGTTGAATTGTGACTATATTGGTATCACAGCCTCACCAACGCGATGTCACAAGTTTACTTGCTGCAGCAGTTCAGGCCTGCCATGATATGGTTAGTTGGATATTCTGTATTGTCTGATTGGACCTAGACAGAATCACTTTTTCTTTCCTGTCCTAACTTTTATTAACTTTCTTAAAGTCCTACTGCTAATTCCAGTGAACCATTGTTCATTTACTAGTGATGAATTAACCTTTCTTAAAGTTAACTTTGATTTTCTTTCTTGTGAGCAGGTTCCTCCTGATGCAATTCAACCACTTTTCAAACAACTAGTGAATCAATTTGTACATGATCGCTCACGTCCAGAGGTGTTGCTTCATTAGCTGCTCTGTTTTAGTATATTTTTTTAATGCCTTTCGTATATCTCTGATCACTTGCTTTTTCCAGGCCATAGCTGTTGGACTGAATGTAACGAGGGAACTATGTTTACGAATTCCTTTGGTAACAACCTATTTATACCATTCGACCAAAAAACAACCTATTTACACCATTTGGTTTCTGGCCTTGCTAATATTATGGGTTATTTGAAGGCTTCCTTAATTATTTTTTGTTTTGTGCATCTAGTTGATGACCGAAGATTTGCTGCAAGATCTTGCATTATATAAGAAATCACATGAGAAAGCAGTTTCAATAGCAGCCCGTTCACTTATTGGTTTATTCAGAGAGGTTCTCTCTCTCTCTCTCTCAATTTATTTATTTCGCATGCATGGATTTCCATGAACCATGTTGCAGCGGAAGGCTGACTATTTAGTGTACGTGCAGATTTGCCCCTCACTGCTGATAAAGAAGGATCGTGGGCGCCCTACTAACCCAAAGGCAAGACCAAAAGCGTATGGAGAAGTCAACGTACTCAGCAATGTTCCTGGTGTTGAACTGCTAGAAGAGGATGATGGCAATGAGGATGGTGATGATGCTGATGAAGCTTCATTAAGCGGCACTGATGATGATCTTGATCACGATGAGATGGTTGCTTCCAGTGATGATGAAGACAACCATATAGCTAACAGTGACAGTGGAAGTGAAGAGGATTCCGTAGTAGCTGAAGATGTAGATAGTGATGGTAGTATAGATGACAACGACAGTGATGTCAGTGGTGATGAGGATGATGAAGAGGATGAGGATGACGAAGACGAAGAGGATGAGGAGAATGAATCCAACAACAATGATGCCAAAGATAGTGGAACAGGAGTAAAAGATAACAAAGCCAAAAAGAGGAAGGTTGCAGATTTTGATAAACAACTTACTGATGCTGATGCAAGTCTTCGTGCTTTAAAAAGATTGGCCAAAGAGAACATGGAGCACACTTCTTTGGACTCAACAGATTGTTTTCTTTCTAATGAGGACTTCCAGAGGATTAAGGAATTAAAGGTTTGTTTTTATTTGTTCAGTTGGAGCTGAACTTAAGTTGATGCCAAAGGTGAAACATGTTGTAATCCTGTAACCTTGGGACATGAATAAAATTAATGTTTTTAATCTCTCTTAATCGTTACATTCTGACCTCTTGTAGATGTCATAAGACCGTGTCCATTATTTGATTCTTCATTTTGCCAGGCAAAGAAGGATGCCAGATTTGCTTTGACTCAGCATGGATTGTTGAAAAAGGGTGCAGATTCCAAATCGCCAGCATTCAAGATTCCCAATTCGGATGAACTGAGCATTAAGCGAGTAGATCCTGCAAAGCTTGAAGTAAGTTTTAAATCATTTTACTGGTCACGCTGCTCTCAGTATGCTTCTTCGGATGCATATAAGAAATAATGCATCCTAAGTAGAGATAAATAGATTGACAAAAAGTTTTTAGAAACGTTGGAATTCTTGATAAGTCCTATACCTGCATTATTTGCTTCAAAAATCCTTGTAGTTATTCTACTGGCCTTGGCGTCTTATAAATCCAAGGGAAAAGAAAACTATAAAGCTTAAAAAACGCCATGTTGTACCTTTTCTTTATTTTCATTGACCCAATTGAGTGTCTACTATGTAGGTCCACGTGAAGAAAAGGATGAGCAAGGAGGAGAGATTGGCATTGGTGAGAGCAGGGAGGGAGGACAGAGGGAAGTACCAGGCTCGAGCTGCTATAAAGCAGAAGAAGGTATGTTAATTGGATCTCACTAATTGCTAGAATACTGTTAATGTATTTAGTACTTAGTTCACCTTAGAATCAAATGCTTAGAATCCATGGCATCTCCCTTTTTCCTAACAATCGCTAGCTCTGACTAAAAAAGACTATATCTGGCAGAAGATGTCTATTTATTTCCATTTTACTTATCTTTTTTTTTTTGGGTCAAATTTTATTTATCATGTTTAGTGTTCTTAAAGCCTCTTTTTTTTTTGATGAAATCTTAAAGCCTCTTTAATATGTTGTGTAATCCAGTATCTGGCATAGCATAGATCCTCACCATTCTCACTTTTGCTTTTAAACCTTTCTGGTTCCTTCTATGATACAACTACTAGGGGATCATATCTTCAGAAAAATAAAGAGAAAAAATAAGTGAATAGTGAGTTCCAATAAGGTCATGCTGCGACATTGAACTTCTTTAACATGTATTTTCATGAATGCCAACAGACGGGTGGTATGAGCAATCGGCAGAAGGAACACAAGAAAGCCATGCCTCTTGCTGCAAAGAGGGCAAAGGTAGCTAAATCTCGTATAGATAAAAAGAAAAAGCAGCAGCGGGCTGGCAAACAATTCCGAGGGAAGAAAGCATGGAAATGAGGAACCTCATCAGTTTATCTTTTTCTTTTCTCCCCCTACTTTTTACTTACAAGTGAATTGAAAGAGTTTGTTATTTATGAACAAGATGCCATTATTTTTCCTTAATGAGGATGCCCGTTTGTAGTTGTGGCTGCCTCATTTCTCAAAAGAGACGTTTATAGGGTTTTGTATTCAAAAACTTGTGACAGATTTTGATGACGCTTTCAAGGCAAGAATATGTTCGGCCATAAATTTTCTTCAACTGTTATTTAATGTATTGTAGGAAACAAAATTCCTACGGATTCAGACCTAACTTCCAACGTGCATTTTGGTAAGTTCTGTTTCTATCTATAATTTGATTTTTAAAAAAAATTACTTGTTATAATGTATTCAAATTTGTAGTTTCAATATCATAATCAGTTGTTAATTGAAAATTAAACACTGCCCAGAAGCCGCTCCATGGACGATGTAATGTCCCAAGTGAATGTGTGGAGACGATAGAAACCATAAGAAAACTATAATTACGGCATCGAGGAGTTGTTTTCTATAATACGGCCTACAAATCAGATTTAGGGCAAGGAGGCCCCAAAGGGGAAAAGTAAAGAAAAATGGGAAGAAGGGAATAAATCATAGGACCCAGGATTTAACAGAACAAGCTTGGCCAAGAGACGCCTTACTCTTCCCCAGAACATGAGGGCAAATCACTAGGCTGGCCAAAAATATCAGGAATTCCTTCCCAATTCTTCTTCTCCCTAGTTTCCCAATACCCACCTGCATAACTATAACAACCATCCTCGTCTTTTCGAAACCATCTTGGCTGCCAACCTCTCTCTTGCAACTTCCTCGCCTGCATCACGAAATTATCAACAGTTGCTCAATACATTATTACTTCATGTAAGAAATGGAAGAATTAGAACTAGAGTTCTAAATCTCGGAGTTTCAAGGTTATAAAACACTTTTGCTTTTGGCTCAGAATTAGATGCAATGATGCATAAAACAGGAGGGGGATACCTGTCTTTGTAGCTGTTCTAGTCTTAGTTTCTCTGCATTTGCCAATTCATATTCACCGTTCTCCAAATGTCTTTGATCTGGCCTTAGCCTTGAGTCTGTTGGAGGTAATTTCTCCAATAAGCCAGGTGTTAATTCATTCAGAGATATTGCAAAAGGAGAGAGATTGTATCTTGTCTTGGTAGCATAGTTATCTCTTTCCCAGAGCAGCACGGCCTCTGTCATTGGATCATAACCCTTTTGTTTTGTAGTTGGATCACCCAGCACATAATACATTGCCTCGTCCCACTTGCCCACCAACATTGCTACTTTCTCTCCAGTTCTGTTGTCTTGAACAAATCCATGAACCTGGAATTTTATGAACAAGGTCATATACATGTAATACCCGTTTTACCCCAACAAAGGCAAATTTAGCACCATTTATAATTTCTTTGTTTGCGCATAAATCAGGCCTAAACAATAGTATAACATAGGCATAGAGTAATCCAACAGCCTCTCTCCTATAGTGAAAATACAAATACCTCCCCCCTGTATTTTTCAAAAATTACTGTGACCTCCCCTGACAGTCAGAAGTAGTAAACTCTTAAGACTTGAGACTTCAAACGTATACTTCTTCCCGTGTAAAGCAGAAAGAAAAATACACTCATGCAACACACCAATGCGAGGAAAAATGATGAAATGTTTGCTGTAATATATTGTGCCAGTTATCCCTCCTTTTGCAATCACTAAACTAACCTGATGTGGATTTCGGTCTATGATAGACTGCTCCTTGAACTTTAGCTTGCAGGAGTAATTGCCACTTCCACTGATGCGCATGGTGCCATAGTGGTCACAATAAATTTTTCCTAGTATGATATTGTATATAGAAGTAGTGACCTTGCTCCACTGAAAAGTCTCCCCGTCCTCAAACTGCAAGGAAAGGACACCCACAGGATCAAGCTGAATAGAACGCCCCCAAAACTTGCCCTTGAGATTGGAGTCTGCCCAGAATTTCCAACCTCTGCCTTCACAGTGACATGCAACAACCATTGGGTGGTGACTCACCTGAGTGCAATCTGACCTTTGTTAGACAACAATCAGTAATTCATTAAACATTTGGCAATTTACTGAGATACTTCCAATTCGATGAGTCCAAACAAGAAGCAACAAAGGGCTGCTTTTATCTTTTATCATTCTTCATACTTGAGGAATAAAAATCTAGTAAAAGGACCTATTAGACATCAACACTAAAATTGTCAACATGCATTACCTTTTCAGAGAAAAAACGAAGTCCTTTATCTGGATAGTCAGCTTCATAGGTCTCCCCAAGAAGAGGATTAAAGGGTTTGCACTGCCGACCTTCTGTTGATGCATAGCCAGAAACAGCAAAAGCTGCAACGTTTAGAATTCTCATTAAATCATTCCCCTGCACCACATGAAGTCCAACGTTTAGATACAGAAAAATCTGGAACTTTTACGATGGAAACTTGGTTGATCCAGTTATTCTCATCTCTCCTCGAAACAATACAGGAACTGGTGAAGAACTAACCTGCTTTCCCCATTCCAATGCTCGATCAACCAAGTTCGAATACTCCAGATCTTCAAAGCACTTTTGTAACGAAGAGAGGGGTTCATTAAAATAAACAGGAAGACAGACTCCAGACAAGTCCTTCCCAATATTATCCTTGATAATTGACCACAAGCCAACAGGTTTCTCTTTCTCCTTTGGTTCTGGAAAATTATCCCTCCTTTTCACATATGGATATTTAACTGTCCGGATCTCCTCAACTCCATGCAATCGATCAGAAAAGAAGGAATCTCTATCATATAAACAACCATTGCCCAAACCTTCCCTACTCCGATGGGAAGCACTTCTTAGAGTATCTGAAGACAAAAAATCATGTGTATCAAAATATGTTCCTTTAAAATAAAAAATAAAAATCTCCATCATTTACACAATCACTTCTCATACCTTCCCTACTCCGATAGGAAGCACTCCTTAAAGCATCTGAAGACAACATATCATGCGTATCAAAATATGTTCCTTCATCTTCATCTGTTTCAACATCTGCTCCATCTTGACTTTCATTATCTGCGTCAGAGTCACTTGCACTGCCCTCTGATAAGACGGAGTAGAAATCTGTGGCATGAAATATCGTTGCATATATATCAGGAACTGAGTGTGGTGCGTGAAACCTTTTGAGTAGCAATAAAACTAAAATAATCGAAATTCCAAACATGACTAACCACTAAATCTCCTATTCCCCTGTCCGCAGTAGGACTCACGCTCCTTTGTTTCATCTACTACTGTAGTTTCCAGCTCTATTTTCTCCGTCTGCAAAAGAAAATTTAGATATGGTTTTACTTTCCAAACTAGGAAGCGTTGCACCACCACATATGGCAGCACATGCATAAAACAGAAACTGAGTAACCAGATGCATGGAAATCTGGTAAAACGCAACACTGCTAGAGTATATTCAAATTATTAAGCAGAACGCGATGGAAGAAATACCTCCAATTGTCTCAAAGTGTCTAACAACATCACATGTTTACTCTGAAGAGTCTTCAACCGATTTTGCAGCTCGGAGACTTCTAAGAGCATAATTGACTCGCAGTCTTTGATCACCGGCTCACCAACACCCTCCTGTGCTAATCTTAATCTTAGCTTCTCTGTTGAAACAACTATATCTTCTGAAGGTACTAAATCATGGCTTGTCAACACTCTAGGGAAAAGATCTTTAGCACCCAGCAGTGCCTCAATCCATGCAGCTCTGCCCTCTCTAGATACACAACGCAAGTGAAGAGTTTTAGTTCCTGTGAATATGGAAAGCCTTTTATCATCTGACTTGCTGGCACGAATTGAAGAGACCTGTAGACCAGACCACTTCAAATTCAGTAACCAATAACTCAAAAGTATAGATCATGAGCATATATTTTTGTACATCATCATGCAAAACACAACTACGTACAGTACTTACATCACAACTCAAAAAACGTCGTGCAAACATATTTGAGTTCTTGTTGGGTTATTCAATATTGAGAGAGGATTGGGTATCAGAAGGCTAACATTGTTGTGCTCGCACAAATATGCGGTATTTTCCATTGGGTTATCACAAAATAAAATTTACTACCAATCTGGTCATTGTCCATGAATCTAATGTACTTTTATGAATCTTACTCATTTCCGGTCCTCATACATATATATTTAAACTTACCCATGAAAAGTGCTGGAATATTAAACAATTTTTGTAGCTTTCCAGAGCGCCACCATTCATATTGCAGCAACAAGTACACAAACTCAACCAAACGACGCAGATAAGCCAAAGTTAACTCAATGCTTTCTCAGTTGCTAAATATATCAGTACCAATAATAGCATTACTAATATAAATCACCAATTTGCAAATAAAACGCAATACTAGCAAGCATCACAGTTTGCGATTAAGAAAAGCCAAACCTTCAAATGGACTTCGCCGAAAGGCTTGCAAGGCCTCGCCGGCGCGCCAAGCCGACTATTACTCCAATTAGCCTTCTTCATATACCTCAACGAGTCTTCTCCGATCACCCTCAAGCCTTTCTCCCGGACCGGGCTCATCAAAATCTTGTCCGGTCCGTGAACCTTGTAGTACGAAAGCACACCGTCTTCGAGCACAAACCACCTCGACCTCCATCCCTTCCCGTAGTTCACCCACTTGTACAAAATCCCAGCCACGCTGCCACTGACGCCTCCATTGATACCAAACACCTTCGAATCCCTAGCTTCGCTGATCGTATCTTCAACCTCGTGTCCCGCAGTAACGGAAGCCCTGTCCGATTCGGTACCGGCCGACGATACCTGAGCCGAGTAGCTCGGCTTCGAGCCGTAACTCACGTTTCGGATCGGAGCCTCGGGCCCCAACTGGCACTGACTTGACTGCTTGGCCGCTACCGGACTGGCCCGGTCCCGATCGATCGAAACCGGCGCAATGCAGCACAGCGGGTTCATAGTGAGCACTACCAGACCATTCAATCAAACAAATCGCTCAAATGCAAATCCCATCCACCGATGCTGATCAAACGGCTCCGATTTATGGAAATGCAGAATCCGATCGCCAACGAAACGTTTCGGAAATGACATAAAGCTGGGCCTCAAAACGGAGCCTCTGCTTGTAGCCTTCGTAGCCTTTTAGCCTTGGACAAATCTCAGAGAGAGACTTATGAAGAGCTCTGCTGCGCACACAGATCCATTTAAGACACCTCTGCTGCGCTGCTGCTCAGTAATTAAATTTTTTTTTTAGAGCGTAGGTTAAAGTTTAAACACACTTTAAAAGCTTCATTTGTGTCAATTAATAATAATTAAAGGCGCTATGCAATTTAATTATAAATGCATGGAGGTTGGTTTTTGGGTTTTTGGGGGCATAATTGTGGTGGAGGCAGACAGCCGACAGCTAACGTGCGCATTTGTGCACAGGTAGTGATTGGGTGGGGAACCATTCGTCCGGTGGGAGCTATGAAGCTCCATCTGAAATGACGTTACTGCCCTTCTCCGTTTGGCGCAATCGTTACGCGGGCTGATGACCATTGCGGGGTTCGGAACGGCCGCGTTTTGGGATAATTCGAAAGCGATTGGTGGAAGTGGAGGAACGAAGGGGAGGAAAGGGAGGGTTTGATCGCGTGTGTGGAAGAGGGATTGTGGGCGGTGGAGCTTCGGGGCGCTTGGGCACTGTTGTGCTGATCGATTGGTTGCTGTTGACTTGTTATCAGTATATTGGAAAGTGATTGGCTGGGTGAGGTGCCACCTGGCGGAGGTTGTTTTGTCTGGGATTCCAAAAGTGCAAAGGTTGTTTGTGAGATTCAATAATTACAATGATTACGTGTACGCAGGTGATTTAGATTAGTATAAGACAAAATGTTATCTCATCATGTTTAAGGTTGAATGTTACATACGTTATTTCCAGAGGGAAACATAGAAAGTTACGACCATTTTATTAAAAAAAAGTATATATAAAAAAATAAATAGAGTGATAGAATAGAACCTCGTTGTTGTCGCATACCCAAAAATCATCAATCCTAATGTATTAAAAAAATACAAATTTATAAATAAACCCAATCCTATACATGTATTTATAAAAAATCCAAGCACTATTTAAACATAGAAACACACCCAAAATCAACAATTGTATATTTTTTAGGTGTGTTTATAAATGGGTTTTGAGTGTGTGTAATGATGAGTTTTGGGTGTGTTTATAAAGTGTTTTAGGTGTTGGATTTTTTTTATAATTTCAGCCCCCATTTTGAGTGTTTTAGTGAAACTCCCTTAAAAAAAAATGATGATTGTAATTTTATCTCTATCACTTAGCTATTCAACAAATTATATTTGTTATACATTTTTTATGTGTAGATTAAGGTTCTGTTTGGATTTTTTTTATAATCAAAAACCTGTTTCACTTTAAAGTTGATGAGTTTAAGGTATTCGGTAAAAATAAAATATCATGATTATTTTAAAAATAATGGTCTTTTGACATCAACTTTTAAAAGAATAAGCGATAAGCCTTTACTAAAATTTTTCAATTCTCATAATACCATCATTATTTTTTTAATATGACATCGTCTACCACCACCACCACCAACTCCTCCATCTTTATCACCACCACCACATGATTAGTACATAACACTTTCAACATTATGTCTATTTTAGTAATTATTCATAGTTATAATAATTTTATATTAAAATTTACCAAACGGTTTTGACACAACTTTTTATACTAACAATACTTTAAAAATATTGTTTACCAAACATGAAACCGCTTTACTTTACAAATGATTATTTTCAAAGCACTACGAAAGTTGCTTTTAAAAATTAAAAAAAAATACCAATCCCAAACTAGCATTAGTGGACATCAAAATGATTTCTTCTTTTGATTTGCATGGGAATGTTATATTTATTAAATTGAATGCAAATTTCCTCTATATGTATAAAGCAAAAAATCTTTATGGTTAAATTATTTGAATAACCAAAATTTGCCCTTATTTAATAGAAGTTTTCAAAATAAATGCAACAATTTCATTTTTAAATGGACAAATATGTGGAACACTAATCTATTAAAATATAAAAAATTAAAAACAAAATAGAGTTTATAATCAAACAAAAAAAAAGAAAAAAAAACTAAAAAAATGTTATGAGACTAGGGGGAATTGTAGAGAGCAAAGAGGAAGAGAAAAACAAGGATTTTGTTCTATGAACTTGTATCAACTTATCTTATTCATCTTTGATAAGCACCTATTTATAGGCTTACAATAGAGGTATTTAACCCACAATTTATAGCTACTAATTACAATAATAAGGGCATTGGTTACAAAGCAATAAGGGGTGGAGGTAATGAATGTTATGGTGGTCATTCACATTCCATAGATTTATAACACTCTCCTTGGATGTCTACTATACAATGACATTGTTGCCTCATTAAAAACCTTGCTTGGAAAACCCAGTGGGACAAAATCGAAGATAAGGGAAAAAGAGTACAAATTTCTTTTGGATCATTGATATGGTGTTGGACAAGCTTATGTTGCCTCGTTAAAACCTTGTTAGGAAAAACTTAGTCGAAGGGAAAAATAGTACAATGCGCATATGTCATGTATGTAGTAGAATTGGGATGCTCCCCCTAATTGATATCTCCCCCTAATTAATATCTCCCTATGATTTTCATTAACTTCTAGAATCTAAGCTTCAGAAAAAGCTTTGGTAAAAAGGTTCACCAAATTATATTGTGAAGGAATTTGTTTAACTCCAATCTCTTGGGCTTTTTCTGAAGCTATGTCACCCTTGTTGAACCCTTCTTTGATTTGAGCAATACAAGCAACATTATCTTCATACATGATCATTTATCATACTATTCAACCTGCTCTTCACTTTTCAAATGATTAAACTCTCTAGGAGCATCAACAAATTTTTCTAATAGTTAAAATATATCACAATAATATTAAATTTGAATTCCTACTTAGACTCTTAGTCTTAACTCTTAATTAAGAATATTGTGACACTTTATGTCCTTCAATGGGTCCCTTCAAGTGATATATCTCAAATGTTTCATGAGTTTTAAGGATTTCCATGTACCATACAATCTCAGTAAATATGCATTTAACACATGTTATAAGTTTCACGTTAAAAATAACCACTGTATTTATAGAAATGTGGATGCATCTACAATAGGATGGGAGACTAAAATTGGGTCTCTATCAAAAAAACCTTATGTCATATTAGTGATCTTATTTCACTTCACAAACACCAATCCGTAACCTTCATACTTAACATTTATAATTTGGTGTTTAAGTTATAGGTTCAATATCCAACACTTCATATTTAGTGATGTTGACGCAGAAAAATGGTTCGGCACTTTCCCGCGCAACTTAGTGATTAAGTCTCTTCGGTATCTGATGTCCTCGGTAGGGTGTGTGATCTGTAAGATAGCAAACACACGGTAAATCCTAGGGCACCGGTGTGGTACCGGCCGAAGGCTCTCCGATGCTTAAGTAAGTACGGATTTAGTAAGTTTTAACTGCAGATCAATAGGCAGTATGCCGTAAGTTCTGATTGATTACCTTCAAGCTGGGATGGATGTCCTCTTTTATAGGCCTTGGGAGGTGTGCAATTTGCTTAGAGTTTCGATGTGGGACTCTGGGCGTCAGTTGTGGGGCTGCCACGTGTCGGAGAGGAGAGATTGCCCTAATGTTGCCATCGGTAGGTATGGTACCGAAGGCGAGTGCCGAAGGCACACGTAGCCCTGGTTTGGTCCACGTGTTTGATATTCATTGGGTGTTCATTTTGGTATAATAGGAATATGAGGGATACTACCGAACCGCTGGCATTTGTCACACCTCTTAACTAGTGCGTTCGCATCCTGGTTTTTTTTTTTTTTTTTTTTTTTTTTTTTTTTTTTTTTTTTTTTTTTTTTTTTTTTTTTTTTTTTTTTTTTTTTTTTTTTTTTTTTTTTTTTTTTTTTTTTTTTTTTTTTTTTTTTTTTTTTTTTTTTTTTTTTTTTTTTTTTTTTTTTTTTTTTTTTTTTTTTTTTTTTTTTTTTTTTTTTTTTTTTTTTTTTTTTTTTTTTTTTTTTTTTTTTTTTTTTTTTTTTTTTTTTTTTTTTTTTTTTTTTTTTTTTTTTTTTTTTTTTTTTTTTTTTTTTTTTTTTTTTTTTTTTTTTTTTTTTTTTTTTTTTTTTTTTTTTTTTTTTTTTTTTTTTTTTTTTTTTTTTTTTTTTTTTTTTTTTTTTTTTTTTTTTTTTTTTTTTTTAAAATTTTCCACTTCTCTTTCTCCCTGCAAAACAGATCGGGGTAAAAGGACCACACCCGGGGGGTGTTGGCCAAAGGCCCTCCGATGCCTAAGTTAGGTAGGGTATTTCAAGGAAAACCGGGTGGCCGGAGCCGTGTGTGGTGGCCGGAGCCTTGTGTCAGAGAGAGAAAGAAAGTGGTGGCTAGGGTTTGCGAGAAATAATTTCTGCAGAGTTTCAGTAGGAATTTAGACGTACCTTGACCTTTGTGCGTAGCCAACTATTTATAATGGTCTCGGAGATTAGGGTTTCAGAGGAGTAATTCCGTAGTTGGTAAGGAATTATTCCTCCCTGATTTGGCATTGATTTAATTAATTAGGGATTTGATTTATTTGGGTAAATCAAATCCCTAATCGTGGTAGGTATCAGATCAAATCCCAATCTAATTAGGTAACTCCTCATTTAATTGGGAATTGGGGTAGGAATCAAATCAATTCCCAACTTAATTAGGTAATTCTCAATTTAATTGGGTAACTCCCAATTAAATTGAGTAACTCCCAATTAGGCTGAGTAATTCCCAATTAGGTCAAATAATCCCCAAATGGAAGGAATTATTTGACCTAGGGTTTTGATTTAATTGGTTCCCACAAATGCCCCCCAGCTTCTGCATGGCGCGTGGTGGCATGTAGGAGATGTGAATTGTCTGTTGGGCTTTCCAGCTGTAACTGGACTTCCTTCTTTAATTTGGGCTTCTGCGTGGAGGAGGCTTTTTACTTGCTAATTTCCTGAACACCTGACTGGAAAGTGTTTGAGATTCCTTGTAGGTCAAGGAATTTTGATCCTTATAAATATAGGGCTCCCTCAAACTATTTTCACATCACAATCTGATCCTCCAATTTCGTCAGTGAGAGAGAAAACTTTAGAAAATTGCTTCAGCTGGCTTTGTTCTCGTCACACACCCAAGGTAATTTGTCTTGGGCAGCATATACATTTTTCCTTTTGTTCTGACTTTTGGCTGCAAGGAGGTGGCCCGTGCCTTGTGATTGGACGGGGGTATGATGGGAGGTCTGGCAGGCTGGCAGGATCAGGCCTTGCACTTGTTGGGCTCGAAACAGGGGCATGGAGGCGCTGGACCAAGAGCTGGAGCAAGGGGGAATTGGGCCATCGCGCGACATGGGCTTGCGCTAGGCAAGCTGGCCACGTGCTCCAGTTTGGGGCGGTCTGGCGCATCACCTGGGCCTCGCATGCGTAGCGGGCCTCGCTGGGCGCTAGAGCTGGGCTGGAATTCGCGCTGGGCTGGAGGCGCGAGATGGGCTGCGCGCGCTGGGCTGCTTCTTCTTTTTTTTTTTCTGCTGTTGCTGTTTTTTTCTTTTCTGATTTTTTTTTGTTCACGAGCTAGGGATTTTAACCTGCAATTTCCTTTGTTATTCTTTGCAGCCACTCAACGACCATGTCTTCTGAAAGAAGGAGCCGATCACCAAGCTCGCAAGTACCCTTGTACCTATGGGGTGGCTCTCAAGTTCCCAAAGAGAAGTTTGTGGCCAATCTGCACCGTGTCACCACCGAGGCCCAGTTCAAAACATGGCGTGCCCTTTTCAATTTCGCCATTCCCAAGGACGTACATGTCAAGTTAGCAGAGCCCTCATCCGACAGCGTACCACGGGTGGATTCGAACAATCCAGGTGCCAGGATCATCACGTTCCGCCCCTTCTATTTCTCGCTAGGCTTCACGTTTCCGATGTCGAAATTTTTCAGGGATGTGCTTTGCGCCATGGAGTGTGCCCCGAGCCAGTGTACTCCAAACGTTTATCGAGCGGTCATCTGCTTTGAAAATTTGAGTCACTTCTTCAAGCTAGATTTGACAGTGCAGGAATTCTTCTATTTCTTCGAGGTGAGACGCTTCGAGAAGTATGCCCAACTTCGTGCGCGCAAACCCAAGTTGTTTGATAGTTTAAGTCAAGGCGATCATGTGTGGAGCAAGGATGTGCTGGAGGTCAGTGGCAGATGGGTTTTTTTTTTTTTTTTTTTTTTTTTTTTTTTTTTTTTTTTTTTTTTTTTTTTTTTTTTTTTTTTTTTTTTTTTTTTTTTTTTTTTTTTTTTTTTTTTTTTTTTTTTTTTTTTTTTTTTTTTTTTTTTTTTTTTTTTTTTTTTTTTTTTTTTTTTTTTTTTTTTTTTTTTTTTTTTTTTTTTTTTTTTTTTTTTTTTTTTTTTTTTTTTTTTTTTTTTTTTTTTTTTTTTTTTTTTTTTTTTTTTTTTTTTTTTTTTTTTTTTTTTTTTTTTTTTTTTTTTTTTTTTTTTTTTTTTTTTTTTTTTTTTTTTTTTTTTTTTTTTTTTTTTTTTTTTTTTTTTTTTTTTTTTTTTTTTTTTTTTTTTTTTTTTTTTTTTTTTTTTTTTTTTTTTTTCGAGGCAGCTGCTGTATCGACCTCCGATTTTCGGCCGGAGACGACGGCGATGGCTCGGGTTTTAAAAAGGAAGATTGAGTCGTGAGTTGTGTACAGATGGCTAGCCATTATTGACCCTCATGATGATCCGTTGCCCGGCTTTGGAGTAGAGAGAGCTGCTGTGAGACGGGACCTCGGGCGCATATACAAGCGAGTTGGGAGCCTTGTGGCTGGTCGTTTTATGTACAGGAAATAAATTTTGTCACTTTGTGAGGGCTGGTGTGTTAGCCACGTGGAGGTGGAGATGGGACACGTAGAAATTGGTACGAATCTCAAGGTTCACAAAAGGAGAAGGTTGCCGGTGGTCTGTCCTGGTAGTTTAGAGGAATGAAGGAAGTGGGGCATATTGTAGCTTTAACAGGACCGAATTATACGAATACGATGGGTACAACAAGGACTAGTCTGGCTTTGCCGATTGTCCTCTTTGGGGCTGTGAAAGGAGAAAGAGAATATGCTAAAGCCGTTAAACGAGATATTGCGGGTCACAACTGGGCCTCTCGTGTTATACCGTGTGTGCGTGAGCTGTCACGTAAAATTAGAGGAAAATACTTGAGGGGATCCCTTCTTCTGCAGGTAACTTACAGTCATTTTCTCGGCGTTATTTTCTCCTCTAATTTATCTGTAAGAAAAATAACTCCTTCAACAAGTAAAGTTCGAGCACTATCCAATAGAAAAGTTAAATTGATCTGCAATTTAAAAATGATTTATTACGACATTATATAACAGCAACCTTATAGTGCTTCAGAGCCGTAATGAGAGGGACCTTTACATCTACTTCCCTGGAACGAATAAAAGTTTAATAATAATCTGCGTAGGTTTCATCAATGTTTGAAACTTTGGTTGCAACGAAATCACTCAATACAAAAATACAAATCACAATACGGTCGGAGTATCAAGTATGGGATAATTCCAATTATACATGATTTTCTTTCTAATCATGTTTATCATCGCTGACTCTTGGCTTAGATAGTCAATATTATCAATACCCCACTTGCAAAGTGTATCGGTTTTTGAAGGGTTGACCCATTACGTACAAAAATAGAGTCAATTTTGCAAGAAATTGGAGCGCCAAATCCCTTTCGATATGCTCAAAACCAAGTGGAGCATCTTCTTGGTTTGCGAAAAGTTTAGTAAATATTATTATCGAGTGACCCCAAATTTAAAATGATAAAAAATGTTGTGAATATTCTCCTGCCATATGTTTCACAATCCATTATATAGTTTTCTTTTTTTTAAAGTACAGTATAGTCAAAATTAGAACGGAAAAATTTCTCACATAAATCCAACAAACGACGTCTAGCGGTTAGAAAACTTAAGACCTCTGTTTGCAACTAACGGCTTCTTCCTTGAGCCCAGACTTCATTGACATTCAATATATGAGATAGATTAGCCCGGGCGGAGGAGGAGACCTGAAGCGCTTTAGAAACGTTTAGCCAGGGGCGGAGTGTGCCTAGGGCCTCGGATGGCCCCTGGCCCCCTGTTATTTACACCCTTTTTGAAGTATATAGTGGATGGTGGTAACAAATACAAATAAAATTGCTATACTTCCTATGGCCCCCCTCACCACATCAATACTTTCAAAATTGTATTTTAATATAATAATAGTAAAATCTACACATTTATAAGAAACCCACTCTTCAATTTAGTGCTTTGTAATGCAATTTTACTCAATGGCCAAAAAATATACAACCTAAACTTTTTTTTTTTAACATTTGGCCCCCCTCAAATATAAAAACCTAGCTCCGCCCCTGGTTTAGCAAACCAACTTTCTTATCTTATGTTTGGTAACAGATTATAAATAGTCAAAATAATTTTTGTTTGACCATGGGCAGTGTATATGGATCGATTTATAGCAAAGTAGATTCCTTTTATTGTCTTCAATTATAGCTTTGACCGCAAAATTACAAATAAAGCTCACGCCAAACTAATAAGATCAACGAATATCTGCTTAATTAGTTCCTTTTTAGCATCTAATTAACTGATTAAACTTGAATTGTCCCCTTGGAGTGGAACATTAGTGGCAGCAGGTTAATCAAATCATTCTAATTAATAGTTTTTCTTTATATATTTATTACATTTTAAGAAAGAGCTGTGGAGTTAAAAGTGGCATTAGAGCTTTATGTCAAATCATATGACGGCCCATTCCCGAGAAAGACTTTCCATCTCACATCCTCACAAGACAGGACAAGACAGGATTGATAGCCGCCGTCTCCACTCCATTCCTCCTAGTACTAGTGGGGTTTGGTCGGTTGGATTATTGTGGGATGAATTGTAAACGAAGATATTAAGTTATTAACTGATCAAATTCTTCCCCATATTTGTGATATTTGATTTAACTATTGCACAGTGCCGGTCCTGAATTTTTCACTTTCAGGCTCCTATATATTTAAATTTAATTCACTTTCATTTTTCAATCAAGGTCTAATCTATCTAAATTAACTAAAAATTTAACATTCAAGACAAATAAATTATATCATTTCAAATTTTAATATATAAAATTTCATAATAAAACTACATTGTATAAACAAGATAAATACTTGCAACAATTCAATAAGTTCTTTTTCATCCAGCACAAGCAACCACCAAACAAAAATTCTCTGCATGCTCAATAGCCGAAGCAAAACACATTAATCTACTTGAAATTCCTTTGCTTCCTCAACAACCAATAAAAAAAAATGTCTTTGCATCCTCAATAGCCAAAGCAAACAGCAGCAGCCTATTTGAAATCTCTTTGCATGCTCAGCAACTAGCAAAACAAAAATGTCTTTGAATCCCTAGCCAAAGCAAACAATAGCAGCCCACTTAAAATCCCTTTGCATCCTCAACAACCAGCAAAACATCAACATCACCACATGCAAGATAAGGTGAAAAACAACAAAATCACAACTAAAAAAAGTAATATTTAAATGATTTTCTTCTTGCATTTTAAGAAGCAAAATCCTCAATGATGCTTTCAAATTCAAGCTTTTTTAACTTCTCCTTTTCAATGGATAAAATTGCTATCCTATTTAGCCTTTTTTGTGACATGGTAGACCTGAAGTAAGATTTCTATAATTTTAATTTTGAAAACTTCTTTCTACATATGCTACAGTCACAGGTACAATCAATAGTATATATAGGCAACCAAAATATTTGAAAAATAGTCCATATCTTTTACAAACTCTACAATTTCAAGTGTTCACTACTACAAAAATCAAAATAGACGACGGAAACCACCGTCGTGTAAAAGGTTTCCACCCGTCGTGAAATCGACTGCCGTCTATTTGGGTTTCAAACTACGACGGCTTTTCACCGTCGTTGTTTATCTGTAAAGACGACGGTTTTTAAAGAAAATCGTCGTTGTTTAGAGGTAAAGATCGTTAATTATAGGAGGAAAGACGATTGTTTTTAATAAAACCGTCGTTTATTGTATGTAAAGATGATGGTTTTTCATAAAAACCGTCGTGGATTGTTTATAAAGACGACGGTTTTTTTTATAAAAAAACCGTCATCTTTACATACAATAAACGACCCTTTAAAAAAAAAGGTCATCTTTACCTATAATAGACGACACTTTTTTATAAAAACCGTCGTTAATTATCTGTAAAGACCATGATTTATTATAAAAACCGTCGTCTAATAAGTTTCCAAACTGCTACATTTTAGTTCTTTTTGATTTCCTATGATGCTATCCAACGATTTTAACTAAAAACCAACCATAATGCTTTATTAATGAATATACACAAATAGTTTCTTTCATAAAACTTGAAGATTCAATAGTTATTACATAGTTAACCAATCTTTATTCTAGAACAAACATAATTCCTAACAGACCTAAGTACTCATAATCCAAGCATTCCTCATCCAAACATACAAATGATGCACAACTGAAGTCTCCTCCATCATCCCTGTAAATAAATCAAAATGACAAAGAGAGAAAAAAAGCTAAGATTATAAACATAAACATTAGATGGAAGAGAAATTTTTACCATTGGTCCATATTTCCATAGAAAACTTGTAAAATGAGCATAAAAAGACCATCGAGAACTTGCAAAAGGAAAAATATATAAATAAATGATGGTGAAAAGAGAAGGTAACAAATTTTCAACAACAAAAAACATATGACTCACATAAAAATCTGCAAAAGAAAAAGTTATAAATCTGCAAGCTTCCTCATTATCTCCTGATAACCAAATCAGAAATCTAAAAAGAAACCAGAAATATAAAATATATATAAACAAACCAGACAAATCAAGAGAGACAAAATCTGAAATTAGGGAGATAAAGAACATACCAGAAACGCAAAGAGATTAATCCAGAATTCACTAGCAAGATATAGAAGGGTATTTTAGAGAGTTTCATGAGGGTGTTTTAGAGAGTGCAGAGGGTTTTAAGGAGGGAGAGATAAGGTTTTCAGAGACGGGGGAAAATCTGAAAATTTGTCGAGCGCGAATTCACTTAAGTAGCCTTTTTTTTAGCGTGTTTTAAAAGACGATGCTTGTTAATGAGAGATAAGGTTTTCAAAGACGGATGAAAATTTGAAAATTTGTCGAGCGCGAATTCACTTAAGCGGCCATTTTTTAGCATGTTTTTAAAAGACGACGCTTTTTAAAAAAGATCGTCATCTTTACATATAATAGACGACCCTTTTAAAAAAAAACTGTCATCTTTACATAAAATAGACAACCCTTTTTAAAAAAAAACCGTCGTCTTTACTTCATAAAACAATGGAAGCAGAAGGGATGTAGCGGGAATTTGCAGTTTTGTCGTCTAAGCTCTGATTGAGGTTCATGATACCTTTCTGAAAAGGAAATGAAGCCAGGAATCAGACTCAGTGCTTTACACTGACATATGGTGGTTTTTGGCCATTTGAGGTCGTTTTAGCCTTCCAAAAACGCATTTAAAGAGTTGAAAGTAAAGACGACGGTTTTTTAAAAAAGAGTCGTCTATTATAGGTAAAGACGACCCTTTTTAAAAAAACAGTCGTCTTTACCTATAATAGACGACTCTTTTTAAAAAAAAATTTGTCGTCTTTACTTTCAACTCTTTAAATGCGTTTTTGGAAGGCTAAGGCCCCGTTTGGGATTGCTTTTTTTCCCCCAAAAACCTGCTTAACTTTAAAGTTAAGCAGTTTAAGGTGTTTGGTAAAAATAAAATATCCTGCTTATTTTAAAAGCAATGGTCTTTTGACAGCAGCTTTTAAAAGCAACATCAGGGTTGCTTTTTAAAGCTGCTTTTAATTGAAGCAGCGCGCTCCCTTTAATGAAATTTTTGCAATTCCACAAATACCCTTATTAGGTTAGAAATCTATCCTCACGTATTTCTCTCAAATCTGCAGACACCAAAGTTCATCTTCACGTAGCCTCCCAAGTTTGGAGACAACCATTCTCTCAATCTCTCTCAATCTCTTTCACAAGGTAGATTCTTCAATCTCTTCAATCTCTCAAACTTTTTATATACGTGTTGCTCTTGCTTTTTTATTTTTTTTATTTTTCTACGTGCTTTATTGTTCTACTGGTTTGCGAGGCCTCCATTGGTTGTCAATGGGCTTTATTTTTCTACTGGGTTTATTTTTCTTCGTCTTCTTCTTCATACAAATATTATATGTTTATATAATCTGCATACTTGTAATATAATATTTCTTGGGAAATCTACGTGCCTGAAATCTCTG